GAGGCCATGAGCAGGTGGTCAAGATGCTGCTTGACAGAGGCGCCGACGTCAACGCGCAGGGTGGAGAGTACGGCAGCGCACTGCAGGCAGCTTTATATGGAGGCCATGAGCAGGTGGTCAAGATGCTGCTTGACGCAGGTGCTCATCATCCTCAGGAAGACGATCATGTGTTGAGATTGAAATAGCTTCACTTGTGTATGCAGCAAGTATGTAGAGTTATCAGCAAACGATACATAGTAGCAAGAAGGTAACTTAAAGCTGTCAGTGTGTGCCATGTCTACTCTAAGGGCTGGCCCAGGTTAGGTATGGCGCTAAGTTCATTGATGTAGAATACAGATAGCTTCTCAACACTCTAGATGCTGTCAATGCAAGGCTAATGCATGCTGATACTAAACAGCGCGTTCTGACAGCCCAGGTTTGTCTGCAGGAATTACCCCTGCTACACTCTAGAGGTTCTAGCATGGCCACGCCTGGGCTACAGTAGATCGATCTCTAAACATAAAGGAAACAACCTTCCTTGAGCGCGCTTTGTTCTCAACCTTCTAATATTCAAGGAAAATCCTTAGGTGGCTAGTGTACAGGGGGGTATTGCAAGACAGTTGTTCAACAGCGTTGACGAGATGATTTATAGCATAATTGATGCTGGAGAGATCCTATTTAGAGCCTGCCAACGCGGAGGTTATAGATAAACAACATCTCTGCAAATCTCCTCGTCAGAGTTGCCAAAGATCCAAACAGCCAACCTGTCTCGGGACATGGTGTGCCTCTCCACCTAGGGACGCACCTTAGTTGTGTAACGATATAGCGACGTATGATAGTACAAAGTATGGAACATCCAGTTCTCCAAGGCAAGAGCGTGCAAGACAGACAGACATGTTCGCAGATATGCGTAGATTACAGGTATATACATCTCCTTGTTACATCACGGCGCGCGGCGTTCTACTCAACACTCGAGTCCACGCCCTCCTCCTTCTCACCCACGCCCTCCTCCTTCTCACCCACACCCCTCCTCCTCTCGACATTCTCCAAGGTCTGCAGCGGCGGCACTTGGTAGCTGTACCCCGCATACCTCAACCACGCCGCGGTGCCAACACCAACCAGCATACCGCCGAAATGACTAGCATGGTCGTGCGTCTTGGCGCCTCTCACAGCGTTGAAAATCTCCAGCGCGACGAAGGCAGCGAACAGCATCTTAGGCCAGAAAGCGACCTCTGCGTCCTTTAAAAGCGGGATCTTGACCGTCTCCGCATCGGTGAGCAGACAGTACAGGGCTGCAATGCCCCAGATCGCCGCGCTGGCGCCGACCGAGTGCGCGGCCAGACTGCCGCGGCCCAGGTTCGCCCAGTACAGGGAGGCGAGGGTGCCGCAGGCGCCGGCGGCGAGATAGGTGCCGAGGAACACACCCCGGCCGACGAGGTCGTGGGCCGCGGGGCCGACGAGACACAGCATCATCATGTTGGCGAGGAGGTGGTCGTACTGCACGTGGCTGAAGACGTTGAGCACGGACTGCACGGCGCGCGGGTAGCCGGGGACGTGCATGAAGTAGCGCGTCATTAGCGGCCAGAGGGGGTAGATGCGCCACGCGAGGGCGACGGCGACGTTTAGGCCGATCAGCGTGGCCATGGTGGCGGTGGTGGGGGACAGGTCGGGGAAGACGCGGTATGCGGGGGACGGCGGGGTGTAGTAGTGTGCGAAGCCCCAGCTGAGCAGGGCGACGACGAGGACGAAGGCGGTCATGGGGTAGAGGCGTTGGCCCTGTGGGTGTTAGCTCGACCTCCATCGCACCGTTTCGACCGCGGAGAAGAAGGAGAGGGTGCATACCAGCGTCGTCTTGGCCAGCATCTCCGTCTCGTCCTTGAAGTCCGTGACGGCCTGCTGCTCGTACTTTGCGCGCTCCTCGCTGCGGCGGCTGACCTGCTCGTTGCCAAAGACGTCAATGTACGTCGTCTGGTACGGCTTCATGAGCTGCGTGCCGCTGGGCGTCTTGACCCACTCGCCCGTTGCGAGCTGGGCCTCCATGTCCCTCTCGCGGCGCTCCTTCTCCTCGGCCTTGCGCGTGGCCTCCTGCAAGCGCGCGCGGCGCTTTTCCTCGATGTTGCGCTCGAACTGGCTCTTGCCGACGTGCAGGATGCCGATCTTCTGCTCGTCACGCTCCTGCTGGGCGCGCGCGGCGGCGTCAGCCTCCATATGCTCGCGGAAGGCGCGTGCAGGGTCGCCGGCCTTGTACTTGGACTCGGTGTCTGGGTCGGCCAGCCACAGCTCGTAGGCGATGCGGTTGGCCTCCTTCTCGGCCCACTGCTCGGCGGCGGCGGCCTCGTCGACTGGGTGGCGCTCGCGCAGCCAGGCCAGGCCCTTGAGTGCGAGCGCCGTGTCGACGTGCGCGCACTGGCTGCCAAGGTTGGCGACGCCGTAGTCGGCCAGCGAGCCGGCCGTGCGGCGGTGGTGCAGGATGCGCAGCACCTTATTGCCTTCGGCGGGCGTCACCCGCCGCCCGAAGATGCGGCGGATGCCATCGTCGCTGACCGGCCCGCCAGGCAGCGGGCCTATGCGGACGGTGCGCGCGGGGTGCTGCTGCGGGCGAGCGCTGGTCGGGCTCTGCGGCGTGTTGGCTGCGAGGCGCGGCGTGTGCGAGAAGGCGCGGCACGGGGGTCGCGAGGCGGCATGTCTTCGTAGCAGCGAGAGGATGGGCGACCGTGTGGCCTCGCTCGTGGCCGGTGTGGTGCACAGTCGACGCGCAATGGCGCACGAGGGCCGGAGGAGCGACATGAGTGAGCTGCGCCTGCTCGTGGATCGCTATCGAATTTGGGCTATGTCTGGAACATGCCGTGTAACGCCTGTAGATATGCGCAGATCTGAGTCGACTCGTTGAAGCTTCAACAAGGATGAATACGAAATAATGGTGTTGCCTCCAAAAAGTGTTCGCCATCTCGGGGGTGCATTGACCATCCATCCAGTATTGCCTTCACCTGCATCTCCAACCACCAATTAGTCATCAGATTGGCTGTGTGACTTCATTCAGACTCGATGTAACTCACTCAGTGCCCCTCCCGCACCTTCTGCAAAACCCCCATGTTCATCCCCACAATCAGCCTCACCAAATCCCAATCCCCCCCATCCCCCACCACATCCATAACCAGCACCCCCGTCCCGCCATCCCCCTCCTTCCTCCCCACCACACGCCCAACATCACCACCGCCCCCCTCGCAACCCGCCGGCGTCGTCTCTGGCACTTGCAGATGGTGCCCCGCACAGAGCCACTCCTCCACGTGTCTATTGACCACAGTCGCAATCTTCTCCGGCCAACACGCTCTCTTCCAGAAATGGCTGCCGGAGAGGAAGTTCAGATACAGCGGGCCTGGTGGGACGGGGTTGGCCACATCCGTCGTGACGCCGGGGATGGGGTGCACGAGCGCAGCCGCACGAGCGACGTGCTGCGTGGCGTACTGGGCTTTCTGCGCTGTGGCCTCGGCGTCTAGCACCTCGCAGAAGTCCTGGATGTTGAATGTCGGGCTGCTGCTCGGGAACACGGCGGACGTGCAGTTGTAGGGCCATGCTGTTGCGTCGAGACCGCTGCCGGACGCGTACATGGACGGCGGTTCTGCGCCCGTCGTGTAGCGCCGCACGAGTATGCACTTTCCGCGGACCGCGCCGAGGTACGGGATTGTGGGTGCTGTGTGCCATTTTGACGCGTTGGGGCCTATGTAGTGGTCTTGCAGGATGCGCGCAAAGTATTCGTCTGTCGCGGAGCCTACGCCCTCGCGTTTTAGAGAGACGAGGATGCTTTCGCTGGGGTTCGCCGCGAGGAACGCGTAGCATGTTTCGAGCACCGGGGTGAGGTACTTGGGACCTGTCAGGCTGATGGGAAAGGCACCGTGCACGAGGTACATGTGCTTCTTGCCCGGGTCGCTGCCATGAGTGGGCTGTGCGCGCAAGTCCAGGAAGCGAATGCCGTTGTCGAGTTGTGTTTTGATGTCCACCGATTGACACTTCACAGAAGGCAGTGCTTTGTAGTAGGTATGCGAGTTGTGAGTGCCTGGAATGGAGATAGCAGATAGAGGCAGGCTGTCTGGCAGCGCTTGCATCCACGTTGAGTAGTCTTCTGTCTTGGTTGAGCGTATAGTTAGATGCGGAGTCGGTCTACAAGGATGGAAGAGCGCCGTAAAGGTTTCCGAGGGGCCAGGTGAGAGCGGTGTAAACTTCTGAGCAGACTTCTGTGTGTAGTCTGGTTTGGTGTCAACGCGGTGACGGACACCGTCGGGCAGTTCTATCGTGAGCCGTAACGTAGGGCTGGAGTACGCTGCTGCAGCTCCATCGTTCCTTCCAGACGCTCCGAGAGTGTACGATTCGAATGGTTGCAAATTGACATCTAGATCCATACGATTGAACGATTGCGCATGTTCGCCTAGCTCGGGTGCGGAGGGCCATGTCGAATGCGATGTTCTGTTGCCAAAGAAGTAGCCGCCACCTTTACTCTTGGACGTATTCGGATCCTCAAAGCGCTCGATGCATTTGATCGTGATCTTTTCGGGTGTCAGATTGCGTACAGTGAGCATTCCAGTGTAACGCGAGACCGTGTATCTTGAAGACTGTTCAATGCGATTTCGATGAAACTGGTCCGGACTCTTCCAAGATTAACAGTCGTTCTATGACACTGGGTGAGAAAGTCAAATATGAATCGCCGATCGATCTCCGATTGATGTGGAGATTGATAGGCTTTGTAGGACCTAGAGCGCAAGTATCAATAGTGACCGGTAAAGCGAGCGGGTTTCACAATGTTGAGATGAGAGCGACGGAAGAATGTACATGTGAGGTTGGGTGAAGCGAGTGCCAAGATCCGAGTCATTGTACGCGTATGCCGCTTTGGTGTACACCTCTCTGCGTGCAATCAGCAATCGAGCTTGAATTGACTTTCTGAGAGCGAGCACCGCATATGCACTGACGGCGTCTCAAGACGTTAATTGCGAGCAATGAATATCATTTGCCGTGGGACGGAGCCTAAGCTACCACGGCCGCAGCAGGCCATCCAACGTCTACATACACCAACAACCATCATGTAAGCCCTGCTCCGATCCAACCAGAGCACACCCGGGTATTATGTACCTATAAAAGCAGGCTCAATGCCTCGTGATGGGCCCTACACATACACCGACTTCCCATGCCATCAATAAGAAGAGCGCCACGTATGCAATCGGTACCCATGCTTGGAACTTACTTAAAGTTTGACTCCAAACGCCGTAAATGCAATTGCTCAGCAGAGAAGGTTGCCCATGCTATGCGGCACCTTCGCTGGCCGGACTATCTCGTCCCTCTGCGAGCTAGACGAGCTCCGACGACTGTACGAAGAGACATGGACTCGAGCGAGCTCCTCGTGGATCTGCTCACTGGGCGTGCGGTCTTTAGTGGGCGTGAGAAACTCGACCTCCGGGCGCACTGGTGACTGGTTGTTGCGACGGTCCGCATCCGACAATGGCTGCATCACCAGCCCCGACTTGAACTTGGTGACTCGAGCGCCCCTCGGCGTCGAGGGAGTCTCGCGCTTCGCTACTGCGATGCCTTCGGTGGCTTTCTTGATCAGAGCTGGCTGTGCCTTGGGCTTTGTGGAGGGGGCAGAAAGGTCCGGCACGTCCGGCAGCTTCTTTGTCGCCTTGGCTGCAGGCTTCGTCGATGCTTTCGAGGCCTTGAACATGTTGTTGATCGGAGGGGTCTCCTTTGTGGCTTTCCTGGCTTTGCTCTTTGAAGCTGCGGCCTTCTTCGGTTGTGTCTGTGGCTTCTTCGCAGCTCCCTTGGCTGCCATGTTGCCGAGGAGATCCATCTGCGCACCTGATTTGCGCTTGGTGCCCTTCTTCGATGGCGTGCCCGGCTCCGACTTGAGTGCGCTCTTGGGCAGCATGCGAGGGCTTTGACCAGGTGTGAGCTGGCCTGCGTCTCGGAACACTCCAGGCTTCTTCGGGGTGCCGACAATCACCTCAATCCTATTGCTCTCCTTCGCCTTGACAAGCTCCGCATCAGAGATCTCCTTGAACTCCATTGGGTCGTCCCACTTTCGCATAGCCGCGTGCCGAGCAACTTCATCGCAAGGACCGGTGACGACCAGATCCCAGGCGTTTTGTAGATCGACGCCCAGAGGTTCAGGATCGTTGTTGATCCATACTGCAACACCGTCCTTCCTGTCGCGCACGATGTTGCACATCTCGCGAGCGATGCGGCGAATTCCAGGAACCTTCAGGGTAGTTCCAGCCACAATGACTGCATCCGGTCGCATGCGCATATCGGTGGCTGTACACGAACCGATGGCCTCGGCGTCGGGATTCTCCTCGTTATAAAGGACCATGCGGGGGCGCAGGCATCCGATGCCATGAGTCCGCTTTTCTGCAGCTTGACGGACGACATCAATCTCTACGCAGCTCTCGCATGGCGGCGCCGTGGGTCCGTCGAATAGCGCGGCATTGAAAGGATATAGCGTGTGGCATTTTGAGCACACCATGTGATCAAGGCCCCCGTGCACCTGGATAGTCTTTGGCCAAGGTCCCTTCTTTGGCAAAGGCGCCTCGGTCTTAAGGGGAGCCATCGACGTGTCGATGCCGTCGACGTTTTGAGTGTAAAGTCGCATGAGACGGCCCTCTTGCGCCAATGTTGCAATGAGGTGGTGGAAGGCCGTGGGCTGTGCGTTCTTGGTTTCTGTGGACAGGCTGCGGACCATGGCGTGGAACGTGGCAGTAGACTGGCCATCCTGGTAGACAGACGCGTCGAAGAGGTCCTTACCAGAGGACTTGAGGCCGTGCTCCTTCTTGAGCGAGTTGAAGAGACCAGTCGCAGATCGGAAGTCGGGAATACCTGCAGAGACCGAGATGCCAGCGCCGGCAATGACGACGATCTTGCGCTTCTTGTGCAGCACATTGAGAAGACGCTGAAGTTGCGGTTTGTCCTCATCTGCAACGTCTTGCGTCAGGTCTAGGTAGTGTGTGGTGCGCCCGCTGGCGTCTGTTGTGGGCGAGAGCTTCCTCCTCTTGGCCGGGCGCACGTCTTCGTCGCAGCTGGAGGGCGGCGACGGCATGTCCTCAGGTGCGGGGCTTGTCTTGGCAGAAGAACGTCGTGAGGAGGAGGGCGAGGGCAGCGATCGTACGCGGAATCCTGGTGGTGGTGATGGGGAGCGTGTGAGGACCGTCAACTCAGACTCGCAGTCGGACGGCGGATCGGTCAGAGGCGAGCTGGGCCCAGCATTGAACGTAAACGACGCCATTGTGGGAGGAAGGCGTGTTGTTTGTGAGTTTGTGGCAGGCGCGGAGGTGGTGAACGCGTTTGGAAGCGGCGATCGGGTGCCGTGCCACAGGGAGGCCGCGACGAACAACGTGAGCGCCGCAGCTCAGGGATGCCAAACGCCGCAGCTCTAGATACCACGCACGACAGTGATGTAGCGACCGAATTGCGGGTCTAGCAACAACAGTTCTACGGCAGGGCGGGCACTAGATGGGGTCGTGGTGCTGCGTGCAAGCGCTCAAAGCGAGGTGGATCGCTGCCGTCACCGCTGGGCGTGGGGGAGGTACCGGGCGTGCAAGGCTGCAAAGTCGTGGCGCAACTCTAAATCATAGCGGTATTTACGGATAGCGCGAATATTATAATGATGGAGCGCGTAGACGCGCTGTCGCGAGCGTGGGCTGTGGTTGGCGAGGAAATGGGGGTGGTTGGAGGTGGTCGTGCGATGAACGAAGCCGGGAGACTGAGGAACTCGGAATATGCCAAGCCCTCGAACAGCAGTTGAGCACGATCCAAGAACCAAAACAAAGTGATCAAGACGGGTACGCTAGTAGTATTACCGACCTGCTGCTTGCAGAGAGCCGCGGTCGAGAGGAGAGGGTCAAGGCGCAAGTTCGCGCTCAGGGTACGTGAGCCCAGGTCCGCAAATACACTTTATCCACGAATATCATTTCTGAATTCGCCGTTCCCTTTGCTGCAGATTGGAAAGCCATTGACACGGCCACTGACATCGTCATCGCCCCAACCGAGCGGGAGCGCTGCCGTGCCTGGATTTCTCACATTTGCTATTTTGCTATGAGGTTTTCATGTGGCGCAATAGCCCCAGCTTTCTATTGCTGTACTATCGCGTATTTTTGCGAGCGAAGTGGCATGAGTGATGGTGTTGAAGCCTGAGTTGGCGTGTGGAGTTCGTGAGAGCTTCGTGATGCACGTCTCCGAGTCGACGAGGCTGCGACCCGCCATCGCGTTTCGCTTACCGGCCCTAGCGCAGACCCACCTTGTCGAGTTAACTCCAGCTCCCGGACTCGGCCTTCACCCAATCGCAGCCTTGATCTGTTTCCTATGTTCTGTGCATGATACCCGGCGATTCATCGTCACCAGTTATTGCTTTGATGACTCAGAGTTGAAGCGGTATCGTTCTTGTTCCTGCGCTCACATCCTGCACCTCGCCGCCCGCTGATCTGGCGCATCCTGTAGACATGGATCCCAACTACAGCATGGACGTGGATGACCTCTTTGGTGACTCAGAACATGTCAGCCTCCAGAATATCACCACAGTGCCACCCATCAAAGGGCTTGCGAGGAGAGTTGACGAGCTCGGTGCTAGTGGGTGTTGCCAGTAAGTCAAGCTCGCGGGCTATCTCATCAGGATGTTGCTATTAATCACGCTCAACAGGAAAATCACCTGGTCCAAGAATGGTTGCGTGGCCTACATCACCCCGGACGGCGCTGCTGTTCATCTCAAAGTCTTCTCCAGAGACATCGAAACTGGGAAGTGGGATCTCGGCAAAGACGTAACCTTGGATATCCCACAAGGCCACGAGCACTCTCCGTTTGTCCACTTGTCTTGGAGCCACCTAGGAAACGACCTTGTAGTTATCGACGCCGCAGGCCGGGTGTTGAACTTCTCTTGCGCAATGGCTTTGGACAGAATGCCATACTTCAAGGCCGAGCTTGCACATCCAGAAGCAGAGACAGATGGAGTAGCCGGTTTGCACTGGCTGGCTATATACCCATATGAACAGAAGGTGAGTTACCTGCACTTCAAGCCTCAATGCATACTGATTCTAGCTTAGAACCACATCGCATGGTCGGCTGAAAGAGATGGAGAGAAGTGGAAATGGAACATTCGCTCGCATGTGTTCCATGACGCACATCATCCTATCCCCAGCAAAGCTTCTCTCATATATCTAAAGAGACACGGAGAGCTAGTTCTACGATTTCAGCAGAACGACAACGCTTGGCAAGAAACGTCGGCCCAGCTTGGACCGATGATCTCTACCCAGGAGTCCTTCACGCACGCCGCGTTCGCATCCAATGACGGTACGTTGCCACCAACCCGATTCAGTCTTCAGCCGCTGATGATATCCAGACGACACGCTCTTTATGGCAGTATACGATGTTAAGCGACGACTGCATCTCTACAGGATAGAGACAGCGTGGCAGGTCCCACAAGAGAAGCAAAGCCAGAACGCTGGACATTTTGACAGGCCTAGTCTTCAAGTCTCGCTCATCGCCACTGAAGAGGACTGTGGTCCTCTAAACATGATCACCGGCGAAATAGATGGTGGTACTGATCCAAGAGGAACAGCGCCTGCGCAGCTTACGCACCTAAGCTTCCTGCCAGTGACGCCTGATTTGAGCGATGCCTCGCTACCCACAATACAGGCCATCTACTGCAGACCGCCAAATCTCGTCTCTGTGGATCACATGCAGCCGCACGAGACCCCGCACAGCGTGATAGTCAAGTGGGAGGTGCATCAGTTACAGCAGAACCAACTACACCCAAGCCTTGATCAAGTCACATCCAAGAAGAAGGCAATCGGCTCTGTTACAGCACGCACCATCTTCCAGCTCAAGCGGGCTGCAGACTTCTCCATGCACACGGTTGTTTTGTCGTGCGTCCCTGTGTGGTATCACATGCTCCTCGCCTTCCACTACAGCGACGGCACGATCGAATTCCGGAAGCGGTCGACGATGGAGACTCTGCTCAACGATGGCAACACGGATACCGTCACATCTCTCTACCAGGCAGGTTTTGCCTTCGCCCAAGGCGACCCATCTCTCCACATGGCCCTCTCCCCGAACTTCTGCATATCAGCCTGCATGCAGCAAGACTCGACTATCAAGCTACGCTCACTTGAATACCACCGTGGCACCCTCCCCATCACCGACTCCGACCCACGCAACTCGGCCGCCCTCGCAGCTCTGATCCTCCAATCCGCATCCTCCGCAAACCAGTACTTCTCCAGCGACGACATCTTCAGCATCATGCCTGCCCTCAACCCCGCGCTCACTCGCTCCTTCACGATCCTACTGTTCGAGGCGCTCCAAGTGAACATCGACTGCGGCATCGACGACATGAACAACAACTACCTGATGCTCCTGGGCCGTTCACCTTTCTTCGTCAAAACGCTCTCCGCGATACACTTACTCGGCCTCAAATCTCCCACCGACCGCGACCTGAGCTCAAAGATGGCCTGGATCGTGTTGAACATCAAATACGTCACCCAGGTCCTGACCTCCATCACACGCATGCACGGACACATAGACAAGACCCTCTTACGCCCCGAGGTGGTACCGCAGTTCATTGGGATATGTCGCTGGATCATGCACTTCATCGCATACTTGACCGACTCTCTCTTCAGCCTCGGGCGCCTCGTAGACTCCCTCCCGACCCCTCTCACCGCATCCTCGCTCTCAGACCTGTTCGAGGCCGAGAACAACCCCGCCGTCCTACTCCTCCTCAGCGCCTTCCCGCGGCACATGATGAAGCTCTGGTCGCAGCCGCTCGCCTGGGTGAAGCGGTCCGCAGATAACTTCACCAACGCCGCCGCGCCCGTGCAGGCCCCTGAGGTGCGTAAACTGTACGCCCCGCTCGCCGCCGCGCTGTCGGAAATCCCCTTCGACTGGCGCTGGTTCGAGCGTCTCGTCGGTGAAACACACGACGCGGCCCGCGCCCTCTGCAAGAAGAGCAATCTGTCCGACGCCGCCCGCAACACCATCGAGCGCGACCTGCTCATGGGCAGACTGCCCGCCCTGTACGCCCCGCTGGCGACCCAGCTGCTGACGAGCAAGCTCTGGGATTCGGAGACCGCGGGAGGCTGTCTGGCGGATAAGCTCGATGCCGGGCGGTTGATGTTCTTCGACACGACGTGGTTGGGCTTCTCGCGCTCGCGGCGCGGCGCCGAGTGGCACGCCACGCATGTCGTGGATGTGTGTCAGAAGATGGTCATCCGTGGCCGCGGCACGGTCGTGCATCCTGTTACGAGCGCGACGGTGGGACGCGTGAGGAGTGATAGCTCGGTCAGTGTCGGTGGGGGGAAGGATGGGGGGAGCAAGCAGCTCAGGCGCTGTGTCAGGTGTGGCAGCTATATGGAGGATGTGACGGTGAATCAGGTCGGGTATGCGGCGCATCACGTCAACTGGCTGATGGGGATTGCGAAGCATTGCGTTTGCGGGAACAGTTGGATGTTGGCGCCGGAGAAGGCGAGGGCGAGGTAGATATACACATGAGATAGCAGAAGTAGAATGCACGTTTGCCGCAAAGACAGTGTATATAGAGTAGACATTTCTTCATTCTTCGTATCTTTTTGGAGATGCTCGCTTTCAAGTAACACACAACTGGGGGGGGTATTGTCCACGTCCATACCCGAGACGCCTCCACCACAAACCACAAAGTCTTTCTACGACTTGGCAGCACCAGCCTTGAATAGCACGATGTCGCCGTCCTCGACGATGTAGTCCTTGCCCTTGGTCATGATCTTGCCCTGGGCCTTGACGGTAGCTTCGTCACCTAGCTCCTTGAGAGTGGTGTAGTTGTAGACGATGCATTGAATGAAAGTCTTCTCAAAGTCGCCGTGGATGACACCAGCAGCCTTGGGCGCCTTGGTGCCGTTACGAAGCGTCCATTGCCTGACCTCGTCGGTGCCGGTTGTGAAGAAGCTGCCAAGGTTAAGAGCCTTGCGCATGGTGATAATGACCTTGGGGAGCGCCGACTTGGTGCCAATGTTCTTGCACTCCTCGGCAGCCTCAGCGTCGGACATGACGGCCAGACGCTCCTCGAGCTGCACGGAGATGGGGATGACTGGGTCGCCAGTGGCGTTTGTCTTGACCCACTCGGCAATCTTGGGCAGGTGCTTGTTCTTCTGGCGGATGTAGTCCTTCTCGCTCAAATTGACGAGGTAGACGACAGGTTTGGCTGAGAGGAGGAAGAGAGGGTTGATGGTCTCGACCTGATGAAATGGTCAGCAGAGCCCAACAATGTGCTTTCCATATGTAGAGATGTGGGTGCATGTCGATCAGATAAGGACTTCTTTTCAGAACGTTCCGGCGTTACGGGAACATCAAAGAGCTGGGATTATAGAGCAATCGCTCTTTGTCATCTTGTGACGGGCAGGAAGGGAGGAATTAAATTTACGTACCTCCTTGGGACTCCAGTTGCCCTTGCGGACATCCTTGCCGTCCTTGAGCATAGCGAGGATCTTCTCGACGGTGGACTGCTCCTCCTTGAGCTTCTTCATCTCGAGAGACTGGCCACCACGTCTTGTCTGCTTGACGAGGTTCTCAAGAGCCTTCTCTGTGAACTCGATGTCCTTGAGACGGAGCTCCTCGCTGATGATGTCCAAGTCACGGATGGGGTCGACGTCGCCCTCAACGTGAATGATCTCAGCGTCATCGAAGCAGCGCACAACCTGAAAGATGGCATCGACGGCGCGGATGTGCGACAAGAAGGAGTTACCAAGACCGGCACCAGTCGAGGCACCGCGCGTCAGACCGGCAATATCATACACGGTCAAGTCGGCGGGCACCCTCGACTTGGGGTTATACATCTTGCAGAGGTCATCGTAGCGGTCGTCGGGGACGATAACACGAGCCTCCTCAGGGTCGATGGTGGCGTAGGGGAAGTTGGCAGGGTTACCGAGCGAGCACTTGGTAATGGCCTGGAAGAGAGTGGATTTACCAACGTTGGCAAGGCCGACCTGGCATTCACTGTTAACATGTGAGATGACGTTGACAGCAGGACAGGGCTCTCACTTACGATGCCGCTCTTCAGACTGTTGCCAGGCCTGCCGAGCAGGATCTTCTCCTCGACGACGGCTTTCTTGGGAGGCATCTTCTTTTTCTTGGGTGCACTCGCGTAGCTGCGAGAGCAAGAAGAGAGGATGAAAAATTTGTGTGGTGAGGGAGTAGAGAAGACGGGCGAGGAAAATTGGCGGGCGGTGCTTGCGGCCGGCCGGTAAACAGTGGGTATCAAAGAAGAGAAAAGAAAGGTGAAAGAATTGGTGAGGGGTATGGTGTATGTAATGAGGGGCGGAGAGAGCTTTGCAGCCTCCTCTCCTTTGGTTCCTTGCTGTGGGTGGTGGGAAATGCAGATTTGGCGTTTAACCGAATCGATTTTAAGGGCTGTGCCGCACAGACAGTCACGCCTGCCAAGCTTGGTTTACTCTTGTGCCCAGAACGGCAAGGCCGCCAGCCGGGCGTTGAGCATGCAGGTGCGCGTTCGCTGCCGACGTGGGTGCGTCGTATGCTTGTGATGCTTCACTCTCACACGGCGCCCTCCACATTGATCACCTCCATAAGGGCTGGCCCCACCTTTCTTACCGTAACCTGTCTTCCTACCGTAGTGCTATTCCACTACCAGCCTGCGCCGGTAGACCTCCCGGCGTTCAAGATACCTTGCTCGACACGCTGACAGTAGCCGGCGCGCATATCGATAGGTACCCCAGTTACACCAGGTCTTATCTGCAACATGTCGTCCTCCATCCGCCCCAAGCCTGCGCGCAAGAGCTCAATCCAAATCCACCGCAGCACACTCTCGCTGCAGAGGACCGAGGTCGTCATCAATGTCTACGATCTGCTGCCGCCAGGCAAGGTTTCCACAGTGCTCTGGGCTATAGGCAGCTCTCTGCTGCACTCAGGGGTGGTTATCGGCGATAGGGAATATGCATATGGGGGCCATGACCGTCGGGGCTTGACCGGCGTGTATTGGACGAAGCCGGCGCAAGAGCCTCCAGGCGGGACCTTCAAGCAGTCGATTCTCCACGGCTTCTCGTTTCGCCCAACAGAGGAGCTGGATGCAATCATACACGAGGTATAGAATCGCATCACATCGATAAATAAAGCTAATGCGGCCAGGCCTCCGAGGAGTTTCAGGGCACCTCTTACAACCTTCTCACCAAGAACTGCAACCACTTCACATCCTACCTCTGCGAGAAGCTTACAGGGCGGCCGGCGCCGGGCTGGGTCAACCGTGCCGCCAGCATAGGCGTAGCTCTTCCATGCGTTGTGCCACGGGAATGGATTGCGCCACCGGATTATGATACTGCGGATGGAGAGCTCCTTGACGAGGACTTTGACGAAAGAACGTCTATGCTGCGGCACGGCGAGCCCCAAGGACGGTATCGCAGTGCTTCAGAGGAGGCGGAGCGGCAGGACGCGCGAGGTTCTGGCAGTGGTAGTCGAGGTGAGCAGGGAAGCGCAAGAGGGAATCATCGGCATCCGCCCGCAGAGCATGGCCCCCGGCTGGTCAACCTCAAGGAAACCGATAGCAGTGGCCATAAGATACCGGCAGCGGAAAGAGCGCCCCTTCCAAAGAATTTGACGTGACTCGTCCTACACTTACACTGATGCACAGTCGTTCCCAGACTCCTGATGATGCCATATTGTACATGTGACCACGCCCGATGCTGTCCTGTCTCGTGTGTCTTCTCTCTATCCAACTCGTTTAGGCTCTAACCCAACCTCCTGGGCTTCTTGCTCCTCACACCTCCAAACTTCAGTCTTGTCGAATCAGACAGCTTGATAATCAGCGGCCTGACCTGCTTTCCCTCTGCTCCCAGAATAGCCTTTGTGACCGCCTCTCTCCCGGGGCCGAATCCTCGGTAGATCAGCTCGAGCTGCTTGATCTGTGGCAGCAGGCCCTTGTCCTTGATTCTGCTCATGACAAAGGCCGCCAATTGGTAGGCTGCGTCGTAGGTTCCGCGTCCGGCCTTGCGGAACCCGATGTTGCCGCACGAGACCGAGATGAGAGAGTCGCGCTTCGGGTTCGCGAGCGTGATGTGCGTGTTGTGCTTGGTTGCGTAGACGTTGAGCTTGTGCTTCTCATCTTCCTCCCACTCCCTGAACATGGTGTTCTTGTAGTCCCCTTCAGACCCGGCAGGAATTATGTTTTGGTAGTCGGCGCTCCTGTAGCTGGCATCGACGGTGGACAAGAGCGAGTCGAGCGACTTCTCTTCTTTCTGGGGGCCAGCGAGGGCGCGCGCAGTCTGCGAAAAAGGCCGCCTACACGATGCGCAGACTGTCAACGTCAACGGGCGGAGGGCGCGCAGGCCTATTCTGGTATTGGCCATGCTGAATGTGCTGCTGCAGGGGTCGGCAAGTGCAGGTGGTGGTGAGGCCAAACTTCTTTCCTGTTCTACGCGCGACCCGACCTCGGAAGGAACGTCTGTGCACTTTCCTCTCGAAAACTTGAGGGAAGGAGCAGACCTCCTCCATCCTTCGTGCCTTCCCCAACTTGAAACTACCTGGGCAGGAACCATCTCGGCTTCTGTCATCTCGTCTCTCATATACATATCTGCAGGATGAGGCCGCACAACGCAACCACACTCGCCGCCAGGGCGCGAGGCAGCATACAACCAAGCACATACGGGCGCGCAGTCGCATATAGGCGGTTATCGACAGCGCCACGGGCGTCGCGCTCATCAGTAGCACAGTCGTCTGATGCATCGCACCTGCAATTCCTGCGCAGCAACTTCTTGCCCCAGGACGTTCTCTTCCGCGCCGCCGCCGCACATGCACGCCAGTTTTCTTCTCAGTCTGCGCTCTACCAGCAGGCGCAGAAGCAGAAGCCCGTGAAGGAGGAAGCAGCCAAGTCTGAAGCCGAGAAGGAGAAGACCGCAGAGGAACTTTACGAAGAGGAGAAGGCCAAGGCGAAGCAGGCGGGCGAAGAGGAGACTGGCGAGCAAAAAGAAGGCGAGCAGAAGGAAGGCGAAGAGGGCAAGAAGAAGGAGAAGAAGGACGACAAGCCCCCGCCACCTCCCCACGGTGACAAGACGCCATGGCAGGTCTTCACAGAGACGCTCCAACAGGAGTTCCAGGCCTCGAAAGAGTGGAACGAGGGCACAAAGGAGCTTTCTGGTCAGGTTCACGACTTCACAAACGACCCCCGTGTGCAGCGGGCGAGAGAGGCTTCCGAGGCTGCGAAGACAAAGACTGCTGCAGCCTTGAAGGCCACAGCATCAGCAGTCGGGCAGGGTGCTGCGTGGACTTGGGACACAATGCCCGTCAAGGGCGTACGCGCTGCTGCCAGGGTCACCGGTACTGGTCTCGACTACGCCACGCGACCAGTGCGCCAGACCAAGGCTTTCCAGGCCGTCAAAGAGACCATCGACGATGGCAGCTCCTCGCGGTACGGAGGTTGGGTTGAGAAGGAGGAGCGCAGGAAGCGAAGGGAGCTGCGCGAGCTGAATGAGCTCCAGCGAACTGGTGGCAAGCCCACCGGTCCCATGGAGGAGGACATTGAGTAAGCGCAACCAGCCAAGACGCGCATTTCAGTACTGACAAGACCCACAGAGCCGGCACAAACATCACCCTGCACAAGGACGCCAAGTACAAGGAAGTCTGGAGAGACTGGAAAGACAACTCCAAGCTCGCCCAGGGTTTCTTCAGTATGAAGCAGACATATGGCGAATCCGACAACGCCATCATCTTGACCGCTCGCAGCATCACCGACCGCATCGCCGGCTTCTTCTCCGAAAACGAGACTGCCATGGTCATCAAGAAGTTCCGCGAAATCGACCCCAACTTCCAGATGGAGCCCTTCCTGACCGAAATGCGCGAGTACATCCTGCCCGAAGTCCTAGATGCCTACGTCAAGGGCGACGTCGAAGTCCTCAAACAGTGGCTCTCTGCAGCGCAATACTCCGTCTACGCAGCACTGATGCAGCAATACAAGACCGCGGGCCTGAAATCCGACGGCAAGATCGTTGACATCCGCGGCGTTGACGTTCTGAACGCGAAGCTCCTCGAGCCCGGCGAGATCCCTGTTTTCATCCTCACCGCGCGCACGCAGGAGGTCCACGTCTACCGCAACGCGAAGACTGGCGAGCTTGCGTCTGGCATGGACGACAAGGTCCAGCAAGTCACATACGCAATCGGCGTCACCAGAATACCGGAGGACGTCAACAACCCCGAGACGAGAGGCTGGCGCCTCATTGAACTGCAGAAGAGCGCCCGCGACTACTACTGATCGACTCGCGCACCGTTTGCTTTCTCCGCACGTCGTGCTGTACTACCATTTGTTTTGCATTTTTCGCTGCGCATGGGTGCCTCCATGCGGTTCCGAGGCTGGGGCATTTCTGGCGTCTAAAAGGTTGAGCCTGATGTTTTCCACCGCTCGGTCTTATTGCGACGCCTTCTTCTCAGGGTCGTGGGAGTGGATCACGATACACTTCACTTCCCCACTCTGTACGTATACTTGTATAATATTTGATGAGACGAGAGACGGTTGGGTGTATGGAGGCCATGATATGGTGTGTATAAGACTAGATTGATCGGTGCGATCTGAATGAGAGGATGTCCACAACTCACGTTTGCAATGAATCTGTTGATGGTGACAAGTCAGTCATGTTCTGCGATCGTGCGGCAAGCGCTCCTTTCTTCTATACAAGCTGGTGTTGGCACCTTCCAGCGTCCTCAAGCAATACCGGCCGGGTAAGCATCCTACACCCTTCGACCTCCATCCTCTCGCCCTGGATCCCTGGTATCTAATCAAGGAGAACCAGGCTAACAACGCTCAGTCCAGGGCGACTCGTTGCTAACCAGCTTGTTCAGATCTCATAAAAGAGTAATCAAACGAGCCATGAATAACTCGAACAACATCACCGGGTCTCTTGATCAGAGTCCTTAGACAGAGCCTCACGACTGGCGACAAGATGACATGCAAATTGTCCAGAGCCGCGGCGACAAGTCATAATTTTGCCGCAGACTCAGCACCTACTATCTTGCGGGGGACGATGGGGTCTAGCAAGCTCACCCACGAGTCGACGAACCCCGTGCTCCTCGCAAAACATGATGTTAGCAACGCCACATCGACATGTACACGAAGACGCGGAATCAAAACCCGAACCCAAACAGCTGCCAGCGTCTTAAGAGGAACGCTTGGTACGGAGAGAATGCTGCAGAGGCAGAGGCAAAGCACACAGGAGTAACGTCAGTGAGCAGACGCACGCCGTGACTGTCTGCTCGCCCGAGAACACCGAGTCCGTCGAGGGAGATAAAGCTCTGAGCAAGGACAGTGGCGTCAGTGCAGCACACGCTTGCGTGGGGAGATCGCGCGCAACGACGGAACACCTCAAAGTCCCTTCAACAATATGATCTTTATTCTTCTCAAAAAAGGGGGTATAACAACACCACTCCACTTCTCCCATCCCGGCATCAATTCACCCACCCCCAACAGTCATCTTCTTCTTAACCGCGCGCATCCGCTCAATCGTGCCTTCCCTTCCAGCCTCTCTGCCGACCTCGAGCACGATCATCCTGACAAAATCGCGACTGAGCCAGTAGCTGCTATGCGCGCCCAGCATAGTGAGGTACTGGATCTCCAGCGCGCCACCACCGTACTTCATGAAATAGTCGATCTGGCCGTTGTCGTTGAGCAGATACGCTCTCTTCTCGGCAACCTCTTCGCGCGTGAAGTTGTGCGTCTCGAGCTCGACGTTGCTCGGGAGGCGGACGGTGGATGGCTTCTGCAGTTGTGCGGAGGAATCGGCGCGCCGGAAGGGGTTGACGAAGGAGAAGTAGGACGATGAGGACGAGGGAATGGTGGCGGGTTTGAGCATCTCGGCGTACGAGGCGTCGACGGTGGCGTTGATGCGCATTGCGACGGGGTCGTAGGGGTTGATGATGTTGTAGATGTTGTCTACTGCGATGCAACCGTAGGTGCCTTGTTCGCCGGCGACGTCCGGCATGGTGTATGAGTCTGCTCCGGGCTTCACTGTATCACGGCGAGGGAGCAGGGTTGCGTCCTTCATCAGTAAGAATAAGGCGGCAGGGCTCCCGCAGACGAAGAGGTCGGTCGTGTTGAAGATGAAGTGGTCTCGTGGAAGGGCGTTGTCGGGCGTTGTCGGGTTGGTCAAGCCGGGGTCGACACGGGTGGGTTGGTTGCTGAGGATATCGATGGCCATCACGGAGCCCAGGGAATGTGCAACAAGATGAACCCTGCCGTATTCCGCAAAGCCGGGATTGTTGGCACACCATAGTCTGTAAACGCGATTCGCTTCCTGTATGCAAGCGGCGATCATCGTGGGGTTGTGCTGCGGCGAAAGGTAGTACGGGACGTCGAGCATGACGTCGCTAATAATATTACGAATGGATGGGAGTGTGACTGGTGTGATATCCTTTAGTGTGTACTTGTTGGCAGTAGGATGCTCGACCTCCGTGTCAGCGCCAGTCTCGAGCGAAACACGTTGTCGCCAGTTGATCTAATCGAAGTAAGCATACAGCCCGTGAACAGACCGATCTCTGGGAAACCTACCGGCAGCAACATGACACCCCCCATGTCTCTCCGTAAGTGGCGCTTGACATCCGGCGTCCCCAGCTCAACATTCACCTCCCTTCTAAATGAGTTCATCGCGTGTGTGAAGTGGAACGTCTCCATACGCTCAGATAGCTTCTGCCCGATACCGTGGATGACCAGTACAAGATCTGTCACTCGCGGACGTTCAGACATGGCAAGCTCGGGATCCGACTTCAGCCTCTGATACGCTGGTGCGCCAGCCTGAGCAGTAGATGCGCCTTGGTATGCTTTCTGAGAAGTCGAATCTAACTTGCTTGGATGGAGCTTGTCCCAGATTGTCTGGTCGAACCCGCGCACGACGCATACACCGATGGTCCTACCCTTCCGGATATAATTTGCGAGCGGACGTCTTCCGTAATAGTCGGACGGCTGTAGGGCTGGTTTCAAAATGTATGCATCCTTGTCGCTAGCATAAATAACACCGGCTTTGAGGTACAGCTGCTTGTATCCAGCGGCGCCGTACTCGAGATCCCCTGCTGCCTTGTTGTCCGGCCCATTCGGTCCATTCGAGATATCTATTCGATCGCATGCGTTCTCGACTATGTCCAGGCGCTCTTGCTCCGGGCTACTCTGTTCGCCCGGCAAAGTACTCTGCACCAGACCCGTCGTCTGCATCTGCTGTGAAGTTGAAGGTCTGCTGTCTGGTGCTGAAGGCTTGTCAGGCCATAGCTTGTGCAGGACTTTCATCTCTCCCAGCGCCCCTACTTCAACTGCACTGCTCAGCTCATCTTTCCAGGTTTGGGTCCAAGGCTGTAATTCGATGTATCCTGCCTCGAGCATATTCGCGACCTCAACCTCCACGGGCATCATCGAGTCTTTGTAGAACCAAGTTCCTCGAATGATCCGAGATATGTCACTGAGAGGCGACCAGTAGATTGGCTCCATCCGTATTGACTCAGCGTCCATGGCTACATGGTGCAGCCTCGACACGCCGACAGGTACCTGGACAGAAGGCCCCGCGCGAGGTTTCGACGGACTCCTCGCAGGACCTTTGTCTTTGCCGCTTGACGGCGCCGGCTCCATCTCGTCATCCCACCTGTAGCTGTCCACCTCGTGTATTGTCGGCCGACTGCCACCCTCCATTGACGCAGGCTTCCATGCCTTGGCAACGTTGGTCCGTGACGGAGCTCGAATGAAGGGCGTGCCTGTAGTCGTAGAGCCGGATGTGGGCGAAGCCGAGCTCGGATCGAGTGCTTTCATCGATTGCCCCAAAGTTGCGCCCTGACTGCTACCGCTGGAGCTGGCTCGTGCACCCGAGAACAGCTCGGCAGACCTCGAGTACTGCCCGCTACTGTTCGACCTCCCGAGCGGTATATCCCTGCCCGTGGGGCTTTTCCCTTCCCTTGGTGCACTGCCGGCTCTCCTACGCTTCAGACGAGCGACCGCCGGATTCGCCGGCGTGCCCAGCTCGAGGCCATCCTTCTTCTCGCCAAGCTCCTCGTTGTGCTGCAGTATCTTCTTCCTCAGCCCCAGCCATGCCGTGTTCACGGCATTATTGTCGTACAGCGAGAACGGACGGGGGAGCTGCTTCTTTGCAGCCGCTGCTGCGCCCGTCACTGGCGGAGGTATAGGCGAGAGCGGATCGTCGATAGCGAGTGGCGACGTGTAGAAATAGCGAACGGATATCTCAGTCGGCGCCTCGGTGGGGTGGAGGACCGCACGGATGTACTGGTTGGCGTGCGAGGACACGGCTGGCTCTCGGCCACTCATGATGGCGGAGGTCCAGACTGGGATGGCTATCGTAGGAACTCGCTGTTCTGTGAGATGCTCATATTATCTCGCCACCGATATACATTATACGTATCCTCATGTTGGGTGCAGAGGACAGTCTGAGGCAGGTGAAGACTGCAGCCTGCGGCAGACGTGCTTTCGTCGCGCGTTTTGGGAAGTCACTTGAAGCTCTGACGCAATCACGTCGCTAAAAGTGACGCCTGAGCATGTGCATCGAGGCCATCCCTGTCGATTCCTTCGGGCATATATCGATAGGCTTTCGATGGGCTTTTGAGCCTCTGCGACAGCCTTCTGGGCTTTGCACAATAATCGCGCAGCCGCATCCATTCCGCCCTCATCCCGCTCCATCAGCCCGGTCAAGTATTGGTCGACATGAGCGAAAAGCATCTGATCCAACATGACGTCTTGCAACGGCAACACCACCCGACATTAAGCAAAATATGGCACCGTTCAATTATGTTTTACTTTGTTGATCCTCGAGGCTAGAAACTATATACAAGTCCGTAAGATCATATCATATGCTTAACCGAAAAGGACATCACCCAGGCGGATCGACACAGTCTTGGTCTGGAGGTAGTTGTCCAGAGCAGCCTCACCCAACTCACGGCCCATACCAGACTCCTTGTAGCCACCGAAGGGAAGCTGCCAGTGGAGAGTGTTGTAGGTGTTGACCCAGACGGTTCCAGCGCGGAGCGCGTTGGCAACCTCGATGGCGGTGTTGAGGTTGGTGGTGTGAACAGCGGCGGCCAAGCCGTAGGTTGAGTTGTTGCTAGCCTTGATGACATCGGCCTTGGTCTTGAACTTGGAGATTGTGCAGACAGGGCCAAAGATCTCCTCTTGCTGGATCTTCATGTCCTCGGTGACGTTGGAGAAGATGGTAGGTTCGATGAAGTAACCCTTGTCACCCTTGCGCTTACCACCGGTCTCGACGGTGGCACCAGCCTTCTTACCCTCCTCAATGTAGGACATGATGCGGTCGAACTGGAGCTGAGAAACCTGGGGACCCTGGAAGGTGTCCTCCTTGAAGGGATCACCAACAGTGTTCTGAGCAGCACGCTCCCTGAATCGCTCGATGAACTTGTCGTAGATCTCCTCTTGGACGTAGACACGCGAACCGGCGCAGCAGCACTGGCCGTGGTTGTAGTAGATACCGAAGTTGACCCAGTTGATGGCCTCTTCGATGTCGGCATCGGCGAAGACAATGTTGGGGGACTTGCCACCGAGCTCAAGGGTGACCTTCTTCAAGTTGGAACCGGCGGCGGACTTCATAATCTGGCGACCGACAACGGTAGAACCGGTGAAGGCAATCTTGTCAATGCCCATGTGGGAAGACATGGCAGCACCGGCGGTCTTTCCGAAACCAGTGATAACGTTGATGACACCTGGTGGGAAACCAGCCTTTTGGATGAGTGTACAGGCAACGTAGGCGGAGAGAGGAGTCTGCTCAGCAGTCTTCAAGACGACCGTGTTACCGGTAGCAATGGCGGGACCAATCTTCCATGCCCACATAAGGATGGGGAAGTTCCAAGGAATGATCTGACCGCAAACACCAATCTGTGGGGGTTAGTAAATCTTCGAGTACGCGATTTCAGCGGGACTTACAGGCTCCTTGCGGATGTAGTTGAATGTGTCGGGTGATGTGTCGACGACCTTGCCCTCAATCTTGTCGGCCCAGCCTCCGTAGTACCTCAAGCAACCAGCGGCAGCTTGAACATCGACGTTCTTGGCCATGGAGAAGGCCTTGCCGTTGTCGAGAGCCTCGACGGCGGCGAGAAGATCAGCGTTCTCCAAAAATAGGTCGGCAAGCTTAACGAGAAGCTTTCCGCGGTTCTCGGGTGTCTCCTTCCTCCATGGGCCGTTGAATGCCTTGCGGGCAGCCTCGACAGCAATGTCGACATCCTTCTCGGTCGCCTCCTGAACAGATGTGATGACCTCTTCTGTGGAAGGGTTGATAACCTCGAAGGTGTTGCCATCAACGGCCTTGACGAACTCGTTGTTGATGAAACTGTTTTGGGTGTTAGAAGCTGGAGGGACTGACAGTGCTCCCGAAGATCGGAAGCTGGTAGTGCCAACTTACAGACCAGTGGGCTGGTCGTACTCGCCCGTCTGGGGAGTCTTGAGCTTCACTGAAAGGTCAGACATGATTGTAATTGCTGATTGGGTATCAGGAATAACAAAATGTGAGTGAGGAACAGAGTGGGTGGATGAGGGGTAGTCGAGTCTTAAGTACTTGCCGCTACGACAGCACGAAAGGAAGTCTCCACAGGCGAGCACCAAAATGGAGGATCGCCCAGACAGCCTCGGCCATCAGGAGCCCGTCTTGAGCAAGCTGGCGGCCTATCGCAGCATTGATCGTGCGTGTCGAGTGGCGCTTGTTGCTGCGACATCGAGCTCCTGCCCCGCTCCTTTGGCCACTGGCGTGCTACCCCTCCCCCGCAATTGTGCGTCGCGACGTCTTGTTGCCGCATGTAACCACGCCTAACGTGGAGCTTGACTCTCCAATCTGGAATAGACAGGGAGTCTAGCACACAAGCCTGACCATGGATTCGTTGCTGATCGTTCCTGCGCCTGCTGAACCATCACCAACAAGATGCTCAAACTTGACATGAAGCTTTGCCCGCGCGCGCTCTCCAGGCTCGGAATTGGACTCATTCCGAGCACAGTTCTATCCACCTCAGAACCACCATGCTAGCACGGATCTGGTAACCCCGTAGCCCTACCCAGCGCGCTCGGCTTCCTTTCGAGCGAGCACCGGGGGGAGATGTCCAGAGTATGGACGTCGAGAAGACCGTTCACCTCATTGCTAGAGTAATCACAAAACGTGCTAAACGCTCGAGCGTTTGCGATCAACATGCAGAAGACAGGAGGTCTGAGGTTGAGCCTATTCGACCCGTAGCGGCTGCATCGGATGAACGCTCCATTACCCCGGCAAACTGTTGCGACAGGTCCTCAAGCCGGGAGCTGGACCGTACCGCAAGTCAGCAGCTGCTGGGTTCGCGGGGAGCAAGCTGATGAGGTGGAAGCTAACGATGCTGGCGTGAGTTCTCCGCACAAAAGGCTACATGGACACGAATGGGATTGTTGCATTCTAGTAGCCGGAACCTGTCTGTACGCGCCTTCCGGACCCCGGAAGTGTCGTGGCAGTTCATTATTGTTGCAATTGCTTGGTCTGGAGCGAAATGGGAGCACAGTTTGTCGCTCGAGAGGCGGAACGACATACAAACATCTTTGTAAGCTTGTGTAGGAGGAGTGCGGGATGGTTCCGCGGATAGTTCTGCGTACATGGAACGCGCCGTCCACAGCTGTGCAAGATATCAAGAAGCCGACTGAAGCATTCTGGTCGCCATCTTGTTTCAGCCTGCCGTCAGCTTACTATTCACGGGATTCCACTTGGGTCGCACGTTGACAGGAACTTGCTCCGCTTGAGCGTTCCAACTTCCGCTACGCTTCGTTCCGGCCAACGCTGATTGCGATCGTATCTCCGAGCCACGGCGATAGCGCAACGAGGTATGGGCTCGTTTGGGCGCACAGCGGCAATGTTCACACAGATCGATGACGTTGAGCATAACATCCCGTCACTGACTGCCATTTCTGTGTTGGCTACCTAGAGTCGTAGCAATCCGAATAGTAATCGCTCCCGTATATTGTACAAAACCGAACCGGATACCATGTCGACCAGAGTTCGTCGCAATTTAGAGGTCGTATCGTTTGCATCTAATAAATAATAGAATCCTAAAGAAAAGAACGGCAAGGGAGACCGGTCGTTTCAAGGTGCATCGATTGCCGCTCCTCGTCGGATTGAACATGAAGAGAGAAACAAGTCGTCAAAATCACTGGAGGGCTGAGTCGCTTATAGCATCTCATCGTCCATGGCGGTATCGCCTCCTACGGCAGCTGGGGCGGCCCCGACGCTGTTGGTAGCCATGGCATCGTTGCTGCCGTCAGCGGTGGGGAAGTAGTCGGCCATCTCGGCATCGAGCTCCTCGACCGTCTTCTTCTTCTGGCGCTCACGACCAACACGGGCCTTTCCACGTCCTCGAGTGCCCTCACCGCGTCCCTTTCCAGCAGAAGGGGCGGCTTTGTCAGTAGTGGCTGGCTTGGGCTTGTCCTTCTTTGGTTGTCTGTATTTGTGAGCGACTGCCAAGCTGTAGAGGACAAGGGAGAGCTTACGTGACACGGTCAGCCAGGGAGGACTGCTTTGTCTGGGCGGGTACGTTCGCAGCGCTGACAAGGAGGTCGACGCGGATAGGGCGGTTGTCGATCTTGACGCCATTCAGGGCTGTGGTAGCCTTGGAAGCCTGCTCAGGGCGGTTGAAGATGACAGTTGCGCTTCCGAGGCTCTTGCCGTTCGGCCCGTACTGCATGAGAATCCTCTTGGGCCGGCCAACGCCAATTGCAGAGGCAAAGTAGTCCTAGAAGGCGTATTAGTCGTCGTAGTAGGGTAGGTATTTCGTAGCAATAATGCGTAACGCGCGTGTCCCGTGTCGGCGGTCGTGATCGTCCTCGAATCCATGTTCGGTAATCGTACGGCAGCGCTCGAAAAGCTGGGCTCGATGTCCAGGGCGCAGCGAGAAGACCTTTCGGTTCAGACGATGCCCTGGGAATGCCGAAGCAGACACTGGGCTGTGAGGAGTGCGCTATTGATACGCTACGAGCCATCTTTGAGAGTGTATTGCCATGCCCTCTGATGTTGATCATCTCCCACTGTTCATAGATTGGCTCGACTCCTCGGTGCTTGGAAGCTCACTGAGCTGCAACAAGCCGTGCTAGCGCTGGGCTGTTTGCGCACGTTGATGTCTGTCTCTCAAGCTGCCTGCCTGGCGAGTCCCAGCTTTCGTTGCCGAGGCGCCTCAGGGTGTTCGCATGCTGCTAGTCTTATGCCAGATGTGTCTGCCAAACACAGATTTTGACGTGACTTCTTTGCGAGACATGACTCAACGACCGTGCTGAGGGCTCAAGGGCAGGTCCGATATCGTCGTTGAGACGCGTTCGTGCGCAAAATGCGACAAGAGTAGGTTCAAAGACCCGCAGCGGTCTTACATACCTGAAGTTGACCTTGCTCAACGTCCAACGGCTGCAAGCGGTTAGCGGCGTTTCGGCGCGTCGTCTCGGTGTGCAAACGTACCAAGTTGGAGATCATGATCTTGCTCTCACCGCCGGTGGGGGCGGGGCCTGTAGGAGCTGCCTTGGGCTGCTTGGGCTGCCTGGTGGACTTCTTGACACCGCCAACGGGGGCAGCCGTGGCAGCTGGGCGACCAGCATCTGGGCGACGGCCACCGCGGCCTTTGCGGGTCGATTGCTTCCTCGAGCTGATGATAGACTCGAGGGACTGGTCGAGGCGCGAATCAGACATGGTGATGGTGATTGGGGATGGCGGCTTGGCTGTGGAGGATGCGCTGGACACGGAGGCAGCGGACGCGACGAGGCTTATGTCGCGGTGTGTTTGGGCAGGGCGCGTGGCAACTGGATGGAGGACAGTTGTCGCGTGTGCGCGTGGAGGCTTGGGCGCAGCGAGGGGGAGTGTGCAAAGTAAAGGCTGCAGAAGATGGCTGTGGTGGAGCGGGGTGGAGCTGGGTGGAGCGATGGGGGAAGACGGTGGAAGGGGGAGCGAAAGGCAAAACAAAAGGGAGAGAGACGCCGCCGGGCGCTCGGGCCCATCACCGGCTGCACAGCAAGCTGCTGCGCCACGCAGGGATCCCTGTCGCGCCTTAGTGACGACGCCAGCACCCACGACGCCAGCAGCAGCAGCACAACAATGGGCCGGTAGCAGAATGGCCGTGACTCCGGTGAGAGCACCGATTCCCGGCGCATGCTGTGGCGAAGCTGACCCCGTGCCAGTGGCAGTTCAAGTTCTTCGACGTCTCGCAAGTGAAGCTCGCCGACGACGAGAGCGCGTTCCTCGCCGAGGTAGGCCTCCACTGTCCACCGCGAACAGCGCCCTTCTCACACATGGCAGCCTGGAAACACCACTTGCGTCGTCGCCGGCTCCGAGAGCATCTTCGTTGGGAGCGCCGATGGCGTCGTCCGCATCCTGTCGCAGGCCTTCAAGGTCGTGCGCGCGTTCCAGGCGCACGATGCCGGCGCAATCACCTACATGAAGCAGATCGAGCGCACTGCGCTGCTGGTCACGATAGCAGAGGATCTGTCCAGCGAGCCCGTGCTGAAGGTCTGGGCGCTGGACAAGCTGGAGAAGAAGACGGGCATTCCACGATGCCAGAGCACGCTTCGGATCCAGAACGGCCGCAAGCAGTTCCCAGTCTCCGCCTTCGCGGCCCTGGACGACCTCTCGCAGCTCGCAGTGGGCTTCGGAAACGGCGCGGTCACGGTGGTTCGGGGCGATCTCATCCACGACAGAGGAGCGAGGCAACGGACCGTCTTCGAATCCGAGGAGCCCATCACTGGCATCGAGTTCCGGGAAGGGAACATCACCACCCTGTATATCGCCACGACCGCACGGATCATGACGCTCGTGATATCGGGACGGGGTCAAGGTCAGCCTGCAAAGTCGCTGGACGAGTACGGTTGCGCCAAAGACTGCATAGCCGTTGATAAGAGCACGCGAGATGTCCTTGTCGGGAGAAATGACGCAATCTACTACTACGGTCAGCATGGTCGTGGCCCACCGTATACGTACGAAGGAGAGAAGAAGATGGTCTCGACATACAAGGACTACGTAGTCATTGTAGCGCCGCCGAAGTCGAACGCAATGCCTAGGTCAAACCCGTTGCGAGCTTTTGGCGTTGGCGCGACCGACGATGCCTTCAACACATCGACCTTTACATTGCTGAATACGGAGCTACGATATGTAGCGCATCAGGAACAGCTGACATCACAGGTGCAGAGTGTCGTGTCTGAGTGGGGCGATCTGTTTGTTTTCACCATAGATGGAAAGGTGAGTACGCTCAGATCTTGCTCGTCTCCATGGTTGACGCAGGCCAGATCTTCAGGTACCACGAAAAGCCGTTCGCACAGAAGCTCGACATCCTGTACCAGCGTAACCTCTACGTCTTGGCCATCAACCTGGCTCAGAAAGCTGGCCTCGACGCATCACAACAGAATATCATACTCAGGAAGTTTGGCGATTACCTGTATTCGAAACAGGACTACGACACGGCCATGCAGCAGTATCTGAAAGCAATCGACAACACAGAGCCTTCCCAGGTCATTCGAAAGGTGCGCTTCGTATGCTCAAGCCCCTACTCGCGCTGACACTTGAGGCAGTTTCTGGATACCCAAAGGATACACAACTTGATTGAATACCTGGAAGAACTCCACGATCACCACAAAGCTACCTCGGACCATACGACATTGCTGTTGAATTGCTACGCGAAGCTCAAGGACGTCGACAAGCTGGAGGAGTTCATAAAGTCGCCGGATGACCTGAAGTTCGACCTCGATACTGCAATTTCCATGTGTCGACAAGGAGGCTACTTCGACCAGGCTGCCTTCCTCGCGCGTAAACACGGCGAGCATGAGCTCGTTGTCGATGTTCTCATTGAAGACTCAAAGAGACACGCGGAGGCATTGGCTTACATCTGGCGCTTGGAGCCCGAAGTCGCTTACTTCAACCTCATGAAGTATGCCACGGTCTTGCTTCAGCACATACCGAAGGACACAACTCAGCTATTCATCGAGTACTACACAGCCGCATTTCGACCCAAGAAGGATGCCATCATAATACCCGACGCCCCCGTATCTGGAGGTGGGCTGGGCATGGGATTTGGTGTAGCCTCAAGCGCAGTGCAAAACCTAGCTGCGCTATTGCCGTTGCCTTACATGAATACTAGTGCGCTTGCATCACCACCTACCGGCGAGCAGAAGAGCACAATGAGCCAGGCCCAAATCATTGAGCAGGTTTCTGATGAACCAGCCCCCCAGTACAAGGTGCCCAAACCAAGAACAGCATTCTCCGCCTTTGTAGATCATCCGCAGGAGTTCATCGTGTTCCTCGAGGCGTGCATCGAGTCGGACAATTTGCGAGAGGATGACAAGGTCGATCTGTACACGACATTATTCGAGATGTACTTGCACACCGCCTCTTCCAAGAAGGATGGTGAGCGCCAGACATGGGAGAACAAGGCTAAGAAGCTTGTGGAGGGCAAGGACATACCCATCGACACATCGAATGTTCTGCTGCTCTCGCATCTTTCCAACTTCCGCGACGGCGCAATACTCGTCCGCGAACAGCAAGGCCTTCACTTCGACATATTCCGCAGTTACACCGCGGCAGGCGACACACAGGGCGCGATCCGTGCTCTGCGCAAGTATGGCCCAGAGGAGCCGGCCTTATACCCTGCCGCACTTGCCTACTTCACGTCTTCGCCTGAGATTCTCGCCGAAGCCGGCGATGAGCTCGACTCGGTCTTGAAGAAGATTGACGAAGAAGGGCTCATGGCGCCGCTTCAAGTTATACAAACGCTGTCGACGAACGGCGTTGCTACCATGGGTATGATCAAATCTTACCTGAGCACGACTATTGAACGCGAACGTGTTGAGATTGCAACAAATCGACGCACCATCGAGACCTTCCGTGCCGACACTGAAGCGAAGAAAACCGAGCTTCAAATCCTCAACACGAAGCCTGTTGTGTTCCAATCGACTCGCTGCAAGGTGTGCAACAAGACATTGGAACTGCCGGCTGTGCATTTCCTGTGCAAGCATAGCTTCCACCAAAGCTGTCTGAGCACGGACGAGGATGTGAGAGATGCAGAGGTGGAGTGCCCATTATGCAGTGGCCAGAACGCAACAGTCAAGGCGATCAGGCGCGCGCAGATCGAGAGTGCGGATAGACATGATTTGTTCTCAGATGCATTGCGTAGGAGCAGGGATGGGTTCGCTGTCATTAGTGAATGGTTCGGTAGGGGTGTGATGGGCGTGGAAGGGAAGGATTAGGTCACTGGTTGACGATGCATGATCTGCATCATCAATACCAAGTGTAGCCAAACTGTCAGTAATTATGGTACGCAGAGGTGCTCGTTCCTTCCTCAAACTTGGGAGGCGCTAGCGTCGACCCGCTACCTAACTTGTCCATCCCCGAACCAGGTTCCCATCTTTCTTCCTCCAAACCTCCCACGCAAGATGCTTAGACACAGCTGTAAAATGGGTAAAATTCCGGATATCATCGCCGATGACTTGAAGCACTGCATACTGGAGGACTATGTAAGATTTCTTTCAGTTCTCGTTTTATCACAGAACTAACGTTATGCTTACAAGATATAGGTTTGTCTGCCTGCCGATTTTCGTAACCCGTCTTTAGTCTCCAAGTCGTTGAACCTTGCAGTCATAGAACGGCTCTACAAGCACATCGTCTTGATCGGCGAGGCCCATTGCATCGTCTTTGATCTTTGCCTCAGCCGTGGTGCATCGAAGCATTTGCAACACGTGCGAGAGTTGAGCTTCCTTGAGAAATGGGTTGGGAGCACAGGATCAACATCAGTCCGGACCCTACTTTACGGACCGGAATCGATTGACTATAAGGGTCACAATTGCCTACAGGGCAGAGATGCTGTCGAGTTCCGTCTGCTATGGCTACTGTGCGCGCTGCCGTGCAACCAGCTGCATACAATCCGGCAAGTTCTCAGTGACCTATCCTGACAAAGGGCTAAACACCGGGCCGGCCGGTGCCAACTGATGTTGATGGCTATTTGCTGAGTTTATGTGCGGCTTGTTGCTTGCGGAACCCCTGAGGAGAGAATGCCTCGAGCACGTTCGTGCACACCAAAAGAACCTGACTTGTCTACATGTCAATACACCTATTGCTTCATGGGCGGTACCATCCAACTTCCATGAAATTGCCATTGGCTTCCACAACGTGTACGACAAAACACAGTGCCTTGACGATATCTTGGACCGATTTTCATCTCCCCAAGCCCTCACACTCGCATTCTGGGGAGGGTGGACATCCGAGGTTCATCGGAACTGGTTGAACTGGACCGATCAGACGGCACACAAAGTAGCGCCTCAACAGCTGACTGAGCTTGGAAGCATGCCCGATACCTTTTGGCAAGCAATGTCTGGCAAGCTCGACTTATTGCACTTGACAAGCTTGACACTGAACAAGTGTGATTCCGATGCCCTTGGGGCACTGCGCCAATCGGTTTACAACTTGGTGAAACTCAAAACTTGGTGTGCGACCAGTCTTGGAGATGTCCAACTCTATGTGTTGCAAGAACTTTTTGAAAGTAAAAAAGAGCTTGAGTATGTGCATCTGGATATTCATGACACTCAGCTCAAATTCGCCCCGAGGACCAATCTCCACAACAACCTCTCACGCGGCCACCACGGAATCCCATATTGACTCAAAGACCGAGCATACCTTTGGCCAGTGCGGCACCGGATTAGGTCGTTGTCTCTCAACGACAGAGGGTTCTTGGAAGATTGTGCTGATGAAGTCGCAATAGCAGGGTATGACACTCGCGTGAATACCTTCATATTACGAGAAATCATCAATATTTGTATCCACTTTCCAAGATTACAACAGTTTGGCATGGAATATTTTCAAGCCTCGCACTCATGCCGACATGCTAGACATCATAGTAAGCGAGACCAAAATAACATGTGCCAGGCTTACTACTGATCACTCTTGCAGGACTCCTTGAGCCATCTCGAGGATCTACGTATGGTTCGTGTATACCAACAATGTTTCGCACTTTCTCAGGACAGATACCGCTGTGATTGCAGCAACGCTATCTCACATCTACATCACTTTGCTACACAACTCTTCGAACACCTCCACTACCGTTGTCCTCGACTAAGTGTTTTCGCATGGGGTCTCTGCGGTGGACTTTCGACTCCCGGAGGCGCTCCGCTCGGCAAAGAGATGAACGATTCAGCGCCAATTCGGTAGCATATCTTTGCCAAAAGAACAGCAGTGCTACCAGATGGCAGTTTGAAGATTTTTGCTGTACCAGTGTCGCGCGCTTGGGTCTGATCTGAGTTCCCCGACTTAGACTTACTACGGCATGACCCAGGTCTATCCAGGGCAGACCCAGGTAATCAATTGTTGGGTTGGTAGACCAGATGCGTTGCATACGCGGATAAAACGAGAGCTTGAACAAAAACACCCAATAGGTGCCCAAATCCTATCTCCCGAAGCATACACAGGTCGGCTTGAGATTCGGCTTCCAAGACACGGCCTCCAAGCCACGGCCTCGCATGCATAGAACGCTCCGGATCCGACCGGTTAAAATGCCTGGATGGGTTGGTCCAACTATCTCAGGTAAACAGTGGAAATTCGCCCTTCCCATTCTCAAATCCAGGAACTAGCAGAATTGCGTGGCCGTTCTCCCAGCTGCGCACAACTATATTCTGAGCTGGAGGACTGAGACATCCTTTGTAGTGGCAAACGACCTCCTTTAAGCACTCACATCAATCGGCGGGAGAGTGACCAGTCAGTACCCACAACTCCCTAATGCGACGCAAAGTGAATGCTTGTACCTTCGAGGCGCCCAGGCACTATTGCTCTGCATAAGGCTGCACCTAGACCTAGGTCCTAAATCGGCGTGTATAACGCCACGTCCGGCTCACCTCACCGGAGCGAATCCAGACTCCAACGAAAGGCCTGCAAGCCGCAGGAACTACTGTGCAGTGCGGAGTCTCTGCGCCTTGTATAGCCCGAGCCAATACCCGCAGTCGAACCATGCAAGAGTGTACCTATGCGACGCAGCTCTTGGCACTCTGGTCTGATCGTACCACTGCCGGTACACTTCTGATCGGCAAGTCCACATAAAGAAAGCTCAGGGCGCTCTTTCAGATGCCCATGACTTCTGATTCTTGACCATGGGTCGCTTTACTTTGTTTACAGCGTTCTTGCTGTCTACCAACGCGCACGCTGCGAGATGGATCGGCGAGACCAGAGTAGAAGACGGTATTAACTACCAGTGCAATTGCTACTCCGACAACGCATGCTGGCCGACAAATAGAGAGTGGGACTCCTTCAACAAGACGCTGAACGGAGCTTTGCAGCTTGCGATTCCAGCAGCAGCGTCGTGCCACTACAAGTTCGAGAACTACACCTTCAACACCTACGATGCAGCGAAGTGTGCTGATGTCACCGAGAAGAGTGGCAATGGAATCGAAGGCGGCGATGAGCAATGGCCGTGAGTATTGCTCGAAAGTACGAAGGACCACGTAGCTAATAGCCCGCAGGACCGATCACCCAATTGCACAACTCTGGCCTTTCATGAGCAACAACACTTGTCCGCCTACGGAAGATCCATCTACACCGTGTACTCGTGGTTTCATGGGTCACTACGTAGTGCTTGCAAGGAAGAAGGAGCACGTCAAAGCTGGTGTTGATTTCGCGAGAGAACACAATTTGCGTCTCATCATTCGCAACACTGGACATGACTTCATGTCAGTATACTCGACACTTACCTCCCAGAGATCCTGATAAAAAGACAGGGGCTGATCGACCGGTTATGGAGCACTTCTCATCAACACCCATAGCTTCAAGGATGTCAAGTTCATCAAGGAGTACACCGGTCCAGGGAATTGGAGAGGTACTGCCGTTACCGTCGGTGCTGGTATTCAGGGTCGCGAACTCTATCGCCACGCCTTCGCGCAGTCACCCAAACAGGTCGTCGTGGGTGGAGAGTGTCCGGTAAAGTCGCCATAAGAACATAATGTGATGGAGGCTGACACGCCTCAGACTGTTGGCTGGGCTGGTGGTTATCTCCAGGGTGGAGGCCATGGTCCACTGAGCGGCATCTATGGCATGGGCTCGGACAACGTTCTCTCTTTCGACGCCATCACTGCTAAGGGCAAGTATGTGACTGCCAGTTCCAAAGAGAATCCCGATCTCTTCTGGGCACTCAAGGGCGGTGGACCCAGCTCCTTCGCGGTCGTCACCTCAGTCACTGCAAAGACATTCCCCGAGGTCCCAACAGCGGGTGTCACAATCAACATCAACTCCACACACACCAACGACACCGCCCTCTTCAACAAAGGCCTTCACATCTTCCACAACCAAGCCAACCACCTCAGTAACCTCGGCATGTTCGTCTACTTCGAGCAAGGCCCCGGCCCCGGCCGTCTGAAGATCGCGCCCATCGTCGGTCCCAACATGAACCTCACCCAACTAAGGCCACCGTGGAACCTCTCTTCACGCAACTCAACAACACCAAAGTCCCCTACGACACACATTTCCGCGCCTCCCCCACATTCTTCGAGTTCTACATCGACATGTTCGAAGACGAGTCACCGTCGCCAAACTCCATCATCGGCGGGCGTCTCTTCACGCAGCGCGACATGGCCGAGACCAGCCAGGCCATTTCCGACGCCCTCATATTCGCCGCCACGACCGGGATAAATGTCGGCCACATTGTGAATCCCGGTCACGGCGCGCCGACGGTGGACAACGCAATCCACCCCTCCTGGCGCAACGCGAGCAGCTTCGTAATCACAAACGTGCTGATGAGCGGCACGGAGCCGTGGAGCACCAAAAAAGAGAAAGAGCTCTTCAATACAAACGTCATCGGTAGAGCGATGCGAGACGCCGCGCCCCATGGCGCGAGTTATGTCAATGAGGGGGATCTGTATGAGCCGCACTGGCAGGACGCTTATTGGGGTGCTAATTACCCCCGGCTCTGCGATGTTCGCCGCAAGTGGGATCCTGAGGGTGTCTTCTATGCGCAGACCACGCCGGGTACGGAGAAGTGGAGCGTGATTGATTATGGGAGGAAGCTGTGCAGGAAGATCTAGGCTGGTCGTTCGACCTGCAGATTGCATGCTGGATGCCGGAACGCTAGATATCAGGAGGCTCTAGCACCAGAGCATAAAAGCGCGCGAATCGCATTCGTGCGGACTTACTGTGGTTTCAAGTGCGCTGTGAGCGTTTGCACCAAGAGCTCACGCGCTGTAAGAGCTGGGCCATCTACCTACATATTCTGGCTCAGTCCTCTCATACACCGGAATATCGCGCTCATCCGAGAGGGAATGTCAGCCTAGACAACGGCAAAAGGAACCGCGCACCTAGATCCTCTCTGCTCCTACTATCAGTGATTGAGAAAGGATGTTGAAGGGCAAAAACATTGGTCACTACGAGGGTCGAACTCGCGACCTTGGCGTATCAAGGTATACTATTAGCACCACGCTCTAACCAACTGAGCTAAGCGACCAGGTGTGGTTTATATACAATGCTGAAGGGTAGTATACTTATATTTTCAACTTTTTGGCACTTCTCTCACGCTTCCGATGTTGGGATACTGTCTAAGGTGGGAGCGGCCCAGGGTCCGATCGCCCCAATTATTGTACCCCGCCAAGACTGAGACGTGGTGCTGACTGCTGCCATTGCAGCCACCAAACGTGGCTGTTGGGTAGTCGTTTGGGTTCGTTATAAATGTGTATGCTACAGATGTACTGTGTTATTGCAGTCGAATGTTGCTTTTATCGGAGTCCGCAAGCGCTCACTTCCCCCTCCTCTGCTTCGCCTCGCTGCTCGCTTCCTTCACCGTCGTCTTGGCTCCTTTCTTCTCCTGCTTCTCGCTCTCCTTTTTCTCGACCGCCCTACGCTTCGCGCCCTCCTTCTCCAGCAACTCGATCGTTTTCTCGCTGCTGGTCCACAGCTTCTTCTGCAGGTCCTCGTCGCTGATCTCGGTGCGTGTCCAGGCGACCTTCCTGCACTCTTTGAGGAAGAAGCCGCCCTCGCCGCGGCCCCACTCGGCTTCCATCACCGCATGCAGGAAGGTCTGAGCGCCTTGATCGGCGCTCTTCAGCACTAGCCACCACATCGGCCACATGAGGAGGTAGAGTGCGAGGCCCCACAGGGTACCCAGGGTGAGGTGGCGCCGCATTCCGGGCGTGCGAGTCCAGCCCGGATCGACCATGATGACGCGGGCGTTCATGGGCTTCTTGTCCGGGCGGACGTACGCGTTCAAGTGCTTCTGGAAGGCGACTGCGAACGTCATTAGGGCAAGCTTTGATGTGGCGTAGACACCGCTAGCCTCGAACTCGATCTGTCCAGCCTCGCCCTGGCCTTTCTTCGAAGCTGGCTTGGCGTCGAAGTCTGGCATCTTGCCGGCCAGGTATGCGCTGCATGTACCGAAGATGATGCGCACGTCCCGATCAGGCGGCTGGGCTCGGAGGGCCGGGCTGAGGATGCTGAGGAGGTGGAAGTTGGCCATGTAGTTCAGACCCCAGGTCGACTCGAGTCCGTCTTCAGTGATGGCTGCCTTGCCACCCATTGGCGTCATTGTATTTGCGCATAGAATGATTGTGTCGAGGCGGCGCGGCGGGGCATTGTCGACCCATTTCGTGGCGAAGAGACGTATGCTGTGCAGCGATGTGAGGTCGACGTGTTCGGCGGTGATGAGCTCGTTGCCCGTCTGTTCGCGCAGGTCTTCGATGTAATCGACGAGGAAGGGGTCGGAGAGGGGCTGCTGGACCAAAAGAATGATTTGTGCACCGCGTGTAGCAAGCCCCTTGACGACCTCGGCACCTATTCCAGCTGTACCACCCTGCAGAAGTCAGTATGCGTACCAAGGTTGGGAGAGTTCGAGCCTACCGTGACCATGACCACCTTGGAATGCATGTTCCGCTCTGACGTGTTGGAGGCGCCATTGAAGAACCATTTGAGTAGGTAGAGCACTCCAACGACGGAGGCTACCTTGATTATGGACCAGCCATACGGTATCGAGTCCAAGCCCTCGGTGAAGCCCTGGTGAAGGATTCCAATGGGCATGATGAATGGCTGCTGATTAGCTTCGGAAGGGGTTCAATGTTCGGAATCAAGTGCCCCATTGCCAAGCAGTCGCGTAGCGTCATGACATGTGATCGCGCGAGTGCCTGTATCGTTTCCACAATGCAGCAATGTCGTGTCATTCTAGTCAATCTCCACCACTCGCCCATGTATAGAAATGTCTCCGGGCTTGCCGCCAGGACGAGGTGAACGGAAGGCGTCGCTACCACTTACGTGAGGAGGAGGAACTTACGACTTCAAACCACCACAATGCCGCCCACCATGGTACCTCGCCCCGAAGAGGAACAAGAAGAAGAAACCGACCCTCGCTACGACGACACAGATATCTCAACCCTCCCCTTCACCTCGCACCCCGCCTACGGCCGCGGTCTCTGGAAGAAACCCATTGCCTTCGTACCCGGCGCTTCTTCCACTACTCCCGTACCCTCGAAGCCCGCAGACGGACAATCGATAGCGCAAAAGTACCTCGCCATCATGTTCCCGAACGGCCAACCCCTCCCAGAGCCAGACGCCTACCCGCTCTGCGGTATCTGCGGCGAGCCTGTCAAAGAGGCAGATCACCGAATCCATTTCCTCAGCTCGTCGCACCAAGCTGCCCTACCGCGTGCACCGGTGCCAAGCGCGATCGATCGCACGAGAATGGGGCTGAAGTACATGCAAAGTTTTGGCTGGGATGTGGACGCCAGAGTAGGGCTGGGAGCGAATGGGGATGGTATGCTGTTCCCGCTTGTGCCGAAGGAGAAGAGGGATAAGCTGGGGTTGGGGATCGATAAGAAGGATGAAGAGAGGAGGAAGGGGCTGATGAGCGGCAGAGGGGTTGCGAAACAGGGAGAGATTAGGCTGGATGCGGGGAAGATACACAAGTTGGCGAAGGTGGAGAAAAGGAAACATGATAAGCTGCAGAGGATGTTCTATGGGAATGATGAGGTTGAGAAGTATTTGGGGGAGCTGGGCGGTTGAAAAAGTCCAGGAAGGTTGACAGAAACGAACTTGCGGGTTGGTCGACGTACATAGCGAGAGGGCTACTTGTGATACCCAATAGATCGATTGATACAAGTGCTTCATACAGTGGTTCTCTCACATTTGGGCTGAATGACAGGCCGTTCGTTTGGAAGCGAAAACAGGCATGACGTTGAAGTGGAAATTAATTCCAAGTCTCAATTTTCACAAGGCATCGCTTCCCCACGGCATCTGCCTGATCATGATAATTGAGGTAACTAGCGAGCGATTCGAAGTGGAGGGAATCGGCACTGGTTGGGCAGTGGATACAGAACCACTGTGGTGACACGTGATTACCTCATGGCCCCGCGGCTCTCCCTTCCTCAACTCGTAAGCACCTGCCCTTGTCCTTCACCTCCGCACTATGCTTCTTGGACGAATTCTTGCGCATCAACAGATTATAGATTATTGATATGCCGCCGTCATCAACCTCCATCCAAAGTCAGCCAACTAAACCACCATCTTCCCTTCCCTTCAAGATCGTAAAACCGCCAAACATCATGCTAAACATTACAGCCGGAGCCACTAATATCCCCAATCCTCCTTCAAAGTCAAACAGGTATAATGCGAATGCTCCTACGAGCCCCCAATGAATAGCAACATAGCGTCGTGAAGAACGTTTAAATCCGGAGCGCCGCCCGCTAAAGATGCCGAAACCGTCTGATCATGTTACAGCCGTGCGCTGTATGCGCACAGAAGCTGCCATGTGCAAAAGACGATCGCGATCACATTGCCAGCATCGCAAGGAAGCCTGCGACACCAGCGAGACCGGCACCGACGGCGGCCTTCGCGTGCGACGCAGCGCCAGTGGACTCAGGAAGAGGGGATCCAGTAGCAGTGCTCGAGCCGGACAGGGTCGCAGAGTGGACGGCCGAGATGGAGGTGCTGTTCGAGCCCATGGGCGTCGAGCTGGCGGAGACGGCAGCCGAGCTGACGACAGGCGTGGTCGTAGCTTCAGCAGCAGCAGGGTACAGGAGAGGCAGGATGCTCTTGACATCGGCTGGCATCGATGCATACCACCCTGGAGTGCTGCCGGCAGCAAGCGACGAGCTCATCTCGGCCGCAAAGGCCGACTCGGAGGCAATTGCGTAGCTGCGCACATCGGCAGGCAATGCGGTCGCGAGGACCATCAGGACGGACTGCGCCTGCTCAGGACTACATCACTGTCAGTCGCATGTCTACGAGGCTTGCGTGGTCGTTGTGGAGTCGCGTGCGGCATACCTGACAGACGTCTGAGCACTCACGCCCACAGCCACAGCGGCCACCCCGGCGAGAAATGTGAGCTGCATCTCGTATAACGATTGCCAACGGTGAAAACACTAAAATGACTGTGGAGAACGACACAGCTCACACGTTCAGTAGTGGAGATGCGCAAGGAGCGACAACAGAGCAGCAAACAGCGAGCGACAGAATTGAGATGAGAAGGGAGGCTCTTTGGGGCTTCCGGGCTGTATATGAAACGGGCTCACGGCACGACATGTTCACGATGCCATGCCTGGGGCGGCTACCGAATCACTGCGACTAACCACCAAGGGTCCAAGAGCGTCTGCAAGCTGCGATTTTAAAATTGCGGCGAGAAGACGTCAAATGATAAGGCTGGGGTAGAAATGAATCCTGCACAAGCGAAATGCGCATTTGGTGATTCGCTGCACAACGCATGTTATTATCGTGCCGCTAATGCGCTCAGGGGCTGTGGAACATTCGGTGCAGTGCAAGCTACTTTGCAGGCTTCCTAACTATTGCCTTTGTTGCCTCGTGAGACTCTAAGGTCTTCGGTGCTTCATGGTGCAGCACTACAAACTATCCCGCTTCTTGAATTCTCCGGCTGCAGCAGCGAGCTCGAGTCATGCTCAATTAACGACAGCGGAGGTGTCAGACTCGTACACCAATCACGACGCTCGTGAGGCCCTTAGTGAGGGTCTCTCATTTCCACTTTTTAAGCTCACACAGACCGTGAGGTCGGTTTCCAGGGCAGCCTCGCTGCGAGGCCGAACCAGGTGCGTGATCAGCAGCCTCATCGGGAGCTACGATTTTTTTGCGCTGTGAGTGATTGTAGTGGTTGTTGTAGCCGCGAAGCGGTAGGGAAAGGTCTTTCACAAGGCTTCAGCCGTCTCAACTCCTGTCAGTCGATATTCTCAAAGGAGCGAGTGGCAAGTGACAGCGCGCATCGCAATTTTGCGCTCGGTAGTCGCCAGCCGAAGGATGAGGCCGCCCAGGTGCCAAACATCGTGACTTTTCTTCTGGGTCTTCGGTAACTCGACATCGTGGAGATTTCGTACTTGGCCTCAAGGCGCCCAGGCACCCTACCGTCTTCTATCGTGAATTTAGACAATCTCACTTGCGCTCACCTGGCGCAACTGTTCTGCGTGCCAAAGTCTTAATACTTGTGTCTACATAAACTATTGTGTCAGTCATCCATGCTATGTACATGTAGCATTATTATTAAATTCGAGTCCGTTCAGATCGTAAGATATTCTCCCAGTGCAGCCGCAACAAGTAATCGTAGACGTAAGGATATAATCGTGACGCTCAGTGAAGGCGAAGGTATCATCTCTAAGTGGGCATAAAGTCGTCAATACGATATCGCGATGCCAGGAAAGTCGTAACGCAAACATCCCGCCATACCCCTGTTTGGGTGTTCCCATTTCCGGCTTACACATGCGTGCTGAAGTCGTTGGCCAACGACTGCAACAGATTTGGTGCGAGCCCTCAAAAGTAGGACTCGACAACATCCTGCCCGCCACGGATGGCCCACTCAACGATCTCCATGCCGTTGAGTCCGCTGGCCCAGTAGCTCTTCTTATGGCCCTGAAGGCGGTTAAATTTGTTGTATGCTCCATCCCGGAGGGGCTGGCTATCGAAATGTGGGAAGTAGTCCCACTTTTTGAAGGCTTTGACATCACTGCCGGTGAGAGGCTTCGCGGTCTCATTAACATTGCGAGGGTCCTTATTGATATCTGACAAGCTCTCGATCAGCAAGCGACGAGCAGCCTCTTCTGTCTGGAACTCGTATGGACCCCAAGACCAGGCAACAGAAACGTTCGACTGTTCGTTGAGGCGCAGCACTGCAACGGGCTCACCGTCGTTTGGCGGAGGAAGTACCGGTGACGAAGTGTTTGCAATGTAGGAAACGCCAAACGGAAGCTGGAACTCTACCGCTGAAGAGTAGTACTGGATGGTCGAAACGTTTGCAAAGACGTTGTACTCCTCTTCTGTGATGTCCAACCCGGCTCTTTCCAGGTTCTCGATATTTGGTGGAAAAGCGAAGATAATTGAACTACACTCTTGCTTGCGCCACTCATAGAAGTTTCCGCATGGTTCGATGTATTTGATCACTGGGTTCTTTCCAGATCGATCGATGCATCGGACCTCGGCGGAGGTCTTGATAGGTGTGTTGCAAAGCTGTGTCGCAGACCATTCCAAAAACATCTTGTGGAAGTCCATGTAATACACTTCGTGTAATCCGATGAAAGCGGTCAGAATATCCGGCGTGAAGTATTGCAAGATATAAAGCTGTATCACGTGTCAGTACATGCATGCATTATCCCTGCAAACTCCATGCAGAGGAGACTGGGACATACTGCTGGGACAATGTTGATGTCGCCGTATCCGTACAATGCCACTGGGTTTACGAGCAGAATTGGAAGAGCCGTGAAGTTGTTTTGGCGGAACCACTGAGATCCAGAGACAGTAAACTCATCTGGCGTGCCATTCTGCGGCTCGTCAGCCTACCGTTATCGTAGCACGTCTTGCGCCAGGCTTGTGTCATACCTTGTATCCAGCGACACTATATGGTCGAAACCGTTGATTCCACAGCGCCACGTAACGCGGAATTTCGGCAGACAACGATGCCAGAAATTGCGGGATCAGCGTCGGATTTGCTTCGATCGCGCCATTTGTGTAGTTGTAGCGAAACATTTCGCGCGCACCAGCCAGCGCGAAGGGCTCGGAAGTCACATTCGTCTTGTCAAGGAACTTCAGGGTCTCGGTGTAAGTTGCGTTCGAGAAGAAGGCGGCGCCAAGCGGATGGAAGACACCTCTGAGTGGTCTGGTCAGCCGCAGTTGGGCGCCTCCAATGCTGTGGAACACTTACTGCTCGTCATACCATGCTTGACATTTACCACCAATTTCTTCCTGTTTATCAAAAATCATGGCTTTGATGCCTTTCTCCTCCAGTTTTGCCGCTGCAGACAGGCCTGATGGACCTGCACCGATGATGCATACTGGAGGCTTTGCATGACGAGGCTTGGGCAAAGCTGATACTGCAAGCGAAAGAAGTGGTAGGAGCAGCGACCATGTTGTTGTGATTTTCATGGTATAAGTTGGCAGTTGAGAGTAGGAAAAGGTGGCGAGTACCTGCAGCTTATAGTAAGTCTCAGTACTAGAACTTTACAAGGCTTCCTTTAGGACGGTGAGGCCTTCAGCTGCACGGTGCGTTGGCAGCTACTTGGACTGGCAAGGTCGGGTTGCCGCCTCAACACGCCAGGATGTTTGAGGCCTTGAAGGAAGCGAGGAGCAGCCGGAATCTTGACCGATGAGGTTAAGTTGAACGAATGAAGGTCGTGCGTCGAAGCTTTGTGCTTCTAGGATGACTTTCAAGGCCGAGTACGAGGGCGATGGCGATCTGATGATTTTACTATAGAATGCTTCTGGTAGTCTGGGAAACGGTCGCAACAGCGATGGCCGGATTCCTGTGAACTCTTCAACCCTGCAACGCCTAAGGCAAGGGCAGCTGCACATGGCGTTGTAGTTGATAAATGTATCCAGTGCACGATCCGGTACCGTGAAGATCAGTCTGCAGATGTCACTCTGCGTTTGCATTGCAGCGCATTGCATAGGTAGCGTGCGCCCAGTCAATTGGTTCAGCCTTAAGCCCCACGATCATGTATCAACTATCATCTCGCCAGCATCATGGTTGGTTCCTGACTCTTGAAAAGTTGCGCGTCCCTTCACAATCGCATTAGAAAACGAACCTGCAATTCAGGACCTTGTGAATATTGTTTAACGATGCGCCGTGCCAGGTGCAACCTTGCAACACGACGCGATCCGCAAGTTCCTGATTTAGCCGAGCGTCATGCTGAGCTGAAGAAGTCTCTGCGCTGGCCATCCCGCGAGCCCGACAACTCACCTGCTCAGCGAAGTAGCGAGACGAATGGCAAGCCCTGTGACGACGAATAGTATGGCGAGAAGGCTGTGCGATTTGAAACAAAGAGGTTGGTGAATCGCGAGGGACGATGACATCAGAAATGCACAGACAGCCGAAAAGCATGGACAGAAAGAGCAGACAGGAAGCTTGAGCAGCCTCCCTTGGAGAACGTGGCGATGCTGCGGGAGATGAAATCAATGCCGTGGAGAACATCGTCGTCATCGAAGGTCGCGAAAAGGGTGGAGGCAGCATTGAGTCGCGAGATTGCGATTGGAGGAGAAAAGTGTCGCAGAGTGGGTGAGTGAGTGCTCAAGTACCCGTTCTTCCTCAGCCAGGATCAATGACGCAACTGGTCTTCTGAAAGCGGCTTCAGTGCAAATGCTCACCTGCAACGCCCATTGGGGCAGCGCATTGAAGAGAATGGTGCGATTGAGGCGATATCGTGATATTGAACTATCGACTCGACTGCCTGGTGGGTATGTGGAGGCAGACAATGACGTACGTAGCAGCCATTGAATCAGTAAGGAAAATCGCGAAAGAACCGCCACCCGTGGTATTCCCATTGCGAATCATTAATAGGGAGTAGAGAAGCGGACAAACGTGACAGAAGATGGGGCGACCCCAGGGACTCTACTGTCTACAGGACTGAACGTATGGATGCTTTCTGAAAAGAGTGGAGGTGTACTGGTGATCAGTACATGTATTTCTTTTGTTGCTCAATATCCATCTCAAAGCGACTTCTGTCGGTCGAGCCACTCATGGGCCGCTCGGAGAGCGGACTGCCATAGTGCAGAGGGATTGCAGTGCCAGGGCGCGACTCGATGTCAACTGGAAGTGCTGGTTTGCGCGCATCCATCTCAACTTGATCCACGATTGGTGTGAATTTCTCCCTTCTCCTGCTGTGGTCGGAGCCGTTGGCATACTTCGAGTTCTGAACTCGTGCGCGGGTACGGAATAGTAACGGCTTGAGGGCAGGTATACACCCACAGATCACGCCGACGTTGGTCTCAATGGCAGTCCAAATCCAGATGTTGTAGCCCTCCCAAGTGGCGTCGTAAGTCTCGAATAGGGTGTAGTGGATCCAGTACGCCCGGAAACTGCCGGCCACTACGATGACACCTCCCACTGAAAAGAGGATCACGAGACCAATACGCTGGTTCCATGGAAGTGACAGCGTGAACAGTGTCGGAATCGGCAAGGCGTAGATCATGAAGTCAGTCACTACGTTTAGGGTGCTTTGTACCATCAAGGGTGGCCCTTCTGGGATGCAGTCTCGGTGATCCGCGGTAAGCTTCCAGTAACTGGAGATGGGGCTGCAATTGTCAGCGTGTAATCGATCTATCATACAGAAAGCAAAACGTACATGCATTGTACCCACAGTGCCACGAGGAAGACGACGAACGCGGCGAATACGAGGGCGAAGGTACCCCAGACGAGCTTACGGAAAAGCGACTTCTCTGGTGCGATGCGAAAGTACGACACCAGAATAGACATCTTGACGGTGCTAGAAGCAAGGACGAACAACGTCTGTCCAGCCATCGACGCCTGCAGAATCGTCAGAACGCCAGTTTGGTTACACACGGTGTACAAGGTCGTACCTTTCGCCCAGTCGATAGCTCGGGGAGTTTCATGTCCCACACATGCTTATCCCAGCCGTACAATTGTGTAGCCATAATTACCAGCACTGTGGTTCCAACGGAGAAGACCTGTTGCTGTTGGCATCGCCACTCGGTGCCCCCGACTCTCGGTACATACCATAGCAGCAACCATGAGGTAGTCGTCCCACCAGCTCTTCTTCAGCCACACTATCCGGACGTACAGTCTCATGAAGACGATAACCATGGCGATGGGTAGTAGCGTGAGTTCGACGACCATCAGGGCAGGCCCTCGCGTGACAGGGTCGATGTAGTTTGGCTTTGGCCATGACGCAATGACCTCGGGCGGTGCGGACCTCATGATGGTAGAGGAGCAGTGGAATTGAAGCACTGGGCGTGTGCTTCAATCGATTACAATTTGTGAATGAAAATAGAGCATCACCGTCATGCAAAGGCATGGGACAAGCGGAGAAGATATATTCAGTCGAGTCCAGGGCGAGTCTGTACCTAGGTACTCAAGCCATGTTCAGCTACGACGTACTAAGGTATATCCACCTCGGATTCGCCAGGGCTGAGGGGTCTCTGCATATGAGCCTCTCTGAGGCGCGACTGGATCACTCGCATGGCAGCCATGGAGGGCACCGGTGCGGGTACTGGATGACAAGCCCGCTCCGGCCGCAGGGGTCCAGGTACCTGGAATTCGCCTTCAGCATGCCTGCGCCATGAGTTGCCAGTACAAAATCTGAGTCAGACTTCCGGCCAGTACGATGTGAGCTGCGGTGGGTCCAAAGAGAGCCAGGTTCAGGCAACGTTGTTGCTACCGACTGTCGTTGGACAGGATGCTGGGTTGGATTCGTGATGCGCTGGCCAATGAGGCGGTGTAGACTAGGGTTGGGCTGAGGCCCGTTCCGCTTCGAGACGCCGACGCTGGCTCGCATGCAACGTGATTTGGGGAGCACCATATGAGCCGATACTTCGGTCAACGAAGAGGCGCGACCCAGATCATCCACTTCGCTCAACAAGAGAGTTTTAAGAGCACAGCGTAACGCGTCTGTCGCGTGGGAGGTGCTTGGCAATTTTCGAGTTTGCCACTTCAGGCATAGGCCCTCGGGAAGCCGTCCAGTCAAATGCGGAGCTGGACTATCCTCAGGGGCTGGTCAACTTTGTGCGACGAGTTGCATTGCCGCGTCGCTCTTCGACGTGATATCCATCCAAAATGGTCAACGTGATGGTGGAAGCGAGGGTTATGAGGAAGCGCTGAATTGTCTCCACTACCTTGTGGCGACTAATCTGACTGAGTCTCTGCCCTCCCCTCGTCTTCGTTCTCGGAGCATTTGTGACGTCCTATGCCGGCACAACTTGCCAATCGCTCAATGTTAGCTCGTGCTCCTTACGCACCAAGGAAGCCACAAACAGCGAAATACGTCAGCTTCGATGACCCTGAGGTACGATCTAGGAGATCTTGATATCCCGTTATAGCATGACATCACGATCCGGATCACTGCAGCATTGCACTACACAACCCGTGTAAGCTGAACATACAAGATGTATCCAGCCGAATCTGAATGTCCAAGACGCTATCAGATACCGGCCGGACCGAGTTCTCCGCCTGAACGTGTTGACCGTTGGGGCCGCACTTAAGATAACCTCCATACTGCAGTAGCGAGTCAAAGCTAATTTCTGTAGTATTTTCACCTTGATGCTTACAGCGCGTTTGTAGGTCGGACGCGAGCCGGAGGCTGTCTGTGGACGTCTCCTGAGCCGTGTGGGCTTTGGGCGATTACTTCAACACCACGCCATCCCTAGTAGTACAGCTATCAGCTTATCGCTATCGCCCTGGCGCAGGCTCAGAATGCGGGGTACGTTGCCGAAGACTGAACGACCTCAATTCCGACGGGCGTGATGAATAAGCTTCGTCTGCATTTCGATCTCAATTACATTGTCATACGTTCCAATTGGGCACTTCCAGCGTCCCAACATGTCCAGAATGGTCGGGTCTCATCCTCATCACATTGACTTATACGTCCAAACGGCCTGTTCGGAATCAAATATATGCATCCAAATCATGTTTCAAATGGATGGCTGTCAAGACGGTGAGAGTCCCGTGGAAAGACAGGCAGACGTCACCCATAGCTTCGGCGAAGGCAATCGGTACACCGAAGCCACATCTGCTTCTTCCTTACAGGCAATTCAAAACTGCTCCTATTTTGATGGCAGTTGCTTGGAAGTTGATTAGGCTTGACTCAGGCACGGCATACACCAGGCTGGTGGTGGCGCTTGCATGCATGCACCCGCGATCTGCAGGGCTGTGCAATATTGGCTCAGCCCCACCCAGACTTTTGGCATCGCCAAGGTCCATCAAAGCTGCCTGCCACCTCTGGCAACGCAAATGCCATTTCCCACCCCTGTCGGCTTCTGTCATAGGCCAGGACTCACGCATTTTGATTGCCTCTGTTACGGCTCACGGACTCTGCAAGGACTCTATTAAGAATGCTGACCGCGCCGACTGTACGATCGACGGAGGCTCACCTTGAGAGAGCTGTAAGAGCCGTTACTAGAGGAGTGGAAGGCAAATGACTCATGCAGCCGTTATTGACATTGCTTGATTATGACTGCAGCAGCTTGGCCTTCAAAAAATCTTTACTACTTCGCACCGTTGACGATCTTATTGCTACCTATGGTAGTACCGTTCACGGCCATTAGCGAGTTCTACGATACTCCAAGGACCCTGCACATGACCTCAAGTAGCCTGGCAGACTCGTTCCCACTGCTCTTTGATATCCATGCCACAAATAGGTCTGGACGCATAAGAACGCAGCCGTCCTCTTCAACACCAGGCTTCTCTTCCCACTCCAGGTACACATCCTCCCACTGGAGCCCAGTGCCGATACCTACGATCTTGACTTCTATGTTGAGGCTACGCTGCATCAGATCGGCTGCTTTCCACGGGCCGCCGCCGCCTCCAATGCCTGTCAGCAGGGTGAACTCTCCCTTGCTAGCGACTTCCAGTGTCGATACCAACTTCCCAGGGACGCGGCTGCCGAGCCACACATAAGGAAAGCGCCTTCCGGAATAAGCAGAAGTATCGTGAAATCGGCATGGGTCCTGCTGCTCCTTTAGTCCAGGCTGACATAGATTCTCTTCGTCGTTGGTACAGATGGCTGTGGAGGCATATAGTTGGTTCATTGCCGTACCCCACCACTTAGACTCCGTTTGCATATGCCTGGTACTTTCACGCAGAGCTTTCCTTGCTCCTATCCCCGCTGTTGAGTTCTGTCTCAACATTTCTTCGGCTTTCTTGCGATCCTCGTCGGAGATGCCGTGCGGTTGTACTCCCACTGAGAAACACACGGCTGCATGACTGCGCAGTGTGTTGTTGGAATCCAGAACGAGTCCGGAGGCGAGGCGTTGGCGCTCGCCACTGTATGTCTCGAGCAGCGAGGGAGGTGCAAGACCTGGCAGCATATATGCTACCTTCCAAGCCAGATTGAATGAGTCTTGGATACATGTGTTGGAGTCTAGGCCAAGCGTCGGCGGGTACCGGTGGATGGTGTCGGCGAGACAGAAGAAATTGCCCTTCGAGATGATATCGGTGCTCGTCTCATTTACCATATAGAGACATCAGCAATTGATCATCACCGCATCTAAGAATTAAAGTTGGCAGGGTGAGAACAGCAGACTGACTATTTGAGCTAATGTCTGCTCCTGTTTTGACAAACATGCCCCTTGATAGATTTCTTTTGATAAGTAGCTGCGCAAAAAACTGGAGATTGGTGTCCGATATTGCGAAGCCTGGCTTGAGTTAGTGTTTAGGCTGGTTAATAGATACGCTAAACATAAAATTCTTACAACAGTATGGCAGGTTCTCTGACACAATCCAGAGAACGTGACAGGTACAGCAACAGATTTCTTCTACACGAAGTGGAGACTCACCTTACGCTGATTTTGATTTCCGGCCTGTAAAGTTTCATCTCAAGACGACAATTACCGTTAAAACTTATCCACTATTTGGTAGATTCATAGAAGTCTCTCCACTATTTCTCTACGTTCTGGAGTCAAGGTTTTGTTTAGAAGATCGCATATTTCGTCCAAAGGAGGTTGCGTCTACCACTTGCTACAAAGCCTCAATATCTCAGTTGAGCTTCACAGCAAGATAACTCTCATACACACACATCTCTTTTCACTCTCCACAAATTCGTTCTCGCTCTCATTTGAAGATCTCAAGCATTTTAACCTGGACCTCAGGTTCTAGACATTTAACTACGAGTTTGGTTCGAGTCCAGATCCAGATCAATTCGCTCGTGATATGAGACAACTTCAGTTGCGGCCTACGCATCGAAGGTTGATTTTGCGGAGCTTACGGCCATCCGAGTTTGGTGCTGGAGAGCTGTTCAATCCCTTCCATGTCTTAGTTCAAATAACCGGCTTGTTAGACTTCTTCGTCGATGGTTGCTTCAACGCTGCCCAGGTCAGTGTTGCGTCAACTCAGGCCCGCACTTGAGATTTGCCCTAATCATCATGGCGTCATCTCTACGCGCAGCCAGGAGACTTAAATAGTCGCCTCACTAATGCTCTCGCATGTCCTCCGTATCTCTCGCATGTTAGTCTATAATTTTCAATATTACTTGCAATTTTCATGTCTCAGCTGGTGCTGAGATATCTTCAAAGACCAGCTCACAACGAATCTGACCGGCACCCGCTGACTAAGTAGATGGGTATGGCTAGAAATACTCTGAAAAGTAAGGCTTCGAGGAATGGGTTTGATGGTTGATATACAAGATCTGGTCTGGTCGAATAAACTACCCCGTTTTATACTTATCGCACGTCGCTTGAAGACTGATAAATCGCCGAGGTACTGCTATGTCCATCTCGTCACTTATGTGATGTTGTGGGGTTCCAAGATGAAACGGGCGGTTTACGCGCCCTATGATCTCCACGAGATCACTCCGTTCAAGCGTGTCTTCGTGGCAGTGGTGACTGGAGCTCTCGGATGTATCATTTGTCTTGACAAGGGGTTGCTGTTTTCGGTATGTGTGAAGGCAGTACCTAGTAGGCAACAGCTTTGCCACAATGTGCTTTCTTAGTCTATCATGTTTAGGACTTTACGTGGAGCAACTTGCATGCGCTCTGTACGCCAAATGTAGTCACATTGATCTGTAACTCTCTGAATAATAGAGTGTTTCGCCGTTATTTGTCTTTGATTGCATAGTCATCACACTAGATAGCCGGCCCACGTCCAATCCAGATTCTATAGCTCCGGAATGGACCCTTTCGCTTGTCCACATTGTTGTACTGGTACGGCGGACCCAACGTGAGCTGGTTCGTATTGAAGTACAACCATCCACCTAAGATCGCCATGCTATCAGCATGCTGAATCAGGGCATTGCGCACAAGTGTCTTCAATACGTAGTCATTCGCTAGAATGGGACCGGAGCCACCCGGGGCTTGTCCGTTGACCGTCATGTTGGTCTGGGTTGCCAAGGTGTTGACGTAGTAGATGGCGTTCTGTTCGCTTGCTGCTATGTAGACGCGGCCTTGGTCATCGGCGGTAAAGCCAGCTTGCTCGGAAGCACACTGTCCAGGATTTCGGACAGCAGCGAGAATCTCAGCGTTAGTCTTGTTGATGTTCACTAGAGCCTCTTGGGAGATGTAGTAGAAACGCCGGGATGCGAGGACGCCCCAGTAGAGGTTTCCAGATGCTGCGAAGGAGATTAGTCGACAGAAGTCCCAAGAAGCAGAGGCCGGGAGGCACTCACCCAAAGCTATGCCATCTGCAGCTGTAGTGATGTGGTTCCTCTGCGTACCATTCCAGCTGTAGATGAGTTCACCATCGTACGAACCCACGTATTTCTCGTCTGCTCTAACAACGCTCTCATTGAACAGTCTACGCACGCCACTGCCATCGTTGAGATTGATGGCTAAGAGTGAGCTGTTTCTGCTAGCATCCGTCATAAACGCGTAGCCGAGTGTCGTGTTGAGTCGCAGATCGTTCATATTCATCCCGTGAGCCAGGAGGTCGTCAGGGATGATATAGGTGCGAATTAGATCGCCAGTAATCTCATTGAAGCTCATGAGTTTTGCGCCCCCGTAAGTGGCGTTGAGCCCTGAAGGTGTTCCGTATGGTATGCCGCTATCGACGACCCATAGCCGATTCTTATCATCGAGTACGATGTTCTGGACATTGATGAAGCATGTGCTTGGATCCTGGCCCTCAGTACAATTCTGGATCGCAGCGTTGGGCCACGGTTGCTCATCGTTGAATGAAGTGCAGATTACCACATTGCTTGGTGTAGGACTCGCGTTTCTGGGATATGTTAAGTATAATTTGTGTTCGTTGTCGACAGCCAGCCCGGTTGAAGGCCCTTGGCTATCGTGGATTGCCTCCAACTCTTGACCAACGACGTTGAAGTCCTGGGGATAGGCGCCCTTTGTGTACCCCGGGCCAAATGGACGAAATCCTCCAGGCGGTGTGTCAAAATATGTTTGTGCCAAGCAGTAGCCTTTGAAGGCACTAAGATAGAGCAGAAGCTTAGTTGTCATTGTTGATTGTGAAAAACTCTAATAACATGGTCTCACTACCAGGGCCAAAAGGTAGTCACCAATACTCCTCACGCTCGATGACGCTATGAACAGGATTCGATATCCAAATTACCGTCAGACTAAACCCTGACGACGTGACAAGCTAACGCGGTGTGTATGCCATTCTACTGCCATTCTGCAACTTGAGCTGGATTTGCTGATGATGTTGCGATCCAGATGCACTGTATCCTTAGGAGCTCACAGTTCCTATAGATCATATTCACATGTGGCATGATAGTTATGCTATTTACGGGAATAAGAGAGAAACCCTGGGGCCAGAATGCGGAGTTGAGCGAATAGAGATGGAGGGAGGTGATCCCGATTGCAATGACGCACTAGCGCGGTGCACGAGCCTCCGCGATTTCGTGCGACAAACGCGTACTGAGACGGGAAATATGGGACGATCAACAACAACTTCACAATCCGTTGTACGCTCAGCACAGCCATGTACAGCTTCGATATCCGCCTATGCGTTGCAGACAAAGACAATGCTTAGTTCCGTATCCGACAAACCTGTACACATCCTCGGACTCATCGCGACACGCGACGAATCGAACACGCAGCTGGCCTCGAAGCGGAAGAGGGGCTCCCTCGGCGGACTCGGACTGGACACTGCGCCATTCACGATCAAACCATGCCCGGAGTCTCCATACGCCAAGTCTTCAACCTTTAAACCGGTACGAATTATTAGTCGCTCTCAGCTGCCACTTTCCTTCCTCGACACCGCCGTTGCCGAGCAATTTCCTCCGACTGGCTTATTCACAGCACGTATCGATGTGCTAGAGCAAGATGATGTCGATCGAGGGCGAGAAGCGTCAGCATCTCGGGTGCTCGTTGCACAACATGAGACAAGTCGAGCACTCTATGCTATAGAACGAGTCCAAGCCCGGGTGTACAGCATATGCAGGCTCGCGCCGTGGCTGGAAGAGAAGGAAATGGCAGAGCTTTGGGATCCAACCAATGCCTCGACACACCCTACGCCTTCAGCTTTCTTGTCAGATCGCGACCCTGGAGGACCGTGGTGGCAAGATGCTGTAGCAGAGACACAGCTTGTTGAACGGCGTGTGAAGCGTGCAAGGCTGTCCATGGTACGGCGGACTGCGGAGACAGTGGAAATCAAGTCAGAGCCTCAAAAAGAACCGAACAGTATCACGACGCCGCCAGTACAGATAGGGGTTTCGACTGGGCCTGAAGCTATTCAGGAAGTTCCCGTACAGATTCTCGCCCCTCCAGAGCAGCTCGACCTGCTGGTCCAACAGTACCTTGAGGCGGTCTACACATCGAAGACCTCACTAGCTTACTTTGCCAAAGGACCTGTTACACGAATACGCAATGCGTTCACCTCACCTGACGAGGGGGCACCACCGACACATGAGCTCGTTACCTTCTTGAGGTCAATGCTCCTAAGTCCTAAGGCTAGCGAGAAAAAATACTACGAGAAGCTACCCGCGATCATCAAGGCCATACCCGTAAGCGTAGCCTCAGACGAAGAAGCAACTACGAAACCCAGCCAGGCTAAGAAATCGAGGAAGAAAACAAAGCTCAGTCGTGATGGCACCTATCCCTCCGAAGATGTTTTCATTCAGCGGTGGTGGCGATCTGAGATGCCCAACGCTGATCTCGCTGGCCGGGAGATGATGGAGACGCGCATCAGGCGAAGGATCGGTGACCTTAGAGTCCGCGAGACGCTTGCGCAATTGATGCTCATGCTTGAGGTTATCGCACTAGAATCAATGATGACCTACAAAGGGCCTGCAGAAACCGGACCGCCAGTGGGCGAAAGCGAGCTACAAGAGGACTCGCAAGCCCAACCGAAAAAGCGCAAGAAGAAGCTTGATGATATTGCGCTTCAGCTGGACCTATTACTGGATAAGCTAAGCATTTGGCACGCCACAGAGGAGGTTGGCATATTAGACTACGACTCCAGGGCGACGAAACAGCAGGACAGCGCGGGTTTGAATGAGAAGAATGGAAGCGATCGGTTGCACGGCTTCTGTGTCGAAGTCATCGTTCCTTTCTACATGAGCCGACTGCCGGATCAGGCTTTTACTATTAACAAGAAGCTTGGGGGACCCGCAATCGCATCATCAAAGCGGAAAGCGATGAGGCCGCCACTTACCTCCAAAAAGTCTGGGGAGTCTAAAGAACCAGAGACGAAGAAGTCACGTCGATCGCTGGCTAGAGTAGCTACTGACACTACCGGCAAGACCGGACGAAAGGAAACACCTTCTCTGGCTCGCTCTGCTACAGATACAGCGCTGCTCCGACAGCAAAGCATCAAACGAGAAACAAGTGAGGCACCATTGTCTGCCATGCCGTTCAAGCGCAGCCCATCGAGAGCTAGACAGTCAATGTCACAGCTACGACATCTCCAAGGACGTGAGATGGACTTCACAGCAACGTCAGCTGCTGCCGCCGCGAAGTTGAAGCACAAGGCAAGGGTTGAAGACGATCTCAAGGAGGCTATTGCTACCCTCAAGAAGCCGAATCGTGACCTGGCTGCTGGGAGCTATATGGCAGAGATTGAGAAGCGTGGACTTGGCTCAGTGAACCGGTCGAGGAAGCAGGCCAATCCTGTGCGAAAGGTAGTGAAGGATGTGCAGGTGACTGCGACTCCTCGAGTTGCTCGACGCACGAAGAACGTGATTGAGCAGACACCAGTACATTATCACCAGGATCCTTTCGTACGGTCGGCTGCAACGGAAGTAGTACCTACGAGCGATTTCTTCATTCCGTCTTCTGGTATCCGTCAATCATCCTCCGTTGTACCGGGTACGATTCAGCGTAGTGTAACGGCCCGAGAGCTAGCTCAGCCAGGAATTGCCGAAACACCGTCCAAGGCGCCGACGACGAAATTGTTCACCTCAGGGCCGGTTCGTAGAACGATCTTTGCAACTCCTGTAAAGAGTTCGACTCAGTTCTTCGACGCAGACCCTCGCCCAACTTTGAATATCTTCGAGACTCCCGTGAAAGCTGTACGCAGCTCACAACCCACTGATAACCACGCGATGCAACCGGTCGTCGCAACAACACCTTTGAAAGCGACAGTCTCAAGCGAGGATGTCGCACCGATTGCTTTCGCAACCCCAGCTAAGCAAGCAGAAGAGCCATCGATCTACGATGCTTTGGGCTGGAATGATGATGATGATGATGACTTTGCTTGAGAGCCCATGGTTTTGTATTACATTTAGCATAGCAAGCATGGAATGGGGTTTGCATTGGGACGGTGCATTGAGTGGCGCAAGGACTTGCTATATTGATACATTATACACGCAGCAGCATGGCGTTCTAGAGTCGTGCCATATGAATAGATGCTCGAGACATCACGACCATACCTAAACTTTTCTCGCTTGTCATGATGACTGCGCCCTCATGTCCACCTCCCAAGCTGGCACAGGTGTCTTAAACCCCCTTTGGTCGATCCGCCGCTCACCTTCAGACCTCGTCTCGACCTGCTACCTCGACGTGGCACCCACGAGAGTGCAAGGCGCCACTTGACGGCTGAGCTTCGAGCGAAATAGGAAATGAGCTGACGCTATCCGCCAGGCTCATTTCCACGAACTGTCATTCAACGGCTGCGGAACAGCGGACTGTAGTGGAGTGTATATCAGCTGCGCAGTAGTCTGAACCTTGATGTTTGTTTGCTGCTTCCGTTGTTTGCCGATCTAGTCATCTAGATGGCTGGCTTACGGTCCCGCACATGGAGATTTGCCTGCGAGTCATTGCGGCGTTGAGGAGTGCTTTCTCAAGACATCGGAGTCGGGGTAGACGCGCATAACTGTTTGCACAATGCACGAATCTTTTTCCTCAGACACCTCGAATCATAACGATGACATTTGAGGCTCAACAGCCGGCTCTGCGCCCGCAAACGTTGGGCCTCCCCACTATCGAAACCTGCAACCGAATGCGAACGCTCCGCCCATTATTGGTCGATTGTACAAAGATCCCCTGATACAGTGAATTTAACTCCAGCCTGCTATATTTCAGCAGCAAATCAGCACACCAGGACAAGGTGGAGGCTTTCATAATTTGCCGGGGTCGCTTGATCCTCCCGGCGCTATCATCCCCTAAAGACGCCTGCAAAGACCGGTGGCCAGTGCAGCCGTGTCTACAGAGCCTAATGGAGCCGAATTAATGAAAGTCGCACGCGTGTGCCTGGCGCCTCTCGTCCGCTCGAGTCCTGTCTCACTTTGCAACATTCTTCAGCGATTCGACTGCGCGCGCAGGATTGCGTCTCAAACAGCGGCCTCCAGATCATGTTCAGATCCCCTGGAAAGCTAATATACCTAGCCGAATCCCCCGAACGCCTGCAGCCATGGTTCTCGCAGCCAAGCAGCGCGTTCCGTCGAGCCAGCGCAGCCCGACCCTTTCAGATGCTGCAATGATTCTGCCGGGCTTCGAGGCCGATCAAGCATGCAGCATGTCGCCCGTCTTCGAGCGCCCGCCCTCCGTGTCTGCTCTGTATGATGCGTATCAGAGCCCCAAACTAAGCTTCCCGCCCCAGAGCCGAAGCCGCGCTTCACAACAAAAGCAGTCACCTCCGCTCTCAGCACAGTCCTCGCGCTCGACACTGCGCAACATGGGCGACTCGGCAGCCAATGCCAAAAGGTCGCCCCCGCGCCATGAAGTGCTCGCATTGTCGCCCAAGAGTGACGCTAATGGGTTCAAGGGCTGGGAGGAGCAGGAGCAGCGCCGCCTCAGCACTGCAAGCTCGATGCTGAGCGAGGACTTTGAGAACTGGCCCGGGTTTGACAGCAGCCACGAGACGTTCGATGACAGCGGCGTGGGCCTCGAGGAACAGGAGATGCACAACCGAGTACCCCGCGGCCTGGCCAAAGACGGTGACGACATGGAAAACGAGCAGTGGACGAGCGGCCGGACTGGCAGCGATGAGGACGACATTGACGACCCACAGTCCTCGGCAGCACTAAGCCGCAGGGCTGAGATCATCCTAGCCAATGCGAAGAAGCGACTCAATGTATGCGTAACCGCATGCGGCGTATCGATTGGACGACCGCTAACTGTGACAGGTCATGGAGGGCAACCTCAGAGGAGCCAGAGAGTCGCTGGTCGTGTCGCCTACTTACCATCCAATAAGGAGCACCTCTGAGCTGTCCCAGCACATTGCGTCTTCACGAGAACGGGACCGGAGACTCTATGCTGGCATTGGACCAATTCCCCCACGCACGCCTCATCGCAACTCGCTACTTTACTCGACTAACATCTCTAGCCCAAGCCACGCCCGAGGTGCCAGCGAGACGTCAATCCCCCTGTCATTCACACCGTCCTACACGTCGAGGATGAGTACGAGTAAGCGAGCATCAAGCGCAATGGGAGCCGCAAGTGGTCCGTGGTCCGCAGAGAGCTTTGGACATGGCCGATTTCCGATCAAAGAGTCGCGCAGTCACGAGGTCATGCGTGACCCGCGAAACACCTGGAACACCACCGATTATCAGACACCTGGGAGATCGACCTCCAGGAGCTCAAGATCGCCTCCTGCTCTGGAGACGCTGCGTGAGGACGACAACGGACACACGCTGCAGAGATCAGCTTCAGCGACGAGTGGACTCCGCGATCAGATGAACGACTTGAAGGGGAGGATTTCGAGTCTGAAGCAGAGAGCCGCAGAGGATCACATGCGGCGACGGAGTCTCCAGAGCTTGCGCACGCCGAGCCCATTCACGTCATCTGAGGTTTGGTACCACGGAAAGGACGGGTATCAGGTTGGGACGTCCACGGTCACTCAGAACGCCGGGCTGGGCATCAAGACTGAGTCTCCAGCTAGAAAGGCGCTGTACGAAGAGGGACGTTCACCCACAACAACACTCTCGCAGCGAGAAGGGGAGACGCTGCTTGCATCAAAAGATCGGAGCCCCAAGGGGTTGGGCATCCAGCAAGTAGGCTGCAACCCACCTAGTACGATCGACGAAGTCACCGAAAGATCTGGCTCGACAGTCGAGAGCAGCGACGACCACGACCACGTCTCTGTCATTGGCAAGGACCTGGAGCCTGGCGGTGACAGCGTCTATGAGGATGCGGCTTACGAAATGCCTGTAACCGAGCGCCATGAGGATCGCGTGGATGCTTTCGACTACGAGCACTTTTTCTTGCACAGCGCCATGGGAACGTACAGCCTTGAAGACCGCCGATCTAGCACGAGCTCCAACAGCTCAACCGAGACCACACGACCTGTAACCGCAATGCAAAGCAGCGAAGACCTTAGCAACGCTGAAAAACGAATCTCCATGCATCAGAGGAACCCCAGCGTAGATTCCATCTCCTCAGTTGCCACTTTTGCCACAGCCGCCGAACACCAGTCCGACGAAGAGGATGACGAGGAAAACGAACAGATGGACCAGTTCTCTCAGCAGATCATCCAGCATAACCAACACATTGCCACTCAACGACCCTCTCTTGTATCTCTGCGCTCGGACTCGGCCATCAACATGCGGCGCGGAAACGGCATCTCTCCCACGCAGACTGCCATTTCCCGCGGATCCTCGCGCACCTCGTCATCTTCTGGTTCTCTGGCCAGTGGACTGCAGACGAGCAAGATCTACTCGATCCTTACAGAGAGCCAGAGTAACGAGCCACGTCTAGCGCTGAGCGAGGAAGAGAAGCAGCTCATCTACAGTCTCGCAGCCAGCTTTCAGAACGTCTGCGCAAATCTGCAAAACACGTGCGGCGAGCAGCACGACCGCAAGGCCTGGCGACAGCGCCTCGACGAGGCCCGCCGCGTACTGGCCGGCGAAGAGATTGAAGACGACCAATCTTTCTAGACAACGACCACCACCACGTATATAATGTGTATTAGTACCATCGGCAGCGTTTCAGCGTTGCTTCCCTGTACGATCTAGAGACTATCGTCTCGCTATACGACATTGACCGACACATATTTCCTACTACTTTCCACGACTACAATGAGCTCCACGCCATAGTACCATCAGCATTCGCATTTTGTGCAACCAGCCTCGGCTTGCCTTTTATCATACTTCGCGTTGTTACGTTTCGGTTGGGAGGGCATTTTCCAGTTTTGTATTGATACCCTGGGGTGGAGATGTGGCCGGTGTGGGCTTGTAGTCTAGATCTTTGAATATGGTGTAGCACATGCCACCTACGTACTTGCGCGCCAATGACAGCTATTGCATCTGGTCATTCAACAATGTGCATGTGTGCTCTTGACCCAACGCACTGTTTGTGCTTTACCGACGGCGTGGCTAGATTGAGGCAGAATGCTAGAGAAGGTCGGCTGCTGTGGGCCTTACATGTGTACCCCTCCCTGAGGCTGTCACGCAGCTTGATATCTGGTTGGCACGCGGTTTCAATGATACCGGGTGCGTGGAAGCGGTGACGATTGGTTCCACTCTCCTCACCATGAACATGAACATCAACACCAAGTCTGGTTGACACTCTGTTGACAGGCGCCCCACTTGCATCGACATGTCGAGCAGCAGCAGCGGCAGCTCAACTGCGTGCGTTGTCTCTGATCGTGTTCTCATCGTCGTCCAGGGCCATCGAAAGCGGCAGCTCTAATGCACGTTCGACTGGTGTGCAGCGCCGATTATTGCCGCTGCGTGTCATTGGGCGGCCCACGGTAGTTGCGGACTGGCGGTGAAGCTCCACGCCCCCAGCCACGGTCGCCAGGTGGTAAACGTGCGTGTGGAGGGCCAATTGGGGGATGCGCTGTGGGGAACAGGACTCGCTGGCAGCTCAAGGCAGATGGGCTAGACAGAGAAGAGCGGTGCTTGGTGCAGGGAAGTGAGTGTTGAAGCTCTGCCGCCCTCTGGGACTCCCGCGGCCACGCAAATGATGGCGAGTCCACCCACGACCCAGCAGCTCCCGAGGGCCTCATGCAATGCACTCACGGCCGCTAACTTGATCAGACTTTTCGTAGGCAGAACACTCTCTGCCTTAACCGCCCGCATCGCGCATCTGCGCTCCCTGCATTGAAGTGCTGCTTGCTGCATTGTTGACATCTCGTGCGGCCACGACTCATACGCCGCCCGCACTGTACACTCGCCCCTCCTCACACATCTAATTACCCCTCGATTCCACATCCATCACCCCTCATTTTCGTTTTTGGACTTTCCCAGCTGGTCTGGGCGTGAGTGTGACGAGTTGAATGAGACAGCAATTGGACGCCTCTGCCGGCTAAGAGCGCAAGGAGGGAGCGCTGATAAAGAATTCGATTGGCGTCTCGGGACGACAGCTTCTTGGAGGGCAGCTGGGCAGCACACTTTCGCCCTGTGACCAGTAGCCGGTCACGCATGCATCGCGAGTGCGCTTTGCTGGAATCAGACGCTTGACGGGCCCTGCGCCCCTGCATCGCCCCTGCGTCGCCCACCGTTTCCACGACCACAAGGTTTCTGTCGCTCGTTGCTACGTGCGCGCACCCGAGTCTGGGAGTTTGTCTGGCGGTTTCGGCTGTCAAACTTGCGCCGGAACGCATCGCCAGATTAGCTTCTTGCGCGCTGTAGAGGAGGAGCGTTTGCTTGCGTGTACCACCACCGCTGTACGGGCGCACGCTGTTTCGACGAGACCTGCAGCGAAGTCACGCCCCGCGATACATAGCGACTGCTCGCGACCGCACCGCCGCTACAGCACCGCACTGCGTTCATTGCCGCCCTCTGCCCACCCGCCGCTCGAGTCTTGCGGTACCTGCGCGTGCTCATGTGCCCGTCTACACTGTGCTCCCTCTGTTTGCGCATCTCGAGATACCCGCACAATGTCCCGCACCGCAACACCGCGCGCGGCGACCACCACGCCAGCACCAGGACAAAGGACTCGGCCGTCTACGAGGACTGGTTCGGTTGAAGGTCGCAAGAGCTGCATGGAGGAATTGCACTGTTCAAAAGCGTGGGAAGTACGCAGCTACACATCCGCAGACATGGCAGCGTGGGCGTCTGAGAACGACGGGCCCACTGCTGGTCTGATGGAGGACGTGGTCGATGCGCTAGAGTGGCTGGAATGCCGCAGCGTTGGCCAGGACAAAGGGACAGACAGACGCGCTTTCTCGGTACGGCACGCTTCATTTAGTCGCTCTTTCCCCTGTTTTGGTTACACCTACAACCTCCCCACCGAACCAACCTGATCTGTCAAACGTCACCTCTGCACTCTTCGAAGCTCAACATCTAACGACCGCCAGTTTCACGACCTCACGACCCAGCTCCCACAGCTTCTTCCATATACACCAGTTCCGTCTACAGACCTCTGGATCGATTCGTCCCTGCGCAACCATGAAACACCACCGCCTTCCTACGACGACAGCTTTGCAGACCTTCCGCCAGACTACACATCCACTGATGCGCTAGCCACAGCGCAGACGCCTAAATACACACCTTTTCCTTCCCTCCATGCTTCGCTCTGCTCTGATGTGCCAAACTGTCTGCGAACTAGACGCAACACATCCCCTGCTTCCTCTTTGTTCATAGACGAGAAATCGCTATATACGGAGATTGATTTCGGCTTCACCAACGACGGAGTCAGGTCTCACGCAAAGAAGAACAACAAGAAGAAGACGCCTGCGAAGCCCGCAACGACATCCAATGCCATTGACGAACCGCCAACACCGCCTGAAGACCCAACACCGCCTGAAGACCCAACACCGCCAGCTGATGGAGGAGGTTCAGGCGGCGGCGACGGCGGAGACGGAGGCGATGGCGACAAAGATAAAGACAAACCTGGCGATGACTTGGGCGACTGGGGCGATGCTGGAACCAAGAAAAAGAAGAAGTCCAAGAAGCAAGCGCAAGAGGAAGAGGCTGAACGTCTGAAAAAAGAGGAAGAGGAGGCAGCAGCGAAAGCCGCTGAGGAAGCAGAAGAGGCAGAGCGCATTAGAAAGGAGGAAGAAGACGCGGAAGCTGAGAAGGCAGCAGCTGCAGCCGCCGCCGCCGCTCCAGATCTTAGCTGGGCCAATGATCCACCTGCAACTGATGATTGGGCGTCTTTCGGAGGCACTGGTAAGAAGAAGAAGAAAAAGGGAAAGGTTCGTCGATTCGGCTACTCACTAATGACATATGGCAGGCGCTAACTAATGCAGGGTGAACCAGCGCCTCCACCCCCTCCCGACCCGCCAGCCGTGGAAACCTTTAGCGATGTGAACCTCGACGACGGTGCACCTAAACTTGATATGAACTTCGGCAGTTCTGGCGATGGCAAGGATCTGCTCGGCGGTGCCGGCTGGTCTGGCGGCTGGGGCGGGGCGAAGGCAACGACATCGTGGGCACTGGGAGACACTGCCTCGAAAGACACGTCAGGAGATAACCCCTGGGGCTCGACAGATAAGAAAAAGCAGAACGATGGCTTCGATTTCGACTTCGATGCGTTCAAAAGCGCGCCAGCAGACGCACCAGCTGCCGAGCCGGCAGCAGAAGAAGATCCGTGGAACAGCTTTAGTACGACCAAGTCTAAGAAGAAGAAGAAGCAGGGCAGCGCTGCTCTGCTCGAAGAGTCGATACCAGAACCGCCACCAGAGCCTGTTCCTGAACCTCCAAAAGCTGAAGATGACAGTTGGGGAAGCTTCACGTTCGGCGGCGACAAGAAGAAGAAAAAGAAGGGGGCGGAGGACCTGCCACCTCCAGAACCAGAACCGGTCGTTGAGCCAGAGCCAGAACCAGTCCCAGAACCTCCTCCACCCGAACCAGTTCCTGAAGTACCAGCAGTGGATCCTTTCGCCGGTCTTAGCAAGTCGCAGAGGAAGAAGCTTGAGAAGAAGATGAAAGAGGAAGCTGCTGCGAAAGAAAAAGAGGATGCTGAGCGGAAAAAGCTGGATGAAGAGGATGCTGAGCGGATCAGGCTGGATAAAGAGGAAGCTGAACGCAAGGCGATTGAGGAGCAGGAAGCCGAGCTCAAGCGTCTCGAAGAAGATGAGGCTGAGGCCCAACGACTTGAGGAGGAGGAGGCCGTGCGCATCGCACAGGAGGAGGCTGACCGTCTTGCTGCTGAAGCTGCTGAGGCCGAGAAAAAGAAGGCCAACGCTGCGTTAGACGATGGCTGGGGTGGCATCACGACGACATCTTCGAAGAAAAAGAAGAAAAAGAAGGGTGCTGTTGAAGAGGAAGCTCCTCCACCACCACCGCCTCCGCCTCCGCCGCCAGAGCCCGTTATAGAGCCCGAACCTGAGCCTGTTGTTGTTGAACCTTCGCCAGCCAAAGAAGAAGAGGATCCTTGGGGCAGCTTCGGAACGACCAAAGTTAAGAAGAAAAAGAAGAAAGGGGCCGTCGAGGAAGAGCCCCTGCCACCACCGCCTCCACCTCCACCAGAGCCCGAGGTCATTGCGGATCCTGTCGAAGTCGTTTCACCACCTGCAGAGGATGACGGATGGGCTGAAGATTGGGGCCTGCCAACAACGACTAAGAAAAAGAAGTCCAAGAAGGGCGCCGCTGCCGAAGTCCCTGAACCAGATCCGGTTGTCGTACTCGATGCCGAAGTCCCAGAAGCCGAGCCTGAGCCTGTCGTCGTTGCCGAAGAGAAGAAAGAGAAAAAGAAAGAGAAAGAGAAAGAAGGCGGCGGCGACTGGGGTTTCAGCTCGATCTGGGGCGGTGGCAAGAAGGACAAGAAGAAAAAGAGCAGCAGCAAGACCGTTGAGCCAGAAATGGAGCTTGAGCCAGTTGTGGTTACTGACGTTCAGGAGCCGGTTGCCGTGGAAGAGCCGCTGCTCGACGATGAAGACGAATGGGGCGCGCCTTCCTGGAGCAAGGGCAAGCGAAGCTCGAAAGCTGATGTACAGGTCGAAGTCGTCGAAGAGTCGACAGATCCTGTGCAGAAACCAGACGATGATGATCCATGGGGCAGTGCAGCTTTCAACATTGGCAAGAAGGCTAAGAAGGGCAAGAAGGGCATACTCGGCGCATCGTCGCCTCCAGAACCTGAGCTGCCACCGCCTCTTGAGATCGAAGCTCCTCCTCCAGTTGAAGAGGAACCTGATCCGTGGGACGATGCCACTACGTCGTCCAAAAAGAAGAAGAAGAAGAAGGGTGAGTCTGCTGACGAGCTTACCAAGACGACTTCGAAGGACTCCGCTCCCAAGTCTGCCACTGAAGACTTGCTTGGCCTGGATGAACCGGCCCCAGAGATTGTAGAGGATGCTCCTGTCGAGGATAAAAAAGAGAAGAAAGATAAAGACAAAGACAAGAAGAGCTCGTCGAAGTCCTCGAGCATGTGGGGCGCATTTGGCGGATCCTCGTCCAAGAAAGAGACATCTACTGAGAAGCGGAAACGCGAAAAGAAAGAGGCTAAGGAGGCTGAAGAAGCTGCAGAGAAAGCACGTCTTGAACAAGAGGAGGCCGATCGAGTTGCCGCTGATGCTGCTGAGGCCGAAGCTGCTGCTGCCGCCGCTGCCGAGACCGAGGCTGCCGCTGCTGCCGAGGCCGAGGCCGAAGCTGCTGCTGAGCTCGCCCGGATCGCGACCGAAGAGGAAGAGCGGAAAAAGCGCGAGGAAGAAGAGGCAGCCAAAAGCTCCGGCTGGGGCAGCAGCATTTGGGGCTCGTCCAAGACTAAGAAAGAGACCATTAAAGAGCGAAAGGCCCGTGAGAAACTGGAAGAGCAGGAGCGGATCGAGCGCGAGGCGAAAGAGGTCGAGGAGGCTGCAGAGAAGGAACGGCTCGAGAGGGAAGAGGCTGATCGCGTCAAAGCCGAAGAAGATGACAAGCTCCGAAGCGAAGCCAAGGCAGCCGCTGACGCAGCGCTGGCAGCTGACGAAGCTCGACTTGACAAGGAGGACGAAGCACGTATGCTCCGCGAGGACTTCGAAGCGACGTCCGGTCCGCCGTCCAAGAAAGAGACTTCCAAGGCTAAGAAAGATCGCGAAGCGAAAGAGAAGAAGATGAAGAAGCAGATCGAAAAGCTCGAACAAGAAGCCATCGACGCTGCTGATGCCGCCACCAAGGCTCAGCAGGATGCTGACAATCTCGAAGCTGAGTGTGTCGCAGCCGGCTTCGACATCGCGTTCTTGGATGAGTGTAAGAGGACGTCGGAACCTGCTGCAGAAGAGGCGCCTCCACCGCCACCCGAGGAAGATATTCCGCAACCTGAGGAAGAAGCTGCTCCGACTGCAGACGACGATCTTTGGGACTCTGTCAAAGATATTCCTGAGGATGAACTTCTTGCTGAGCTTGGCGAGACCAAGACGACGCTACCTGTCAAGAAGAAAGAGGAGGCTGGAGGGTGGGGAAGTGCCTGGGGCATCTCACTGCGTAAGACTAAAAAAGAATCCGAACCCGAACCTGTCGTTGTTCCAGATCCCGAACCAGTCGCTGAACATGAACCAGAAACTGCTGCAGAGCCAGAACCTGAGCCCGTGTTGGTCGAAGAGGCGCCTGTCCTTTCTGCCAAGGAGTTGAAGAAGCTTGAGAAGGCTAAGAAGAAGAAGGGCAAGCTTGTCGAACCTGAGCCTGAGCCTGAGCCTGTGCCGGAGCCGGAGCCGGTCATCGTCCCGGAACCTGTGCCTGAGGCTGTCGTAGAAGCTGGTCTGGAACCTGTCTTTGAAGATGCTCCTGAACCTCCACCGCCGCCGCCAGTCGAGATCATCGAGGCTACGCCCAAGAAAGAGAAGAAGAGCAGCAAAAAGTCTAAGAAGTCCAAGTACGAGGATCCATTCGCCGTGGAAGAAGAAGCCATCGTCGTGCCGCCTCCGCCTGCGGCAAGAAGGTCACCTATCCCAGGCGGGTTTCCGGACGAGGAAGACATGTTGATCGATATGTCTGAACCGCCGCCACCGCCCGCGAATCTCGAACCCGAGGCTGCTCCAGAAGTGGCTCCAGAAGTGGTCCCCGAACCTGAGCCCGTTGTCGAGGAGCCTGTTGTCGTGGTTCCTGAAAAGAAATCAAAGAAGCTTAAGAAAGGCAGCAAGTCATCCAAATCGACACCTGTCGTCGAAGCACCACCTCCTCCGCCGCCACCGCCACCACCACCGCCAGCTGAGCTTGATGAGTTTGTTGACGCCGAGGACGGACAAGCAGAGGTTGTTATCTTGGATAGTGCACCTGTCGACCGTGAGATGCTGCTGGACGACGATTTGCTAGCCACTGAAGAAGCTCCAGCTAAGCCTCCGACGCCACCACCTGAGAACATCGACCCTGTAGTTATGGATTCGCCAAAGAAAGAGCGTGCAAAGGTCCATCGCACTGGCACATCTGGGACATGGGGATCGTGGGGCGCGACGCCCCAGAAATCCAGCAAGTCAAGAGAGAGCAGGAAGAAGTCACGCGATGACGGTGGTAGTGCTGAGAAGCCGAGCATTAGTCGGTCAAAGTCTGCACGCACATCGTCGACGAGGGATCGAGATGTCATGTCCAAGTCGTCTGGGTCTGACAAGATGTCGAAGACGCCTTCTGCCGCACGGAGCAAACCTCAGCGTGCGTCTACGGGCATTGGAGCACTGTTTGGTGCCTCTCCTTTTGGAACAGCACCTGCGCATCCTCGATCCAAGTCGCATCGAACATCGGCAACTCCCAAGATGCTTTCGCGTCGCAATTCGATAGACCGCGACGCTGCAATGATGTCGCCACCGCAAACCGACACAGACATCCGATACTCGTCGAAAGCTGACAGGATTCTGGGGAGGGAGAAGCCGTCTCGAAGGTCGAGCACCAGAGACAAGGGCAAGTCCAGAGACAGAGGTAAGCATTTCACTAGCACGTTGGGCGCCATTGGTCGGCCCGCCGTAAGCAACGGTTGGACGGAGCTAACCGAGAGCTCAGCTGTGCCCGACCCGTACCCCGTTGAAGACGACCTCGTGATGCTGGACGAACCTCCCACACCTGTGCAGGAGCGGCCAGAGACCAAACGTCGCAAATCGAAGCGCGGTTCAGAGCAGCCCGAGGAGCCCATCACTGCGCCGCCTAGCGCCGACGACCCTGTCATTGTGGATCCCATGGATGTGGAGCCAGCCCCAGTTGAGGCCGAGCGCCGGCCTCGCCGCGAACGCGAACGCGAACACTCGCGACGCGAACGAGCACCGTCGAGCGCAAAGGACGCAATGCCCACGCTGGCGGGTGTCGCCGGCACTGCTGCTGCCGTCAGTGGCCTGAAGAGCATGTTTGCGTTCGGCCGCAAGAAGAGCGTTGCGCAGCCGCCAGACGACGACGCGCGCGACCGGCGCAGAGCCTACGAGACGGAAGACGAGCGCAGACGGCGCAAGCGGTCCACGATGCGCGGTGAGATGGACGAGGACGAGGCCAAGCGCCTGCGACACGAGCGTCGCAGCGTGCGCCGAGAGCGCGAGGAGGCTGACTACATGGCGTCGGGCGCAAATGGCAACGGCAGCCCCGACCACGACCCCGAGCGCGAGGCACGACGAGCTGAGCGCCGAGCGCGTCGCGAGCGAGACGGCGACAGGGGCTCGCGGCGGGCGGAGCTGGACGAGGTTGAGGCCAAGGCTGAACGGCGGCGCGAGCGAGAGCGCGAGAACGAGGCGGCCATCCTCGCGCAGAAGAAGGCGCGCCAGACGGCCGAGCTGGAGCGTCGCAACAAGCAGGCCGAGGAAGAGCTGCGTCGCATGGCCGAGAAGGACGAGCGCAGACGCCTGCGCGCCGAGCGCAAGAGCACCGATGACCGCGAGCACCGCTCGGCTCGCCGCAAAGACAGTATCCGCGAAGCGCCCCGCCCGTACAATGACCGCCGCCGCTCCCACCAGGCTGAGACGGAAGACGACCGCCGCCGCCGCCACGACGACCGCCGAGCCGCGCGCCGCGCATCAGAGTACCCCGCGCCGCCGGCCAACGGCGCCGGCGAGCCCATCACCGACTACTTCGACAGCCGCAACGCCGAGACCAGCGGGTCGGCGCAGCGCAGCTCCAAGCACCGGTCGCGGCGCGGCGAGGATGGTGAGCAGGTGTACCTCAACAAGGGCCCGGACAAGACGTCGTCGTGGGTGCAGTCGCTCTCGGACGACAACCCGCTACCGCCGCCGATCGCGGAGACGATTCTTGACCCGCCGCCGGGCAGCCGCGAGGCGGTGGACGACGAGGAGACGCCGAGCATGGACGAAGACATACGGCTGCGGATCGCGGGGCGGCGGGGGCCGAAGCGCGACAAGGAGCGAGCAGAGAGGCACGGGGAGCGCGATAGGAAGAAGGAGCGGCGGCGCAGCTACTACGAGGACGACGAGGAGCCGGCGGCGCCGCGCAGCTCGAGGCGCGACTCGCGCCGGAACACGTACGACAAGTACGAGCAGCCGACGCGGACGTGGGACGGCAAGGAGGAGACGCCGCGCGGGGTCAAGAGGGGGAGCTGGCTGAAGAAGATTGCGGGCTTGAAGTGAGGCTTGCAGTGAGGCTTGGAGTGAGGGCTGAAGTGAGGTGGCTTGGCTGAGGTGGCTTTCAGATTGCCGGCTTTCAGATTACCGGCTTAAAGTGACTACTTTTGCACTGCATTGCGCGGCGTTGGGCGGCTTGTCTTGCATGGCACTCGCACAGCGTGGGCATAGCGTGGGCTGGGTCTTTGTTGTAAGAGTGTGAGTGCGTCATGCTGTGTTTGTTTGTTTGTTTGTTTGTGTGTTTGTTTTGTCTCGTCCTGTCTGTTTGCTTTACCTTTCCTCACGACGTCCATGACACACTGCGAGCGAATCCGTAGCTTCGAGATAGATACCCCATCTGTTATACTGTGTTCCTTATACTGTGTTCCTTATACTGTGTCCCTTGTACTGTGTCCCAAGAGACTGCTATGGTATTCATGCGGTATTGCCCACTGCGCCCAGCCAACGCCCATCGCCTGTCCCATGCCGTCTGCTCATAGCGTCAGGTCCGTCTCGAAGTTGTTCTACTCGTGCGGGAGGGCTGCGCCGTCCATGTCCTCGTCGTCCTCGTCGTCGTCCAGCTCGTCGTCCTCGTCCTCGAAGCCCGTCTCGATCTTCAGGGCCTTCAGGCGGTCCTTTGTGGCGTCGCGCTGGTCGCCCTGCCACCTCGACAGGGCGGCGGCGGCGTGGACCTTGAAGCCAAAGACGCGCGGCTCGTAGCGTCGCTGGGATTTCGGCGGCAGCATGGCCGGGTAGACCTGGAACATGATGTTGTGGAACGAGGTGCCGAAGTAGGCGCCGTCGATTACTGCGTGGCGCGACGACTTGGGGTTGTACAGGTCCTCGCAGCGCGCGCAGTACAGCTTGACGGGCGACGTGTTGGCCACGTCCGACTGGCCCATGGGCAGCAGCGGCTGCGACTCGCACATGACGCGCGGGCACTTGCCAAAGTCGGACTTTTTGAACTTCTCGAGCTGTGTCCGTCGTCAGCCGTGTGCCAGGCGGGTCGTGAGAGACTGCGGGGGACTGCGCACCATCTTGGCCAGCCCGCGCGTCGTGACGATGTAGCGCGCGTGGACGAGCCCGTACAGGTGACGCGCCGACTTCTCAATCTGCTCGCGCATCTCGTCGTCGCAGTCGAAGTCGAACACGTCCGTGACGAGGTCGAGCGCATGTTGGTAGTACTGGACTTCTGTGTTCAGCCCCGTCAGGTTGAAGCGGTCGGTGAGGTACTCCTCGTCGATCTCGCAGAAGTACTCGTTGCCCCGGGACGATATGAACTGCGCGCACGTCAGCTCGCTCTGCTGAACCCCAACCCTAACCCTAAGCCTAAGCCTAAGCAGACACCCACCCAGTCGCGCCAGTAGCTTGTGTAGTCGCTGTCGGTGTCGCTGTTGAAGTCCTCCATGGTGCGCAGGCGGCGACTCCTGATGCGCCGTGTGCAGCGAGTCTTGGTGCGCCGGTGTGCCGGTGTGCCGGTATGGCGACTGTCGTGGCGACTGTCGAGGCGACCGAGATGCGGGAGGTCCGTTTGCCGTCGAGTCGAGTCGAGTGTGTGTGCCCACGCGCGGGCCGCGGTTGCTGTGAACTGGCGACCGGTCTCACCTGCGAATGCTATGCGCGGGGTCCTGCGTCGCTTGTCCGCGGATGCGTCTAGCCGTATTGGTACTAGCCTCGATTTCGCCGCTGTTGTCCCATTCGAGCCGTTGCCCACCCATCCGACTTCGCCGTTGCTCACGAGTCTTTGCATCCAACACGGAATTCAGAACGGACTTCTGGAAACGGCTTACGTCCAAAGTGTACTGTAGACTTTCACGCCGTCCCCCTCAGGTTCTTGCCCGTACCTGTTTCAGCCATGCGGTGTCGTGCGTGCTCCGTCAATCTTGCCGATGCAGCGTCTTGCACAAGGTTTCGAGAGACGGCGAGCCATGGTAGTACGGTTCACACTTCTGTCTGTTAGAAGCAGACCAGCCCTTCCTAAACTTCTCCATGTCAACTAGCAGGCTACTTGGCGCTTTCAACATTTGACTACGTCAAAACCCATCAACCGTCGCCGCGCTAGCAGCCACCCCACAGCAAGTCATCGCCAACGGGCTCGCTCCGGCCCATATATACTCTCCGCGCGCCCACCCGCAACGTCAGCTGCTCCATTTCGAACTCTCCATGCTCGTCGTACCGCTCGTGGTACCTGCATTCGACGTATCCGACAAAAGCCCTTGACGATTTCAAGTGACCGTGGGATGTGGACATTTGTGCTGATGTCGAGAAACCATGGACCCTGACTTACTTCGTACAGCCTACTTTTTGGCTCGGCACGCGAGAGGAGCAATAGGACTCGTCCCCTCTGTCGAAAACGTCAACGACTGTTGTGCGATTCGCTGTCCACGTTCTTTCTGTTCCCTGCATTCTTCCAATTTTCAAACTCTAACCACACCAACTAACGAGTAGCTCCATCGGCCTGTAGCGTCATGCTGGTCTACGGAAATCGCGCAGCTCCGTCCAACACTGTAACTACAGATCCTTCGCGTTATCTAGATTCTTACCTGGCGGACATGGACTCGTTGTGTGGCCCGGCGTTTTAGCCATATACTGCGCGACAGCAGCTTTTCGTATCTTCCACCGTGCCATTTCGCTCCCACTCCCAACCCGCAACATGGACGAAGACCTCAACGATGCCCTCAAGGAGGGCTTCATGGTACCTTCGCTGCCACGCATTGATTCAGCAAGCGACTCGGGCGACTGTGGAGACGCCTCCTCAAGTGATGACACTGGAGACACCGGATACAGACTGAAGCAGGGTCGCTACTCGACCGACCTTGAATACGCCTACGATCTCAGTCCACCGCCGCCCACCAACACGGACAGACGTGCCGAGGCTATTGCTGAGCGACTGTTCTCGTTCGAACATCTGAATATCATTCTCAAAGACAATGCTCAGCTCCAGCGATTCACTACGTTCCTCATGCGATACAAAGCACACTGCATCCCGACCCTGGTCCGATACCTAGACTCGCAGAAGGCTCTGAAAGCGATACAGTATGCGAATGCGCTGGCAGATCAGATCACACAACAGCCGAACTGGCCAACAAAGGCAAACGCCGCCTCTCTGGACCCGGACTTCGAGCAGCTGTCGCAGCGGTCGCTAGACGATCTCGTTGCTGAGGCGCTCCCTGCATATGTGACGTTCAGTGTGGTGGATGTCGTCACAGAACTGCTGAACAAGGAGATTATGGGGAGGAACACACCAGTCATGCGAGAGCTTGTGCATGGTCTTGCCGAGGTGTACTGTCTGACCGATCCAACCCAAGAGGGCAGTCCGATCGTGTTTGCCTCAGAAGGTAAATCTCATCCTTGGAGCACGCCATCTGTCCATCTCGACGGCTGACGGTGCACTGCAGAGTTCTACAACGCCACTCAATGTAACAGTAGCTACGCAATCGGCAAGTCTTGTCGCTTTCTCCATGGCCCGAGAACCGACAAACACGCCATCGAGAGACTGGACAAGGCCATGCTGGGGCAGCAGGAAGTCGTTGAGACCATGATACAGTAGTGAGTGCTGACTGGTCTGTCACTACCGACGTCACTGACACCATACAGCCGGCAAGACGGTACCCCTTTTCTGGCACTTGTACAGTAGCTTGTTCCCATACCCTGAACCCGTTCTGACATTGTTAGGTCATGATTTCGCCATTGAAGGACAACAGAGGAGCTGTTCGCTACTGCATCGGCGCTCGAATCGACATCACGCAGCTCGTTGAAGGCGGCAGAACCATGGATTCGTTCCACCAGCTGCTCACTGGAGACCGCCCTGCAACGCCTGTCGCGGACCCGCTGGAGAACAGACCGACACTCAGGGCACTGCGAGACTTTGGAGACCTTCTGAACGACGAAGAGAGAGTGTCAATGGGAGATAATGACATGATGCGCGTCGACTCTCGACCAAGCACCCCGAGAATGTCACAAACCCCCACACAAAGGCGCTTTATCGGCATAGAAGAGCGCATATCCCAAGACGGCCTGCGCTCCCACTACTCCGGCCAAGTCCCAGGCGTGTACCAAAACGTACGCTCTCACTCCTTCTTCCCCACTACACAGCTAACAGCCCCAGTACATCCTCGTCCGCCCCTATCCTTCGCTTCGCATCATCTTCACCTCCCCCTCCCTCCGCATCCCCGGCCTCTGCCAATCCAGACTCGGAGACCACATCGGCGGCCCGGAGCACGTGCGCGACTCGCTCATCGAAGCCCTCGCCCAAGGCATCGGCGTCACCGCAAAGGTCTCGTGGCTGGCCCGCACCAGCCGGCTGTCTACACACCTCGAAGTCCCCCACACGTTGGACGATGCAAGCATCACCACAACCGACGAGCACGTCGAGGGCAAGGCGCGGTGGATCCACTGCACGCCCCTCATCGGCTCAGACGCAAAAGTCGGCGTTATCATGGTAATTATGGTCGACAGGCCTGACGCGAGCCATCTGCCAGGCGCAAGCAGCGTGTCGAGCACGCGGGCCAGCGGGTCAGGAGCCATCGGTCCTATACCGCCCCGCGCGCGCGCGACGAGCCATGTGAGCCAGCGCTCCGACACGCCCGAGCGCTGGGCGCCGCACGCGCGCTCCGGGCCCGCGAGCATCATCAGAGGCCGCCCGAGCGCAGACGGTTCGCGGAAGAGCTTCGACATGGCCGCCGGCCGTACTCTGTCGCCACCGCCGCTCGTTAATAATAGTACCGCCGCCGCAGCCAATCCGCCGCGCAGCAGGGGCGGCAGCAGATTGTACGCCGACTGGATGAAGGAGATTCGCGAGGCGCAGAAGCGCGTCGATTCGTTCAGCACGCGGCTGCGCGAGCACGAGGTGCACGATTCCATGCTGAGCATGGCGCGCGCCGTCGAGGTCAAGGCCGTGAACGGGCGGGGGCGTACGGCAAACGTCCCCGGCACCTTTTGATCGCGTCGTCGTGGTTTGCGGTGCGTGGTGCCTGCCTGACCACGGCGGCCCCTGGGTGGGTATTACGATACGAGGTGATGAGGTGACAGCTGGTCTGGACTTGGGGTGGATATAATGCGAACAGCATGTTTTTTTTTAGCAGCGCGTGTGCACACAACAGAGTCAGGTGAATCGATGCGTGGCGACGACATGACGTGTATACCTACGCACATATAACAGTATCTATCTATGCGTCCGTTTGGTCTGCAGCCTCGCCGCGAGTAATGCCGCGTACGGCCTAGCGCTAGTCCAGACTCGCTCCAAACAGACACCGCATCACGGGTGATCCTCGCAACTCGTAGCACGTCTAGGTGTCAGCGACGGCGAGGCGACATCTGTGCACTTGCATGTCTATACGAGCTCGCTTGTCTCCTCACTCGCACTGGGTCTGCTGGATCTACATCCCGCAACATCAGATGGGCCGACCGAGGACATGTACAGGAGCCGTAAAGAGCGGCGCGAGATGATCAACACAGACACCTGTGCGAGAAACAGAAGACGGAAAGCGGTTGCGTGGCGCGAGCAACTGCTGAAAACAACCACTGTGTGAAACAACTCGCAATGCGTCGACGGAGTCATGTCGTTGCTCGGACGAGACAGCACTGCTGTGTCTTGTCCATGATCGGGCACCCTTGCTCCGAACAGCTTTCCTGTGTCGGGCGAGCGACTCCGCTGGAGGAGAATAGCAGCGGCCACGGTGGTATCTGGGCTTGCTGTGTCGGGGCTTGATCGCATGGTGCTTTGGTTGCGTGGGCGTTCAGTTGCTTTTGTATAGCATTTGGCGCGTTTGTTCGGTCAAAGGGCTACTGTGTCTGACCTTTGGCCCCGGACTACATGCGAGTCCAGTAGTCAGTCAGCTGCAGCGCCGGTGGTGCCCTGAGAGTATGAGAAGGGGGAAGGGTCGGCCATGGCAAAGCAATCAGCGAGCGGTTGTAGTGCTGAGAGGCGCAAGAAGGGTCCGCTTTGGAATGAGACACCGCCGACAGATGCGTCTGTGTGGGACGACGATGGACAGAGGCGTGCGGAGATGGGCGGATGTCCGAGGCAGTCGTCGCGCGGCATTCGTTTTGGCGCTGAGCTTCCACGAAGAGATCCTGTGTATAGTACGTCGAGGTCCTTCGCGCTGGCGAACTTGTCGCCCAATGCACCTCGACATTCGAACATATCACCTACGCATCATTGGCGGACTTCGGTGACCCATCTTGCCTGAGCGTTCTGCGAGCTGGAAGGAACATCCTGGACGCAAGATGTGGTATCACCTCACCTTTTTGACCCCTCATCCAAGCGCGCGTTCTGTTCACCGCTTGGTGTTCGGGTTTTGCATGGCTGGTTGCACAGCATGGCCAAGCGGTTGCAAGAGTTAGCACAATGTTCGAGTTCCGCTCCGCGCAGCCATGCGGTCAAGAAAGCGGACAACGAAAATAACGCGGTGGAGATTGTGTCGCTAGATTGAGGCTCGTGTATGTCAGCTGCAGGGCGCCGTGGTACACAAGACCCAAACCTGGGGGCATGGACATGGACGTGGACATGAGCCAGGATACCACGAGAACATCCAGATATCTGGAAGAAGGCCCTGGACCCAAATCCAAAAGCTGGTCCGAGAGCCGGTCGTGTCTGGGGGATAGTGATCGAGGTGCGAGCTTGGAGAGGGACTGCACTGTGCACGTCGAGGATAAGCACGAAAGGCAACGCAGGACGCCTTTGAGAGCCAAGGCAAGGGTCAAGGCATGCAGTTGTATCTCCACTTCGTAAGGATGGCCGTCGAGGGGCGATCACTTGACCTTCCGCTCGTTGGCGAATCTGCCAGGCACCAACGTTTTCACCGCTTCGCCGGGCAAGGCTCACCGTTCAAGGCTGATAATCCGTGTTGACAGATGCAGCATCCAGCAGCCGACTCAATCAATATTTGACCTGGTCGCAATATATGGGGCTCCCCATTGCGTGCATATATCGAACTACCGGGCGGCAGTCGTGCAACGGGCGCGAAAAGGGCATGACGGATAACGGGCGCGAGCCCTCGTCGACAATCTACCCTGCTCGCCTCGACGATCAGCCCATTTCGTTGAGGAGGAGGTCGGTGAATTCAAAGACCCGTCGACTATAATGGTGTGGTCGCGCAGCATACGCGTCGTGCAGGGGAATTGATGAAAGGTGAAGGGTTTCCGACGCAGGTTGATGGGCAAGGGACGGCGGGTCGTCGACACCTTGTGATTCCGTCATCGGCAGGAACGCCCGAAGAGGAAGCAACGACCGTACAACCATGAAGATGATAGCGCAGAGAGTGAGTGAGATTAGCAAGTTTACTTTTTGGAGTTTTCTTTTGAGCTGTGAACTTATCGTGAACCGACGTTTGCGGCCTCATGCACCGGACATCTGGCCCGAGTCCTGCGATGCACCTCGCCAATCGATGCCAACGTCTTCTCTTTGCTTCTTGTACCAGATATTAATCAAATGTAAAAGGGTTTTCGGAGTCCGGGGCCGTGATGGTGATCGTTAGCAGTTACGCGTGCTCAATTCTGAATTCGATGCTGGCTGCATGAACAATGCTGAATTTGTGTTGTTGCATGGAATACCTTGCACAAGACTCGACTTCATGCCTGATCAGAGTCTTTAGAACCCTCGCGCTGTCCGGCGCGTCAGATAGACGGAAACGATCTACAAATAACTCCTGACAGCGACGAGGAACTTGCCTGCGTTGCTTTTGTGGGGTCGATCAAGAGACCAGGAACTGGTATACTCGCGCTCGAGTTCGCCGGACGGCAAGACACGGCTCGGCTCTGGTTACCAAAGCTAGAGCCTTGTGTTCAGCTCCCGAGGCAAGAGAAAGTTTGGCGATCAGCCACAATGTCGATCTCCGATAATGTTCAGAGCTTCAATTTGGTTGATCTTCACTACATAACTATCACGCTTTCGCGATTCATTGTTTTTCTGACATCAGGCCAATATAAACTGTGGTCGAGCTGCAACATGTTATTCCGTGGCAGCAGACTTCAGCGGCTGAAAGACTTGGCCGCCCACACCTAGAGAACATGTGCATAGGGTTCCTCGTCTTAATAGTTGATCTTAGTAGCTAGTCTGTTTCAACTTCGTGGTGGGTGCAATAGCTGCCGCCAGCAGAACGTGCGGTCCCTGAAGCTGCAAATAATGTTTGGTAGGCATTGATGTCGACCTGAACACTGAAGCACCCTTGTCAGCGAGGCAGCCACCAGGAAATTTGGGTAGAGGGCAGCGTTGACAGCAGGAAGACGCGGTAGCGTGGAGTGTGCATTGATAACCCGTTAGGTATTTCTTGTATGAACCACTACCGAAATGAACATTACACAGGTGATGTGTCTACTTCCGAATCTACAACTTTCGCAATACCTTCTCGAGCCTAGGATCTGTTGGGTCATTTGGCTTGATGGTCATCGTATGCATTTCCCGGTTTGAGCCCTTGGATCCAATCCTTTCATGATGCCAGGAAGAAGCGCCGCTTCTGACCGACGCGCCGTCGGCCTTTCGTTTCGGACTAAAACGATCTGAGATGTCTTGTCCAGCTCTGATGAACCAAGGATCTCTGCCACCTGGTTTGACTGAGCCGAATGATTAGCGCCATAGCTGCAACGATTGATGGTGTGTGCTTACTGGACCAATACTCGCGGGCATCAGCATCGTCAGGGACAGCACGGCCACCAGAGATAAGCTGTGTGAGGTAGACCATGCCGTTTAGGGTTGTGTAAATCATGAGACCAGCAATCAGACCGTAGGCGGCGCTGTAGCTAAATGGGATGAACATGAGTGTAACGAAAGCGGGGATGGCGTCTCCAATGTAACGCCAATTGATGCTTGTAACTTGCCGCATCATCAAGCAGCCAACCTGTACAAATGTCAGAAAGTAAAAACGGCTGTGGACGCAAACTCACAATAACGAGTGTGCTGCCGGTAGCCCAAGGCGGGATCGATGCGAAGATGGGAGCAAAAAACATCGCCATGATGAAGCAGAAACCAGTGGTAATCGCAGTGAGACCTGTCTTGCCGCCTTCTGCGATGCCAGCACCGGACTCGATGTAAGCCGTCACCGGGGACACACCCAAAAGAGCGCCAACAGAGATACAGAAAGCATCTGTACAATACGCCAGCGTCGATCGTGGGAAGTCGCCATCCTCTGGATCTACTGCACCGCAGAAGCGAGCCATGGAATACAAAGTTGCCGTACAGTCGATGATGTCCACATAAAGGAATGTGAAAAGAGCGAGGACGAAGTGAGAGGTGTGTTGCCTAATATTCCAGTCCAATGTGTTTAGCGTATGGTTGATAGGGTGGAAGTAAGCAACCCTCTTGAAGTACTCCCAACGCTCATCGCCGATCTGATCATTAGGGAAGTAGGTCACATCGGTGCCTCGTCTATCGAAAGTCAGCGTGTCGGATCGGGAAAAGAAACAGTAATACTCACGGCCATGCGGTGATAGAAACAATCAAGATGCCCACAATCATGGCACTCTTGATCTTGTACATCATCAGATAAGCGGTGACAATACCCCCACACGTGAGTCCAATCCATAGCTAAGTCTAACGTCAGTACAGAAACCCGTACACATGGAACTCCTTTCGACTTACTGTTGGAGACGTCATCGTGTGGCTTGTACATCTGCCAAACTCATCTCTATACTGGTCAGCGCAGCCAGCGAGCTCCAAGGGTGTACTCTTGGCTCCACTGATTGCGCCAATACCAATATCATTGCTCAAGCCAACGAGAGCAAGGAAAAGTCCAATACCACAAGCTGTGGCGATCTTGAGGGAGGTTGGGATGACTTTGACAAGCCACTGACGCATACCTATCAGAGAGAGCCCGATGAAGATGAAGCCTTCAATGAAGACAGCTGTAAGTGCAAGATTGTAAGAAACAGCACCGCTGCCGTGGTAGCCAACGACTTGATACGCGAAGTATGCGTTCAAGCCCATACCAGGTGCGAGTGCGACAGGCATGTTGGTTAGGAAGCCGAAAAGAACAGAGCTGAAGCCTGTAATAGCTGCAGTTGCAGTGATGAGCGATCGGTTGAGATCTTGAACACAGGCTGCATATTCCTGATTTTTCATGCAAAGAGGATCGTTGGCATCATTGCAGACGCAGTTGCCTCCTGTGTCAGCAAGGATTGAGGCCTTCGAACGTTAGTTGGATGCTGCTCCATTTGTTACTTATACATACATTGACAGAAATGACATAGGCCATTGTGAAGAATGTCGTCAAGCCGGCGCGGATCTCCGTCGTAAATCGTGCATTCTTGATCTCTTTTTCCTGTGTTGTCTGTGAGCGACATGTCACCGGCGCAAAATAGCAAGACTTACATGTCCACAGCCCTCGAGTCGAAAGACTCGTCCAAAAGTTGAAGCACCAATGAACGCGTTGACTTTCTCGCAGAATAGCCGAAAAGAATCCATGTTGTGAACTGCTTCGAAGAAAAGGAAACCAGCGACTGTAATGAACAAAAGTAATAAGAAAGGGTGGCGACACGACGATGCCTGATCTACCGTGGAGGTGCCGTATTACGCGTAGCTGATGAATTTGCAAGGAGATTGATTGTACCGGTACCATGAATCGATCAAAAGACTGTTGTAGATGAGAAGGCAATGCAGAGGTGATAGATCATTCCATTGGCGGAAGTTGTGCCTGAGGTAGTTCAAGGTCAATGAATGTTGCAGGTGGGCCGAGTTGTTGGTATCCGCGAGTACACATGCAATAATAACGGATGGCAGCAACCTGGAGATCCACCATCTGGAAATGACAGCCGGCCGCAGCGCGAGGGGCGCAACAGGGCGTTGTACAAGGAACACCTACAGGGGCCTAGCTTTGTATCGCGGTGGAGATGCTCGAAGTCCAACTGGGATTGGTGAGCTAGCGCTGTGATTTTGTGGCTTGCTGAAGCGCATCAGGGGTTGCCCTAGCCATGGTGTTCAGGAACGGCCAATGCAGATCCATGCTGCATTCTGAGTGGTGGACGATAGATCATCTCCATGGTGCTTGCTTCGTAGATGCATCTGCTGCGAAACGAACAGCCCGCTGAACTTTCTAACGTCCCCTGCTAAACTCGGACCATCCACCGGCACTACCGCGGAACCTCAGTTCACACCGGTCATTTCTTCCCGCATTTGTTTGCGATGTGAATGGTCTGATCCTTGTGTTTTATGTTGAAGACAAACCTTATGAGCATGTAGGCTAATGCGATTGTCCGCCACAGTTGCCCAGTTGGCAGCTTTTCTCAGATTCACCGGCAGCCTGATTGTTTCTGCAGCCCACTTGCACTTTCATCAAGCCAGGGTGAGCCACAAAAATGACGGCGACCTGGAACATGGTGGTCCTGCGGCACAGACAGGCTAGCCACCTGTCCCTGCAGTACGACGTAGGCGTTTTCCCTTTCCGACAGACGTCTTGTCGGTGCGAAAGTTTGGACACGCGCTTACCACGTGTGGACTACAACCCCAGTAACATGGGTAGGATCCCGAGGGTCATCACGGTCCAGCCATGGACCTGCGCACTGGCATTCTGGTACGACGGCATGGCCAGAGGGTGGCCCTTCGCCAACCCGAATGTGACAACTCTCGTTGTTCTGCTTGAATGAGCCAATGAAGCCACACCGCAGGCGGCATCTCTTAGCTTCCCTAGCGCAGTGAAAGGACCCGTTGCGCAATCCGCTTTGACGGCTGCGACGTCTTCCCCGACATCCCTGCTTGATGTCTTACAATGCCATGGACTTGTGCCCTGGCGTGCGATCGTCATCACTCATGATACTTGTTCGCTCGTTCTCCTCCAGAACTGGTGGAGTCTAGCCTAGTGACCGCTCCAGTACATATCCCCAGGACAGGACGATTGACGATGTTTGCGGCCGATCTATCATGGCAGATGGGCGAAAGCGTTGGACAGCGAAGAGAGCGGAAGGCGCGTGAACGTCCGTCTGGAACACCCTCAGTCAGGACTTCGATGACCTCGAGGAGTTCCAGCTCAAACGATCGGCAAGAATGGTGGACGTCCGGACTAAACAAGATCAAGGCCAAGACGTCCTCAAAATCATCGGGAAAAGGACGACCAGTAACAAGCCCATCTTCGAATTCCCAGCAGACATCTGATCCACCACCACTTCCACTCGTCCGCGAGACAATTGCGAGAGACCGCCCAACATGGGATTCCGAGCTTCCACACCATCTGAAGGAGCAAGTTCCGAACCCTGCATACACGTTCTCGAAGTCGCTGTCGCCAACCTTGCCGTCTGGTGGTTCCATGGACATTCTGGAGTGCGACGTTCCCGAGCTCGAAGGTGACATATCATCACGCTATACGCACTCGATCGTCTCTGTAGCTTCGCGTACGCATATCTACTCAGTAGAATCTGATTCCAAGCTGACTTTCATTCAGGCGACCATCATTGGGAGCTGAAGACACTACCGCCCGAAGCTCTAGGTGGGATTGACGGAGTGCATGCGTACGAACCATACTCCCTGGCTTCAATTGATACAAGGACAAGTGTTGGGTCGCGTGAACAACAGGAACCCATACCGGTCCCGAGGGCTGATGTGGTCGGCAGAGAGAAGCGGTCAGCAGATTGAGCTCCTACATGAGAATACTAACTGACCGAGCATAGAAGAACAATTGTCCCAAGAATTGAGACTCGCATGGATGAGGATTACGGCCCCCAAAAGACCTCAAGTCTAGATACTGCAAGGCATATCGAAGTCGAACCGAAAGTAGCAGCTTGCAGACCACTGGCTCAATGGGACAGTCTCTCGCCCATGATGGTACCCAAGGATTTCCGGAGAGTGTCGGCATCTCGACCAGTCAAGGCCACTGGTACACAGCACAACACAATCGTGCGAACGCGATTCCAGCGTTTCATGCAGAGGCTCGAAAGTGCGGGACCACAACTTGTCTTAGACCGGATGAAGGAATCCCAGCAAGATTCTGCGGATTCGGAAGAGGAATTACTCGAACAACAGCTTTGGTTATTGACAGGGTTCCAACTGCAAAATTTAGGCAAGGCACGGGTCGTCCCGAAACCGCAGTGTGACACCGGCAAGATCCTGGAACTCTATGGTAACCTCTGTAAGTGAACGTCTCGCTCGAGCTGCGCTGCTGTGTATCGTCTAACAATGATGTCAGCTGAGGTCTACCAGTCATCTGCGATGCACACAAACCAAACGGTACACTTCCTCACTACAAAACCGCAGCGTACTCTATCCCTTCCTAGCAATGTGTCTTACCTGACGGTACGCGAATTCGGAACTGTACCTTTGCCGTACCCAGAAGATTATTTCTCGCACATCCGCGCATCGACCTTGCCGTCTTTGGTCCCCTCCGCAAAGCTGCCCGAATTGTTTCGAGAGTGCTATAAGCTGCTCGCCCCAGGCGGTCTGCTTGAGATCAGGATCATGGACGCGGCCCCTGTACGCAGGACGGCCGGTCCCATGATGCGAATGTGGATTGAAGACAGATTGTCAGTTAACTTGGAAAAGCTTTTCCGTTGCTCGAAACCATGCTCGCTAGTGTCTGGCTGGCTGGCGGAGGCAGGCTTTCAACTGAGTGAAGACAACGACCAGGGGCTTCAACTGCCGTGCGCTTTCGATCCAACTTCAAATGACGTTGAACAGGAGCTTTCGACTATGATAGGTCAAGCGCTGTGGAAAGACATCTGGGGTCCATTCGTTCAGGACTTTCCTGATGAGCCAAAGTGGTGGTGGGAAGAAGATATCATCGTGCAAGAGTGTCTGAAGAGGAAAACAGTGTTGGAATGTCGCTCATTGTATGCGTACAAAATATGAAGGTCGCATGAGAGGAGCGCTTCGCAACACAAACAGTCGTTGCGAATCATTAGGGGGACGAGTTGTAATTTCTGGATACCCTTGTTGCATTTTGACGTCGACGTTTTCGGTCCTAGCCCAGCAGTAGAGGCAAATCAAGCCGTGGGAGCTTCCGAAACGTCTCGTTTATCGTCTGCAGTGGTCTGGAGAATGAAGATAAACTTCTGCTGCCACTCCACTCAGGGTCTTCATTGCTAGCGCGATTCCACATGTGACCCCGCGTTTCCTTTCTGCAGTCATGAAAGCATCAACAACAACACGTCAATCAGCATGATTCGAAGCCATGGCCCGTCTCTGTGATTAGATTGTCACGGCTTCAGTCAGACCACGTTGGAATGTTTTGAGAGGTTTGGCTGTCGCGTCCGTGCGACGGCCCCCGTTTCAATGCGCTGCAAGCTCCGAACGCCTCCTGGCTGTGCCTCAAAAGTGAGCCTCCCTGCAGAAGATTCGGTCGGTGATCTCGAATCCTCGTCGGCTTCTCCGAACATCTTACCAGCTAGCTACGTTGGCCTCCCTTACTCTTGAGCATATTGCCGGCCTCGACCACGGCTAGAATCGAGTCATCCTATCGCCATGCTTAGCAAGCTTACAACACAAATCGCATTGCGGAAAGCCGGGCTGGGCGGAATAAAGATACCGGATCCGTTTGCCGCCAGTGAATCGAAAAGCTCGAAAAGCACTCAAGGTTCAGAGGGAGGGGGCTTTGCAAACCCCTTTGCCAACGTCAAATGGGGCGCACCCAAGGCCTTCGCTTCGTGGACGACTCCACCTCCAACGCAGTTTCCGGTACAGCCGGCGCCAGTCGCTGGTGATAAGGCCAAGTCTAGTGTCAGGCTCCGGTTTCCAGCAGTCGATGGGAGACCTTGTGTTGTGTTATTCTTAAGATACTGCGGTTGTCCCTGTACGTCACAGTTGTTGGATGTCTCAGTGTTCGCAAAACTAATTCAGTGCAGTTACAGAGAAGCTATTCCTCCACCTTCGGTCCTTAGCGAACAGGCACACCTCAATACACTTCGTCGTCGTATCACATTGCACTCAAGCCGCTACCAACGAATGGGTGAAGAAACTAGGCGGACCGTGGATGTTGGATATAATTGTCGACATAGACAGAGAGCTCTACGCGCTCTGGGGACTCGGCATCTCGAGCTACGCTCATGTGCTCAACCCGCGGAACGGCTACAACCAATACATGCTCGGCAAAAAGGAAGGCGTGTGGGGGCAAGAAGTTGGAGAAGGGGGTTGCAGGTGGCAGACGGGCGGCGCGTACGCCATCGACGGCCGGGGCATCGTCAAGTGGTCCTACCCCATGAAGAGTGTCGACGACGCAATACCGATCGATGAAGGCATCAAGGAGCTCGGGATTGTTCGCTGATAAGATACCCAATACGACAATGCATCATACATATCACCAGAGTACGCGCGTGTGGAAGGCAGAACAAAGAACGACTTCACCACGCATCGGTCCAGGACAGGCTTTCAGGCTAATATTGCATTACGTTTTCTGTGCCCCAGCATGCAAACTCAAGCCTACTGCTTTACATAGTTCGTGCCTACTGGCTCTTCTTGGCCGTCGACTCCTCCGCGGGAACGAACCTCTTCCTGACAGCCTTCACCATTTGGCTGAACCAGTACACGTTCAGGAAGCTCAACGCGGTATTTCCCACGAGATAGATAGTAACGAGCCACGTGGGCAACTCAGTGATCTCGCAACTGACCGGACCACCATACGCCCTGCCACTGGCGTTTCGTCCACACATATCATCACCCAGTAGCAGATTCGTCATCTGGGAAGCCGGTGTCGTCAAGGCCTTGTAAATGTCCGAGTAGATCATAACTGACTGGTAGGTGCCCCAAATGACTCGACAGGCGAAGAATGTGAAGAGCAGTGCAATACCGTTGTACAGTTGGAGCTTCGATCCGGTCATACCGAGCTTGTCGCAGAACCAGTGAATGTTCAGAAATGGCGTGGACAGCTCGTACAGGATGAAAGAGAGACCGTAGTAATTTCCAAACGGTTTCTGCAGTCGTGTTAATCCATGTAAGTCCAATCAGGCTGTCTGTACGTACGAAACCAATACAAGTGATAGCCAGGGCACCTATGGCATGCACCAAAGCACCGATACCGCAAATGTCAAAATGGGTAAGGCAGACTTGGAGATCCCAGAGGAAGTAGCCAGCTGCGAAGCCCTGAACCATACCGCTTGCTGGTGTATAGCCCCACAGCCTGCCTTTCCAGTCCATCTCTTTCCTCTCTGGGTCGCTGAAGATCACATAAAGTGCAGCACCGTTGATGAAGAGGGCTTGGATCATCGAGACCCAGTGGATATCCCAGTTCAGGCGTGTCCGCCTGTTAAAGCCCGCATACATCTTCGGGCACATGAGTCGAGAGACCGCCGGCGACAGTCCATACAAGATGGCATGGTACGCAAGGAAGCCGACCAGGATCTCGTGAACGTGATACGGCATGGTCTTCAGGTCCAGCTTTTCAGCCAGAGGCTGCGTGAGCTGGACCAGCATCGATGGCGGCGGTATTGGGTCCCGCATGGCGTGGAAGGTTGGAGGTAAGAAGGCAGACATCACAAAAACAAGCTCAAGTAAGCTCTCGAAAACGGCTGGAATGGAGGGCACACTAGCAGCGGCGGTAGCCACATGTTTAATAGAGCTCTACACATCTTGCAGGGGCAGCTTCGCCGGCCGTAAGGTTTCCTCGTGAGCAACAAAAGCCGCTCGGAAACAATCGATGCCGCAGTCGCGCCTGATCTTCGAGACAGATGGTGCCAGGCGGGGTTTAGAGGGGTCTTGGGCGATCGCGTCAGGAACAAGGGTTGGGCCGGCCAGTTTCTGCCGGCTGCGCGCGAAGCGAGGAAGGTACGAAGCAGCTCTTGAATCATGCACCGGACAGAGCTTCATCACGCTTCAACAACAACAAGAACAACAACAACAAAGCCACTACGACGTCGCGACTTGCTGCTGTTGCAGGCGTTCAGAAGATCTTCGCTACATCTCGCCAAGCGCTGTGTAGGTCTATCCGCGCCCTCGAGATGGCGGCATCCAAGGGCAAGCCCTTTCGAGAAACTAACGAAGGGAATCTCAAACAGCGGTTCTGCCCACACTTTTGAAGGCCACCACATCCTGAAACCCACAACTGAAGGGTGATCCCATCGATCCGGAGAAACATCGTCCCCGTCGAAGTCACGCGTTCCTGTCGCCTAGCTCACCGCCAAACTTTTCTGCCAGCACCGACACCAGCGAGCTTGAAGCTGTCTTCGATACAGCCAACTGCGCAGCGGCGATATTGCAACGCGCTCATAAAGATCAGCTAGACTGTCACCTGTTCTGAGTCCTCGAAAGGAACAATCCAGAGATTATCCGGGAAGAGTGTCGATCGAAGCTACTATTGCAACGCTTTCGCGCGACTTCTTCAAGCTCTTGACGACATAGTCATAGATTTCTTTGCGTTGGCTTGCGCCTGTCACGTCCCGCCGCGAACATGATGCACGAAATCATCGACAACCCTCTGACAGAGGCTGAGATCGTCACCTCCGAGACATCCATGAACGCACAGACTGACCCACCCAGCAAGAAGCGTAAGAACACGCAAGCAGCAGATGTAAGCGTTCTCCGCGTTTGACCAATTCCCCTTCTAACACGATCCAGGGGATCAAAAAGCCCAAAGTCCAAGAAAACCGCGCAATCTACGTCAGCAACCTCCCCCGCGACACAAACGAGACCGAAATCGAAGACGAGTTCAAGAAATACGGCATCATCGACCAGGGCGCCGACGGCAACAAGCGCATCAAGATGTACAAGGATGAAGCCGGGAACTTCAACGGCGACGCGCTGATCGTGTACTTCAAGAAGGACAGCGTCGACCTGGCCATCCGGATGATGGACGAGTACTACTTCCGAATCGAGGACCAGTCGCAAGGCGTGATACACGTGAAGGAAGCAGACTTCAGCTACAAGAAGCACAAGGACGGGGACGAGATCAAAAATCAGCTGTCGCGGAAGGACAAGAAGGCGAGCGAGCGAAACCGGGCCGAGTTGAACCGGTGCGTTGCCCTTCTTATCATGTTCCACCACCTGGGGACCCAAAAGTGTGGCCAGAGCTAATGTGCATACAGCAAACTCGCGGAGTGGTCCGACAACGAAGAAGAAGTGGCCGAAGCCTTTGCGCCCAAGAAGAACAAATGGGCCAAGGTATGTATTCTGCGGTACGCATTCACGCTTGCCGAGCTCGACGAAGACGACGCCGCGATCCTTGAGATCAAGGAGGACATACGCGAGGAAGCCGAGACGTTCGGCGACGTCACAAATGTCACGCTGTATGACAAGGAGGCGGATGGCATCATCGCGGTGCGGTTCAAAGAGTTTGAGGGCGCGGAGAAGTTCAAGGAGGCAATCCACGGCAGGCATTTTGGGGGGAGGAAGCTTGAGGTCACGCTCGCAGAAGATAAGCCGAGATTCAAGAAGAGCGCAAGGGGCGAGGAGCCAGATAGTGACGAGGAAGAGCGCAACCTCGACCGGCTTGCGAGGCAGCAATAGACGGGCGATGTGTAGAACGATACCCAAGAAACACAGTTAGACAGTCAGTTCAAAAGCCATACTCAGGTTTGGTATCTATTTTTGGTCCACTGTAGATTCCTCCATTATGGTATCGAAAAAGTCAATGTACAAGAAAATGCCTCTAAATTAGGCCTGCCATGCAGAGAAAAAGAGCTGGAGCTGACGCAGCTCAGTGGTATCGATGCCAATCGCCCGGAACGCCAGTATGCACAAATATCCTTGGTTGAGACATCCCTTCTTTTAAGGTGTCACAGCACAGTAATCCTAGTCAGTCAACGCGCGTGTGACATGTTGCTTAGAGCAACAGAACCGCTGCGGCGGCGACGACGGCACCAGCAGCACCGCTGGCGAACTTAGTCGCTGCGTTGGTGAACTCCACAGGAGCGGACGAAGAGGCGGAGCTGGGCGAGATGGGGACAGCTGTAGTGGCGGACGCCGTGCCAGTGGGTGTGGCCGGAGCACTGCTGTTGTAACCTCCGCTGCCAGTTGGAAGAGCGTAGCCGGAGGAGACACTGGTGCTCAGGTTGATGCTCGAGACAGGATAGCCGGACTCCTCACCAGCGGAGAGCTGGGTGAAGTTGGCGCAGGCAATGCGGGTCTTGTTGGACAAGTGGACGACGACAGACAGATTGCCAAAGTAGGCGTTGCTGTCAGGTCGAGTAGCTGAGTAGAGATCGACGTATCTATTCATTGTCAGCACATCGGTCTTGGTGGATCTCTGGTCAACTCACTCTTGCGACCACTCCTGCGCAGTCATATTGCCGAACTTGCCGCTCAAGTCACCAGTCTGGCAGGTCTCGGGCTTGCTGGAATCACAGATCGGAACCTCACCGCGCTTGTAGGGGTCGAGGTGAGCGCCAGTGCCGGTGCAGTTGCCATCAGAAGGGACGGGCTTCTCGTGCAGGTGGTACATGAAGGGGCCGCCCTCAGCGGGCAGACCGGAGATGGAGACGGTGAACTTGACGCCGTTGCCATCCTCCACAGACACAGCAGCGACAGAGCCGCGGACGGTGTACTTGGTTTGCTCAGGCAGCGTGGCAACGTAGGAGACGCCCTTGGGGTTACCGCTGACTACAGGAGCAGGGACAACAGCCGACGACTGGGCAGTGACAGCCGACGTCGCGGCGATGAGCGAGAGAATGGAGGCGCGCATGTTGAGGGGATGTAAAGAATGGGGTACTGGAGCTTTGTTTAGCGCGTGTCGAAGGTGGGTTGAGTGAGCGATGCGAGAGCGTGTTCGTGGAGAGGAAGGGTTCAAATAAACAAAGCCAAGCTCTTTAAATTGCGGTGAAAGGCGAAGTGAAAGTGAAGGGGAAGGCGCAGTACTTACTCTTTCTAACAAAGCAGTAACAATGGCAATCGATTGTTTAGGGCAAAGCGCAAGCACGACTGGCCAAACGACAAGAATGCAGCTAAATGCGGAGAAAGGACTTAGACTCAATAAGCTATTACTGAAGACGGAAGTGACCTCAAGGCCTGAAGCGGGCGCGTACTCAGCTATATACACGCCAGGCACAGTCACATCCGCATTCGACCCGACCAGGAGGCTGGCTGTGTGACTGAGCCCTACAAGAGCCATTCACACCGTGCCGCTCCTCTTGAGCAGACCTTACCGGTACCGCATGTGCCACAGCCCGAGCAGCTACTCCCTGAGTCCACTTCCCTTTCAGTCCCGAGCTTGCCATTGGCCGCCAAAGGAGAAAGTCTACACGTCAAACCGCCTGCTCTGTGCCCTAGATTGGAGGAACGGCGTTGTTGCATATCGTTCGGCGCCCGAATGTAAGCCTGCGCCGGCTGTTTTGAAACGCCCAGACATGTTGGCGGGTGACAGCCAATTGGAGCGCAAAGTTTCAATGTTTAGCGCAGGAACGCGGTCAGGGCGTAGCCAATGGATCGCCGAGGGCGCACATAACCTGAGGTGCCCAGGTGATGGCCACTGAGGGAGGTTGGTGAGCTCTAGGCCACGAGCTGTTGACGCCGCTGTGTATCTCCGCCACATGGCTGCAGCTGCTGTGCTCGCTCCGCAGCGCCTTGCAAATACACCCACGATGCCCTATGATCAGCCCAAGCGCCGTGTTGGTGTTGTAGGACTAGACATCAGATGCTCTCGCCTTGTGCTAAGCTTCGGCTAAAATGACCTTCCAAAAATACACCAGCGGGCCGCAGGACACCTGCTCCAGTGTTTCTCTAGACAAAGACAAAACCCAGACAGCTGACAGCAAACACACCAACGTGTCGACGCTGCTGCCGGAGCCGTCGCTGTTTCGCCCTAAATAGACTGCCAATATACCGAGCCGAGCGTACTGCGAAAATATGCCAGTAGCAGTGCTGAGCAGGTGCTGCACGCCTCCTGGCAGCCGTGACATAGCTGTCCAGCGGCACGGATAAAGAGACGGGAACCGGAAATAAGAGTAAGACAGACGAGATGAACTGACTTACATTGAGGCGTTGAAACAGGGGACGCGCATCTACGTGAAGCAAGGCCAATCTACGCGTCTTTGTGCCACGCAAGAGAGGCAGGTAGGAGCCACGCGCCACATTCTTGGCTGGGGATCGCAATCTTCGGAGCATGCGATTCCTGCCACCTGGCAGCGAGGACCGAAGATTGCCATCGAAGGCTGATGTGCGACGTCCCTCCATGGCCGTGTTCAACGCCCTTCGTTGCGCACCTTGTAGCTCACCCTTGCCCGACACCACCCCGCAATCCTCGCAGCACCAGCGTCCACCAGGTCCTGACCCACGGCCTGGACATCTTTGTACGCATCCGGCGTCTCTTCGAACACCAAGTCTTTCTCGTCGCAGACCACCCAAGTGCCCTCAGCGTCTCCAGCGCGTGGCTGCAGGATGTTCTGCCCTTTGTACTTCTGCGATAAGGAGGAGAGCGCTTTCGTTCGCGACATGCTGCGGCCGGCGCCGTGAGCAAGTGAGAGTGCATTCTTCAGGCCCCACGACGTAGTGTCTGAGAAGGTGGGTGAGAGCATGAGGGTCGGTGTGCCTCGGGATCCTGGAAGAGGTAGGAGAGGGAGGGGCTGGCGCGTCAATGGATTGTAGGTTGGTGCTGCACCTTTGCGGTGGATGTAGACATAGTCCTGAGGTTTCGAGGTGTCGTCTAGAGTAAGTTGATTGGCGAGTCCGTCGAGTGTGGGTGTGGATGATGGAGGTGACGGTGGCCAGGGCACCCGCTCGACGTTGTTGTGCCAGATGTCGACCACCTTGCGTGCGTTGAGAGCAGTCTTACTATGCTCGATGCTCGCAGCATCCACCCCAGGCGTATCCACGTCCGAAAGTCCAAGCCGCCAGTCCTCATTCCCAGGCTCAAGACAAGCCAGAAACCTCATGGCAATGAGATCCCGATTCGCCCTCGCCCACCGACAAGCCCGATCGTGCTCCTTCAAATACTCCTCCGCCTCGAGACTGCCCTCCTCTAGACTGGCCTTCTCCACAGCCGCAAACTTCTTCAGCACACTCCCCCCATACCCGCGACTCCCCGAATGTACAAGCATCACAACGTCCCCCTTCCTCAACCCATCTGCGCATCGGCGTCAGCATCCTCAACGACCTGCACCTCCACGAAGTGATTCCCCACCCCAATCGTGCCAACACTCTTGTCCCACTCCTCGCCCGCATCACAACACCCCTGCTCATCCGTCAGCCACAGCTCCCTAGCCTCCCGACTTCTCCACGGCCCCTCAAGACCGCGCAGCTTCTCAGCAACTCTCCTGCCCTTGTCGCCATCAACAGCACTTCGTGACAGAGAGAGCCGGTACCACGTCATCCCGCACCCGATATCTCCGCCGATCAGCGGGGGATGAATCCATCGCTCCGAGACAAAGACGGCGCCGATGGGGAACCTGGTGCCGGGGTGGAGATCGGGTTGGGCTACTGCGCGAACGATGCCGGGGAGTGTGTGCGCAGTGGTTGTGAGCTGGGTGGTGGCGAGAGATTCAACTGGTGCTTTGGATGCGAGGAGCTCGACGGGACAGGTTGGGTTTGTGCCTGCTGGGGTGTCAGTGTGGGTGGTGTTTGTTGCACGAGAGATGCTAGCGCTCGGAGGGGGAACTTGCGCAAATGTGCTCATGGGGGGTGACGTACCGTGGACGATTGGTGCTTTCTTTAACCCAACGTACTCTTCTCCGGCGGAAACCAGGAGAACGACGTCGTTCTTGATGTTGGTCTTCCAGTCCACTTCTCTGGTGAGTTCCTGCCCTGTTTGCTTGATGAAGACTCGGACCGGTTTCTTGAGCTTCAGCCTTGCCTGTGCTGTCTTGAGCACCAGTGACCGAACGGAGTTTGCAGCTACGGGATCTGCGACGGCGGAGACGGGAGCGAGTAGCAGAGCTTTTTGCGACTGCTGGGCGTTGCTTGCAACTGTGACGCGCGTGGCCATGGTCGAAGACGTAGTGACGGGAAGATGTGTGGACGTAAGTCTCAGGATATCGAAAAGGCGTTGAAGGTGTGTAGTGGTGTCAGTAGGGCGAGGTCGCTCGTCAAAACTAGGTTGTCTGTTGTTTGCGTTCCAGATGGCGCATATGGTATTTGTACTATGCGTACGATGACGGTCAGAGGTGAAGATGGTCACTAGCGCAATTCTACTCATCCTCGACTCATCCTCGCACATCAGTGACGCTTTTACTGCCACGCAGAAGGTCCAGCGATAACGACGTAGGAAGTGGGTAATGACTTTTCTGGAAGCATTGGGTTTCGGTTATTTCTACCGAAGTATTCGTCTGATCAAGATGTATCACTGCTCTTGCAGAATAAATCACACATTCAGATGCTCAGAACGTCGGACGCGTTTTGTGATATCGTGCAAGTACTCTGGAGAGCCATAGCCCTGCTCAGCCCTGCTCAGACCTTCCGGAATTGACTAGCGTTTCGGTCGCTGGGCAAAGAGCTCCCCCTGCTTCTTGCTCTTCACCCCTGCGTGGATTTCCGCTTCATTCTGTCTGCAAGTACTGTTCTGTCCGCAAGTACCGAAGAGAGTGTTTACTTGCAGAGTATGAGCCAGCGAACGAAAGAGATCTTGTCGGGCAGCGCGCAGCTTGAGCTTGTTCCGCTGCTCAGTAACCTCCAGCACCTCCTGGTATTCGTCCATGCACGACCGGCGCACCGAATCCCTCCTGCTCCAACTCCGCGCGCCGAATGCATCAGCCTCGCCTGTTTATCTCATCCAACTCTCTCAGCCGCCTCGTGTACTCCAATAGCTGCGGAGAACTCTGCTCATTCAGCTCTTCATGGGCAAGTGCAAGCCTTCTCTTCCTGTTCTGTTCTTCAAGCAATCTTAGCTGATCCGCATAGGACAGATACTTGCTCGATTTCTGCACCGGATCGCGCCCAGGCAACGGGTGGCGCCAGAAATCCTCATCCTGTCCGCTAGCCGGCATAAGACTCTCATCTTGAATCTTCCGACTCTCAAAGAAACGTTCATCGGTGGTAGGACGAGTTGACGTTGGAAGTTGAAAACTGTGCGGAGAACACGTCAGTCATCAACGACTCGCCCGTGACAGGAGACTTTTCAGGAGAGGTCTCGTACGTTTCGTAGTAGGACGGCAGCTCGAAGTCGTTGGCTGCGTGGTTGAGGATGTTCGGGTCGATGCCGGGGATCTGGGTTGTTATGTCTGCTGGACCGGCGCCATGCTGAGTCGTAGATGGTGCGGAGGTTTGGCTGCCGTTGATTTCAACCATCTTGTCGCCTTCGACGCGGACTTCTCGGTCGCGAAGTCGGCGCATGAGCTCGAGGAATTGCGAGTTCTGGAACTTCTCGCTCGTGTTGTCTGCTACTCTCTCCAGCAAGTGGCCTGCGGTGGCTGCCATCTCATCGTCGTCGTTCATCTTTGGCTGCTCCTGCTGCTGCTTGGGCTCTTGCTCTGTCGTTTCGTTGTGCGGCGTCTTCATGTATCCCGCATCGTCCAGCTCCTGCCAGATCGGCTCTTGACTCATGGGTACTCGAGCGCCCAGCGGGTAATGTGACATGATCCTCTGGTTGATGGCCGCGATCAGACCATCCGCACGTGTCCTGACTTCCTGTGGAGCTCCGCGGTCCACGATCCGTTGCAACGAGTCGACAATCCACCTCGCTTCGTTCGCATCCTGTACCAGATCACCGCTCCTCTCCAAAATGCCCATATTGTCGAGGTACGACACGGCCTCTTCGGTGCGGCCGAGGCCCATCTCGCTCCAGACCTGGATGGCCGAGTAGACGGCTAGGCCAGTGTTAGCAGACATGGCACAGCAATCTGATACTACACACCTGGCCGTGTTTCCCGTATCCGTATAAGAAGAGGATCCTCACTTGTCCGGGTGAACTCGCCCATGACCTCGGGGTTCATTGCTCGAGACTGCGCTCGCTGTGCTTCTGCTGCTGCCTCCGCCTCTGCCGACTCGAAGGCGTCTTGTTGCGCCTGCGCAAACGCCTGCTCGAAAGCGGCTTCGTCGAATGCCGGTCCCTGCGCTGTCTGCTTGCCTTGGGCTACTTGCGACAATTGCGCGCTGGGCTGGAAGCTGTTCTGCATGTACGAAGGCCCCGCGAACCCGCTTATACCGTAGTTCTGCATGCCACCGAACGCGTTCTGCTGCTGTGCTGGAGCAGCTGGACTCTGCTGCCTCATAAAGTCCTGATGCCATGCGGACGCCGCATTCCCTGCCTGAGGCCGCAACTGCAGGGTAGGCGCAGGCTGACCCGTGATATTCAAACGTTGGAAGTCCGAAGCCCAGTCCGGCGCCTGCTGGGCATGTGCAAATTGCGGCGGAGGCGTCGCGAACTGCTGGGGGAAGTGCTGGAAGTCTGGCTGCGGCGGACCGGGGCGACCTTGCTGGAAGGCATCAAACTCAGAATCGACACCAGCATTTGGGCCTGGGGACGATCTGAAGCCCTGCACACGGTGAGCACGTATCCCCGTCGGCGTGACATGTGAACTGACCTGCGCTGGAGACTGGCGGCCGACGAGACGGTCTTGCTGCAGGGTCCGATCAACGGAGCTGTGTTTCTGGAAATTCTGCAGAGCGTTTGACGGCCCGCAAGATGCGTCCGCCATGACTGCAAGAAACAAAGGGTATCACACAAAAACGCAAAGACAAACTGTGGAAGAAGAAGCGTGCGGCGCGTCAGGACTGTCAAATGTCCCGCCGTGTCGGACCAGAAGTACCGAGGCTTGCTCTGCGGGCCGAAGTATTTACCACGATCAGATGTCATCACCCGTGGACTGCGAGCCCCACATGCAGTCACTGGATTAGGAACGAGCGTCATGTGAGCGCTGCTTGCTTTTGTTCAGCTGCCCGGCGATGAAGCGACGCGCCCGCCTGCTGAACCTTCTGTCCTGAGTGGCGAGCGGCCGAGACGGTTACACACGACCGGTGAACAGCTGAGAGCTTGTTGAGATAAGATTTTGATCTTGACATCATCGTCACGCTTGTATGCAAGAAGACGCAGCTGCCCAGATGGACTGCACGCAATACCTGTATTTTGTGGAGATCCAGCTGCCCTGAAGAGCCAGACGCTACATAATCAATGGAACACGAAATGCTCCTCAGAGCTGACAGGGTGTGAGCGAGGAGAATGGTATACGCGTTAGAAATAATATCAAAGCAATGCTCCAACTCCAACATTAGCTACTGTAAGATGCTTCTATCTGAAAAGCATTTCACAGAGCGTTACGTTCTTTGCCGGGCGTGAGATGTCGCTGCGAGACCTCGACCTGGACTTCTTGCGTACGAAGGCGTATTCCTTCTTGCCGTGGCGGTCGCGACCATCTGCTTCGATAAAGAGGTGGTGTCCATGGTTTGAACGCAATCGCCTTGTGTGCTCGAAGAGGATGTCGGTCTCCCTCTGGTTCATCTCGCGGAGTACGATGATGTAGCTGGGATCCTAGGTTTGTTAGCACACAGATCTTGCGTGAGAGTGCGGTGGTCACTTACAGCATCGTACTCGTAGGGAATGTCGTAGTAGTGCAAGGTCTCGATGTCGAGATACTCCCTCCTAATCTTTGCGTATGTGGGCTGAGGTGCAATGCGCAGTGGATTGTGTGGTGTCAGGCCGACCTGCTGCTGCTCCAGCTTCTTCTGCTGTTCGGGGTGAACCATGGCTTGGATTTGGTTCTCCTGGAAGCCGAATTGTGCCAGGCGTTTGCGCATGGCCGCTTCAAGCTCTGCATCCTCCTTATCTTGCTTGGCTTTCTCAGCAGCCTTCTTTGCGGCTTGCCTGCGCATGAAATCCTCGTATTCTTCCTGCTCCTTCTTTGCTTGGGCCTTCTTCTCGAGCTCCATCTGCAAGAGTAGCTCCTCGCGTTGCTTCTTTGCCTTCTCTGCGTCGAGGACCTTCTTGCGCTCGTACTCGTAGACGATGCGCTCCTGCTCGGCTCTTGCTTTGGCCTCTTCTTCAGCTTTTCTTTTATTGTAGGCATCTACCGCGGCCTGTTCAGCCTCCCTCGCTTTCTTTGCAGCGGCCTCACGCTTGACTTGCGCTTCTGCAACGATGCGCTCCGCCTCCTTTTCCTGTGCCTTTGCTTGTGCATCACGCTCGCGCTGCTCCTTTTCGAATTTCTCTCTCTGCTCTTGTACCAGACGTTTTCGCTTCTCGTCAGCATCCCTCTCTTCTCTCTCATGATCAGCCAGGATCCTGTCCTTCTCCGCTTTCTTCTCTCTCAGCTCTTTTTCAGCCTTAGCTTTGCTGTCAGCGAGAATGCGCTCCCTCTTGTCTGCTTCGTCGCGAAGCGCACGCTCACGTGCCCGCTCTTCTCGCTCCCGTTTGAGGTCCAAATCCGTACGCAACCTCTCTTCAATGCATTTGATGCGAGCCTCCTCGTCATCGCGCTCTTGTCGATCCTTGATGTACTTGAGCTCGAGTTTCCTCTTTATGATCTCCTCGCGCCTCTCTGCCTCGATCTTTGCCTCAGCTTCCCTCAGCTTCTGCTCGGCCAAAGACAGCTTCAACCTATCGTCATAGGTGCGATCTGGTGAGTGGCCGTGATGATGATAATGCTCTCCGCGGGAGCGAGATCGTGCCAGTCGCATCTGCATCCTCAGCTCTTCGACTTCGTCATCAAGCCCCCATTCACCGGGCATTCTTCGAGTGCGGCCACGGCCGTCAGCACTGGCCTCGCGGCTTCGTTGATCGGTAGTAGTGCGCATATTGGGGTTGCTCTCATTGTCCATGCGAGTTGTATTGTAGATAGTCACATTGGGGGTCGGCGAGTGACCGGTGGACTTGGTTCGGTGGAGACCACTTGTATAGTGGACTTCTGGGTTGAGGTACTCGGAGATGCGCCGGCCGCCGAGATGCTCGCGGATCTGTGGTTTGGGAACATGGCGAGCGCCGTTGTAGACATCTCTATGATACCACTCATCTTCCTCATAGTCATCGTAGAGGCGCGACATCTTGCAGACACTCAGAGATATCCGTTGGCGAGTATATTGTGTGTCTGAGATGAGAAGAGTCAGAGACCTGCAATAAATGCAACCACCAGCAAACGGTGCTCAAAGGTGTGGGTTCAGGCGTCAGCTGCGAAAGCGGGGCGGTGGTGATGGCTTGCTGAGGGCGGCACAAGCTGACTGATATAGCACACAAATGCAACAGACAAGCAGGTAACGTAAGAAGGAAGGAAGTGTCTGGAAGAACGGCGGACGTATGAGAATTTGAGAGAAATTAAGCAACCGCCATTTTGGGGGCCAAAAGCACAACACTGCACCACGATGCAGCTAGTCATCAGGCAGGCAGCTGTGTCGCCTGGGGCTGAAGCCGGGCACTTGTGCATTGGTCTGCTGCCCGCCAGGCTGCATCCGCGCGAACGTGTGGGCGATTGGACACCTGGTCACGTTGCTGAATCCTTTATCTTTTGAAGACTTTGCGCTGAAGGATGACAGCGTCCTGCGACGTTTGCGACACGGTTGGGGATACTTTGCTGCATATAAGCGCGCTGTCTTGCGCGACTCGGTGGAGGGGTTCAAATGGCTATATTTACCGCTAATGCCGGGCTTGACCGGGAGAGGCCGCTGGGGCGGTTTGTACGAAGGACATCCTGGACATGCTGTCGGCCTCGTCGATCGATGTCTCCAGACCAGAGTAGGATTCGTTGGTGGCCGTGTCGCTGTTGCTGCCACTCGCAAAAGTACTTTGAGGTCTCCTCTGGGACATATCCAGCACGGGAGCGTTTCATGAAACACTGCGCTCATGTGCGTCGCTACAAGCATCGTGACCATTTGCCCGCCGAGGTGCATTGGCAGTCCAGCCGCCGTCCATTTCGGCATTTCAATAACGTGACCATGGCTTATTAGAATCGCTCAAACCTGAGGTGCCTCGTTTGCCTTATTTCTTCCCGTGGAGGCTGTCATGATGAGAATGAGGTGAACGAACAACTGACCCTGAAGTAAGGGAGGGGCCTTCTCATTTCGGAAAGTCCAATCACATAGTGACGCGACTAGTGTGGTGCCCTATACAGCCCCGGATCTTTTCCTGTGAATGTGTGCCCCACTGTGGTTTACATCAACCTTCGATCGAAGCTCATCGACAGTGTCACGCCACGATGCTGGACCTTCCAATGCATGTTCAATCGCTACTTCTAGATCACGTCAGATCTGCAGCCGATCTGAAAGCACTACCTATGTCTAACGTGCACGTCCAGACGTTCTATCGCGACACCGCGCCTGTATTAGAACACACGACTCCGTATTCAAGACAGTGACACAATTCCATTTTCCAAAAGCGTTGCAGCGGGTGCTGGTCGATACCTGCGCCATACGCGTGAGCTGACTTTCGAAGTCCGGCCACCTCCTCCGGAGCCTGCCACAGTGCAAACGGGCCCCGAGCTCAACTTTTCGCCTCAGTGTAATCTGAGTCGCGGTACGAGGAGCCAATAGATGTGACACTAGAGATGCTCCCAGCCCATGGTCTTTTCACTCTCCGGTAAGCTGTTTTGAACGAGAACTTTGCAAAGCTCGACCGACAGTGCGCCTTGCAAACTTGCAGCATCATTCCAGAGTACTGCGTGTCTGAAGAAATAGCACTTTGCATACAACGTCCTCAAATATGCTTGCGCCATTGCGTCTTTCTTTGGAGTTGTGCAACTGAATATCCAAGGTATCCGTTCCATCCCTACACGCATATGCTGCCTCCAACGTGGTACCCTCGACATCTTCTTCACAGTGCCGGATAATCTAGAGAAGTTTCTTAAACAATTATTTCCAGACAAGTCCAGTGGCCTGAGACGATTATCTCTTGCTCAACAATTTCACGGTTATCTAGAAATGCATGCGTTGGCACCACATCTACAGGGTCTGTTGGACAACGAGCAATGCCATCAGCTGCATCTCGAGAGTCTGCGCTTTTCCAGCTTAGGTGTGAAGGGCATGTTCGAAAAATTGCAAACCCCGCCTGATCTGAGCATGCCGGCAGAGCTGCGATCCTGCGAGTGTAAGGGAGCTGACGAATTTGCGCGAGACTTTGGGCGCAGGCTCAAGGAAGACCAGACGGCCTCACCTCTGCGCCGCTTGTACGCTGGACGGAATGAGGCCAGCAGCTCTCTCGATGATTTGATGGACTGGTCTGAAGTCCTAGAGATCCGAGGCCGACTCGCTTTGGACCCGTAGGTATATCAATCGTATCGGCCTGCTGACATCCGTCAACAACCGTTCGAAGACTTTCTCAAGAACGAATACGATGACTTCTTTGGGGAACCTTTCTCCAAGCCTTGTCCCAACCTGGAAACAACCTGGCTATCAACTACAGGAACGTGATCTTGACCTACACGAGTGGCAGCATGCAGATGGCTTCCTAGAACAATGGGTGAGCGACGTCCTCGTGCCTTGATGACCGAGTATACTAACACGAGCACAGGAGAATAAGACATCTGGAACACTTTCAATTCTTTACACACAGACAGGTCGGGGACGCTATTGAAGAGCACAAGGGCCTACGCGCGATCGGATTCGAATTCTAGCAATCCGCGGAAGCGTTCATTGAATATCTGGACGGAGTCGGCATACGTCCCAAGCTCGACGCTTTCATCATTGGCTCACACTGGCGCTGTAATGAGTCTCCAAGGGGAGGCGAGATGATACGGTGCTGGGCTTTGTGCAAGATAATGCCGGGTACAAATGCCATGATATCTCTCATTACTTCATACAAATCACTCGCTGCCAGCTAAGTCTCAGTACGCGCCCTCTCTAGTCTCAGTACGCGCCCTCTCTGGCCTCAGTACGCGCCCTCTCTAGCCTCAGTACGCGCCCTCTCTAGCCTCAGTACGCACCCTCTCTAGCCTCAGTACGCACCCTCTCTAGCCTCATACTTCTGGCCCTGCACAACATCCACCTCCAGCCCGCCCCAAACCTTGGCATCAACAGCAAGCTCCAAGCCCTCGATGCGCGTCGCGCCCGCATCCAGCCCCCACAGCGAAACCGCAAGGTAGTTCGTGCCACGGTAGTCCAGAATGCCCTCGGGCACAGGGAAGCTTGTTTGCGGCCCCACGTTGCTGACAAACTTTCCATACTGCCACCCGTTGACGTACAACTGCACTCTGTACGCGCGCACGCCCGAGCCAGCGCCCGTGGCACCCTCGCTCGTGCCGTTGGCGAACGTGAAACTGATCGGGATGTCCCAGCCCGCGGGCAGGTCGAGCGCGAACTCGGTCGCGAAGAAGCCGATGCCCGGCGCCGCGATGCCGTCCGTGACGGGCCCCTTGCTGGGTTTCCAGCCCGCGGCTGCGGACAGGGCGCCGGGCTGGTGCAGGCCGTTGCGCTCCGCGAACAGGCCGCCTTCGTTGAGCGGCCCGCGCGACATGTCGACGTAGTCCTCGCCGCCCAGGTTGCCCGTCAGCTTCCAGCTCACGTCCGACTGCGCGCGGCCCGCGAGCTGGTAGTTCAGGATGCCGCGGGGATTCTTGCCTGTTTCGGTGCCGATGGTCCAGTTCTCGTCGAGGCCCTGGTTGTCGACTGCGATGGTGATGGTGTATGTTTTGCCGGCGGTGAGGGTGGGGAGCGTCACGGTCGCGTTGCCGTTTGTGGCGGCGTCGTAGCCGCGCCACGAGCCGAGGAATTGCGAGCCCAGCCAGATGGAGGAGCCAAAGGCTGAGCCGCCCTGAGTCCAGGCGTAAAAGGTGGTCTCGTTGCCGGTCGCGGTGAATGTGCCGCGGTACAGCAGCGTGCCGGTGTGGAAGCCGTAGTCGGAGCTGTACAGGGAGACGGGTGTTGTGAGGGGTCTCAATGAGTTGTAGGTCTTGTTGAGGTCTGCGACCTTCCACTTACTGTCGTCGTAGTCGGCCTGGAGCTCGGGCAGGGTGTCGATGTACTTCCATTCGAGCTCGTTGAGTTTCGGGACCTTGATGTCGGCCTTGGGCAGCTCAATGGTGCCGCCGAGAGCGCCTGCATTCGAGGCTGTGACGTCCACATCCTTGCCGTTAAAGGTGAGCTTCTTAACTGATGAAGGAGCACCAATGACCTCAATCGGTGTCGTGGCGTTGAGATCTCCAGTGACAGCCAGTGTGTCACCACTGACCTTGGCTGTGCGGGTAAGGTAGCCAGCCTTGAGGATGATTGCCTCGGAGTTGTCGTGAGGCGCCTGATCGACTGCCCAGTAGTTGTATGCTTCGTTCCGGCTGACCATGTAGACGTGGATGAAGTTGCTCTCCGCGCCGACCTTGGCGACCTTCCTGCCGCCGTCGACGTTGAAGTTCAGAACGGTGTGGCCGCGGGTGGCGATGCTCTTGACATCGCCCTCGAGAATCTCCAGACCAGTCGCAGCAAGAGCCAGCTCGTGGGTCTCGCCAGGGCCACCGTAAACTACGAGCACTGTCTTGTCGTCGTACTTGTGCCATGTGAAAATCTCGGCGGTCGAGTATACAACTGTGGAGCCACCAAGATCATAGTTGCTGACGTGGACCTTGGAGTCACGTCCGTTGAGAGTGAGGGCAGTTCCGTTCACCTGTGGAACAGTGATGTTGCCAAAGGCCGAAGTGGGGATGTTGAGCTTGTACGAGGTCGAGTCCAAAGTGTTGTACGTTGAGTGGCGGACAAAGTAAAAGCTGGTAGTGTTGCTGGTGGCAGGCGTAACGGTCAGCGCCTGCGTGTTGGTCCAGGCAGTAGTGGAGGCGTTTCCTCGAGAAGCAGTCAAGTATGCCGGGGTGACCTTGAAGAAGTTGGCCTGGAGCTTCTGCTCAGAGTACTTCTCGCGATCCACGCGTCGGTCTTCGCCGATCTGGCTGGAGTAATCGTATGATGTGTAGCCGCCTGGATGACCCAAGTTGCCCCAGTTGGTGCCGCCGTACGTCATGTACAAGTTTAGGATTGTGACGCCGAAGCTGTACAGGTTTTTGTAGAAGACGCGTTCAAACTCGGCGTTGACCAGAACACCACACTTGTCAAACCCGGGACCGCCCCATGGATCAAAACTACCGCCCTGGAACTCGACAATGGAGTATGGCGTGTTGGGGCTCTGCTTGAGGTGAAGATCGTGCCAGTTGGTGGGCAGCGCACCGTTGGGCCACACCGTCGGGTTGGCGCAATCAAAGCCGAGCGGGTATCCGTCGTGACCGTAGATGTCTACAACAGCAGGGTAGCCAGGTGCAGACGCGATGGGTGCGTTGTGTCCTTTGGGGCTGGCGTCGTTGCTGATCAGGGGCACGACAATGCCGGCATCGCGGAGCTGATCCTCGACGTACTGAAAGTAGTCGGGATCCGGGAACGGCTTGATCGCCGAAGTGGCCTGCGTGTACTCGTTCTCAGGCTGCACCAGAATGATCGGTCCACCGTTAGTGATCTGACCGGAAGCGATTTTCTTGCCGACGTTTTTCATGTAGTTGTCTGTTGCTGCGAGGAAGTCCGGAGCTCTCGTTCTCAGAGTGCCGTTGACTCTCTGGATCCAGCCTGGAAAGCCTCCACCGCTCGCTTCTAAAAGGAAGTTAGCTACTGAGGAGCAGCAGTTTTGTCTCGGTTCTTACCAGCGTTGATGTACGGGCCGGGGCGGGCGATGAGGTAGATGCCAGCCTCGTTAGCGGCATCGAAGAAGGGTTGAAGGTCGAAGACGCCCTCCTCACGGTACTCGCCGGGCTTACCCTCGAGCAAAGCCCAGTCGACGTAAAAGGAGACACCGTTGTAGCCGAGGGCCTTGATCTTCTGAAAAATATCAAGGTACAAACTCGGCACCGGTAGACGGAAAGGATCTTTAATCGGTCAGCTGCGGCAGGCAACCATGTCGACATGTACTTACGGACTTCGCCAGAGTACAGGAAAATACGTTGGCCGTGCACAAAGATCGAGTGCTCGTCCCAGGTCACAATATCCTGCAGCACTTCGCGCTTGTACGGCGCAATCCACTGATCAGGCTGCAAAGCAAGCGCCCTCGCCGCCGTCTCGACGGCCAAGCAAGACAGCGCAAGCGCGCCGCTCAGTTTCAAGATACCCTTCATGTTGACGGCGAAGCAGAAGTAGCCCGCCAGACACGAGGCGGGCACACATGACCTTTGTACTTTCCACGGCGCGAGGTCGGCTTCCGCACCGATCCAATGGCAGCATATTCGTGCCTGGCTATGACGCCAGTACGCCCACGGGCCTGCGTCAATGTCATCCGAGCGGGCTTCCCCATCTTCGACCATCCACCCGCTGCACTGAGCGACCGCACCGCACTCCTCGCACGCTAGGCCGCCCTCAGGCCGGGCTGCTCGATTCCACCAATATCGGCAGCGGGCGGCTCCTCGGATATTTCGACGACGATGACGCAGGCGGGGATGGGTCACAAACGGCTGAGCATGCGGGGACGGCGTAGCACTGCAGGACGGAGCAGCACTGCGGATGCGGACTCGAACCCACGGCAAAACACAGTAAGCGTCGAGGCGATCAGCGGGGTGGCGCTGGGGTAAAGCTTGAGCTCTCTTGCGCAAAGCTTGGAAACCAGGTTGCTCATGGCGATCTGGGCTCGATCGGGGAGCGCATCCGGTGCTCGCACGCCGGTTCGGTGTTTGGCCGAGGTGAGCAAGAGCGCGTTCGTGGAGAGCGTGGACGGCACGCTGCGAGGGCGGGCGAGCAATTGTGCCGGTTCGCCGGCGTGGTTGGTGTGGATTGAGATGGACTGAGATGGACTGGGCGAGACGGTGTAACTTTGTATCCACTACCACCTGTTAATCCAGCTACCACCTATTAATCCAGCTACCACCTATTAATCCAGCTACCACCTGTTAATCCTGCTACCACCTATTAATCCAGCTACCACCCATTAATCCAGCTACCACCTATTAATCCAGCTACCTGCACAGATGAACAGAGAACCCTCGACTTGCAAAGCTATTCCTGTGTAATACCAGTCTACATGTATCTCGCTAAGAAACTTGGCACGATAAAAGGTACACAAGCAGGCTCGAGGACCACGCATCCCATTACATAGGGTGTACTGGTTAAGAATTGTCGCAGCAGATATCATGCCTATTTACCAGCCAATTCAGGGGTGCAAATGTATGTACATTTTGCCTCTATTATGGCTGCAACAAGAATTAATCCAGCCACTGTGGAGATCAAATCTGGGGGTGCTATGAGTGAGGGTGTGACTACTAGAAACGCGAGTTTACGAACCTTGCCATATTTTTGTCAAGTCTGTCATTGTCAAGTCTGTCATTGTCAAGGCCTGCCATTGTCAAGGTCTGTCATTGTCAAGGCCTGTGATTGTCAAGGCCTGTGATTGTCAAGGCCTGCCATTGTCAAGGTCTGT